CCTTCCAAGATCACTTTGAGTGATTGCTTGTTTGTTTTCAGTCTGTCTCCCCGACGAGAATTTAAATTCTATTAGAGCAAGAACCTTTGCCTTTTCTCTCTGAACCGCCAGCACCAGAAGCTGCATCTGGCATAGGCTGAGGGCTGGCTCAGAGCTGCCGGGTGATGGATGGTGGCCCGTGGATGGACGGGTCAGCGGGTTGGTCAGTGGATGGAAGTGATCTCTTGAGCTTTAGTGTCCGTTGATTTTGGCCTTGGTGCAAAAGTGTGGGGTGGGGAGGGAGGGCCTGAGCGTGGCGATGAGCCTGTGATGGTCCAGCAAGGTCCAGACAGACTTCCCAGCCCCTCCCGCCCCACCCTCCCTGGTGTCCCGGTCATTCGGTCATTCCACACCCTCTGCATTTGCTCGTGTTGATCTTTTGTCGTTACCAAGTGCACCATTTCCTTTAACTACCACGTCTCTGCCTGCTTGTTCCCAGCTACTCTCACAGAGACTGGGAGAAAATTGTAACGAACCAGGATTCCCACGGCGAACATTAGATTCGCCAGCCTCTTCCCACGATGGGGAGGTCCAGTATTGCACAACCGCCCTTCAGCAGGAGGCCGTGTGGAGGAAGATTCCACAGCACCTTTGGGGATGGGAGAGTCTCGCTCGTCCTAGATATGGTTCTCCTCCCGAGAAGCGGCGTGGGCCTGGGTGGGGAGCACCGCCAGCCGGCACAGGGCTGCGTCGCCAGAGGCAAACAGCGGCCAAGCAGGAGCAGCTGGACCACAGGACAGCACTGAAGAAGGAAAAATCTGAAACGCCCCATTCCAAGTGGGTCATAAGTTTTATTTCCCAAGTTCCCAGACCCCTTGGTTTGGGTCATGGGTCACTTCATTTTATTCTGCCCCCCACCCCAGTGGCCACCCATGGGTGAGGGTTTTATCAAGTGATTCCCTCCAATTTTGTAAATGTTTTGAATATGTGCGTGCTATTATCATCTTGCAGCTCGGTGACTGTGGCCGCTGTCTGGGCTGCTTCATCCTCTGCGGGTTATGGGGGTCCACCGGGAGCATCGCCAGGCTCTGGACCAGCCCCTCCTCACCGGCAGTGAGCGGTGGGACTGCGGCAATGTCAGAGTCTTGTAGTTCTGGACGGAGACTTAAAGCGCCATTTACAGGCTTAGCTCTAAGCAGACGACCCAGCCTTCCCCCTCTTAGGCCTCTCCCCAAAGAATGTGAAACCATCAATCCAAAAAGCTCTGCTCTGAGATGTTTATTGCAACATGATTTACAACAGCCAGGTCGTGAAAATAACCGAGGGCCACGATAGAGGGTTGGATCAAGAAGACATGGTCTGTCCACGCCATGGACACTTCGCCAAAGGAAAGATAAAATGCTGCCGTGTTCGGCAAAATGGAAGGCGTTCAAAGGAGTCAGGTGCCATAAAGCAAGTCAGAATGACAAAGACAAATAGGGGGCATTTACAAAGCAGACTATCAGACAAAGTCAAACACCTGCAAACACTAGGTGAGGGCTCCGGGGCTAGGCAGGAGGGGTAGGGAGCAAGGGACGGGGGGTGTGGGGGTGGTGGTGGGGAGAAACAAATGACCTGGTTTTACTTATAAAAAATAAAGTTTTGGCTAAAATTACTGTTAGGAGTAGATAAAGAATTGTCTCATCATTTCTAATTTTTCAGCACGAACTAAAAGTGGTGTCATTTTGGAATGTCATTTTTGGAGCTTTTAGTCCCTTAATAAACAGTTCCATGATTGCTTCTGTCCACTCGGGGCTTGTGGGGCTGTCAGGCCCATGGCAGCTGCTGACGCTGGCACTGCGAGTCACAGCTGGGGTGACACCGGGGCCTCCCTGGCCCCCACCTGCCAGCCCCCCCTTCACCCCCCGCCCCGCACAGAGTTCTTCTTCCCAGGTAGACCACGAAGGTCTGTTCTCTATCATTAAGCTGTCGTCTTCAGCTTGCACTAAGTCCCTAGAAAACTTGACCTTGGCTTCCAGGTCACTTAAATTTTGGATGACCCACATACTCTAATACACTCACCAAAGCCCAGACAGGTTGTGTTGAAGCGGCGTCACTTCCCCCTCATCTGTTTCTTATTTAAGATCATTAACCTCGGTGTTACTCTAACCTTGGGTCGAGAACCCGCATTAGCTGCATCGAACAATTAACAGAAAGCTTCTAAACTTTATTGGGAACTTAAGTGTCCTTTTCCCTGGCGCCCTTCCTACTATTTGTTCCAAGAATCATTATAAACGTGACTCTTTTTACAGGCTCATCTTGTCCCGACTGGCTATAATTACCATTTTCATGATGTTGGAGCAGCCCCTGCCCGGCCAGTGCCAAGTTTCCATACTTGTCTTTCTCCATCTTCGTCTTGTCACACACCCTAGCCAGCCCCAAGACCTCTTGCTCTTTGGCGAAAGCGCACCCCGCTCTTCTTGGGGTTGGCAGGTTTTTGTTTTTTTTTTTTTTTTTTTTTTGCCTCTAGGCCTAGCCTTTCTGGAATCTTCATTTCATTTTAGCAAACGATGGCTCCAAGACTCAAATCTGTGCGCGTGGGCTGGGCCCGTGGGCTTGGCCATGGAATCATATGACAAAGGGTTTCACGACGCTTGGCCACAAGAACAAATGAGGACTGAAACTGATTGGATACAACAATATCCGCTTCGAAATGTTTTAGCGATGGCCGAATGAGGCTATTCATGGCTGTGTCAATAAACAGCTTTTCTAAGGTGGTTTTCATTGAGCCTGACACATCCCTGATTTGTTCCAAACATCGGACATTCAACCTGCAGTTGCAGGGAGGGCCTGAGGCGGGTGCAAAGCGTGAGCTGGTGGGTGCCCTGGCGAGCTTTCTCCAGCTGGAGACTCAGGCCTCCTGTGCACTGCAGACTCGGGGACCCATGGCATGGAGGCCAGGTGACTCCCAGCAGCAGCACAGACTGACGCCCCTTTGCCTGGGGGCTTCCTTTGTGACAGCCCGGCCAGGCAGGTGCCCATAGGACACAGAGGTCAGACAGCTGAGGACCTCACTCCGGGTCCTAAGTAGGTAGATGGTGGGGGAGGCATGGGAACCACACCTGGCTCATCCCAGAGTCCCATCTCCGAGACGAAAGTCTGCTTCTCTGCACCAACACAGCCAAAGGCTGAAAGAGGTGCTTCTCCTGAGCCTCCAGCCCCACTCCACTCTCCCGAGCAGCCCTGGCCCCAGCGCTGGCTGACCAGAGTGAGGGCTTCCTCTCCTTCCATCTCAGCTGACCCGCAAAACCCCAGGAAGAAACTGCTGCAGAGTGCATTCTGGGCACCGAAGGAGAGCTTGGGGCAGGACTGGAGAGGTGGTTTTCCAAGCCCCCGCCTGCTCATAAGGCCGCTGTGCTGCCCCTCTGAGCTCACCGACCACTCAGTCTGACCGGCCACTGTGAGCCCTGTCCCCAATAGACCCCACTAGCAGCGGCTTTTCTGAGAATCCAGAGGACTAGGCCCACGGCAGGCACTCAGCACACGTTTGCTAAACATGCAGAACTTCACGGCAGACACAAGAAGGGGTGCCCAGACAGCTCGCTTGCTGCCACGCCCTGTTGGCACACCTACCAGGCCAAGTACTAGATGCCGTCTGTGCCCTGACAGGCCTCACTGTCCCCCACTCTGTGTGGTGGACTTAGGCCCCCTCGTGGTCACAGTGAGTGTTATGCAACCATCCGAGGCCAGCTAGGTTCTATGCTCAAAGATGAAAAGAGGATTCTGGAGCCCTCGGTATCATCTTCCGGGCCTTTAATGCTGTGCCAGGGACACACCAGCAGGCGGGGAGACAGCAACTCAGCCCCTCGCCGCAGTGACGCAACCCTCACGCCACCGCCGAGCAGCCCTGTCGCCCTCACTCTGGGCACAGCTGTCTGCGTTTACCGCGCACCCGCCTGAGCTCTCTGCGCCCAGGTGTCCACAGCCCCAGGTGCCCACAGGCCCCGCACCCCCACCCCTCGGCCCCGGCGCCGGCAACCTGGAGGGCAAGAGCACAGGGCCAGCCGCAGAGGCCAGCAGCGGGAGGGCAGGGGAAGCTGACGTAACCCTGTTTCCCACCTGGATACACCGGGTCCTCGTGTGTCCAGGCGCGCCTTGACATCCGGGTGGAAAGAGGGACTTTTTCTCTTTTTGTTCTGCCAAGAGCCACGCTTCAGCTTCCAGCAGCCGCGTCCATTCTGAGAGGAAGCCCGAGGACCGCTCAGCCGACCTCAGTGTGGCCACAGGCAGCAGGCTTGCCATGCACCCAGGTCCACGGCGCCACCAACCAGGTCCCTACGGCACCTCCACGTTGCACAAGAAACTCTGCCCCGGCGTTCTGAAGGCCGCTGCTACCTTAGTTTGCCTCACAGGAACAGGAACATCAAAATAAAGTCTTGCTTGCCCCAGCGTTTCGCAGCCATCCTGGGCCAGGTAGGGCCACTGCCAGCCCTAGCATCTTGAACACCAACCTCGCAGCCCTCGGCATCACTGTCACGGGTTTCAGGGTGTGCAGGGGAGCGAGCCGCGGGGAGACAGCAACCTGGGCGCCTGCGAGTCTCCACCCGCTCTTCCGCTGGGCTCTCTCTGGCATCCCGTCGGGGCTGCCTTTCTAGGTAACACTGTCCTTATTCCCCTGACCGCTCAGGTGTGCACGCACACGCGCATGCGCGCACACACACCCACGCTCAGCTGTCCATAGTCAGGCACGCTGCCCCACACCCACGCCCTCGGTGTTAACAAGATCAGGCTGCAGGTGATGGCCACAGAGGCCAGTGGCATAAAAGCCTGACCAACTTCATTTACTCCACACCCAGTCATGACCCCCAGAGGACTTTTGTGTACTCCAGAGTAAGTTGAGCTCACTGCGACCGTTCACAGTGGGCAGATGAGTTCACCTGTAGAAGCACCAGCAAGAATTAAAACAGTGAAATACAATAGAACGTCCCTGGGACAGAGGTGGCTGGAACTTCATATCAAAAAAGATCACAGAGCGTCTGGTTTCACATGGTCATGTTTTATTCTGCTGTGTGTGTGTGAATGTGGCTGAGATGGCGTTTGCTGGAAGCGTCCCCGCACCTGCAAACCGAGTGTCCTCCGAGAAATCTACATATTGAAATAACTTTGCCAACATAAATCCCTGCACAAAGACGTTTTCTTTATGAGTAAATAAAACAATAATTATTCTAGAAACAAACTGGCAAAACACAAAAAAATAACTCTCAGATGCAGTGAAAACTCGGGAGCTTGCAGGTCCAGGAGGGGCAGAGAAGGGGCAGGCCCTGGGCTAGGGGGCGGGAGGCAGGGCACACACGAGGAGAGAATGTCATTCCCCACGTTGTAGAGTTTTGTAAACGCATGGCAAATTAATAAAATTAATTTAAAATAATACTCTAGAAAACCTGGTACCCAGGCCTCTCTTACAATCATATTTAAATTCAATTGACTCCTCAGATGACTCTAGATGATGAGGCACCTGGGGGCCAGCAACAGCTCTCACTAGAGAAGCGAAGCGAGCCAGGCTTCAGGACGGAAGGAAAGCAAAGCACACTTGGTGTTTGGTGTTGGTCGGGACCTGACCGGGGTGGGCAGCGGGGAGAGCACAGCAAGCGAGGCTCTGGCGTCTGGTCCTGGCGCGCGTCTCCGCCCTGGTCCCGCGTAGCCTCAGGGGCCGGCAGGGTCTGACCTTTGGACCTGAAGGTAGATCTTGCTTGCTTTGGGCTTTGCTTTCCTGGGGGAACCAGAAATAAAAATTAAAGTCAAAGTAATAAGCAATGTGCTGTCTTGACGTAGAAACTGTTGCCAAGTTGTACCTGGGAATGAGGCTCAGACACTAAGAGAACAGCGCTGGGAGGGAGGGAGCCTGCTCTGCCGTCAGCCTGATTTTCTGTGGCTTTTGAACTAAGAATGGTTTTTAACATGCTTAGATGGTTTAGAAAATCAAAATGAAAGTACTACGTCATGATACTTGAAAAGTATAGGGAGGTGGGGCCTTAGCTAATAGAGAGTGTACAGGGATGTGGGGGCTTAGGTAAGAGGATGTACGGGAGGCGGGTCTCAGCGAACAGAGGGTGTGCGGGAGGTGGGGGTCTTAGATAACAGAGGGTGGACAGGGGGGTCGGGGTCTTAGATAATAGAGGTGGAGGCTCAGTGCAGAAGAACCCAGTCTGCCCTGAGGGGTGGACAGCCCTGTGATGACAGAGTCAAGGGGTTCACAGAGCATCTTGAAAGATCCCCAAGCACCTGGTAACTCGCACATGAAGCATTTCAGAGTCAGGAGGTCAGCACTCACTCCCGTGTCTACCCCTGGGGCCCGAGACAGCGCGTGGGCCGCAAGCAGATGCAGCCACAGTCCAGAGGGTGTTGTCCTCTGAGGGAGACGCGCAGACGGTCTGGGCGGTTCCTCGGGTGACTGAGCAGGCGTTAGCCGAGACCCTCACTCTCTAGGTCAAATGCCAGGAGCCCGGGGATGTGCACTGGGGGGTCCTCGTGGTCTCCCTGCTCTCTAAGGCTGGCAGCCCCGAGGATGGCGACTGTATGAGGGGGAGAAGAAGCCGTGTGCTCAGTGGCGAATCTCTGCTATTTTCTCTATTGAGTCAGCACAGCACCCTCCCAATTATCATTGGGGCTGTTTTTCAGGCAAGGAAATTAGGGTTCTGTGGGGTTCAATGATCGTCTGAAGTCACCTGGTCGAGTAGGTGACACTCCCAAGTTTTTGATGTGTTTTGTGCTGATCGTATTTGTCTTTATCTGGAAAATCTCCACTAACAATCATGCTTTGGTTGATGAGGGCTCGGCCGGCGGCCCCAGGCCTGAGAGGCTGGCACTGCGCTTCCCCATCTTTCTTCTTGGTGAGAGCCTTGGGGGACCCTCCCACCTCGCCCTATTGACGGCTTCCTGGGGCGCCTACACTGGGCTCTCTGAGCTCAAAGCAAGTGCTTCTTAGCCACCTCCGCCCCCCGTCCTGTCCGGAGCTTTCTTCTTCACATGTGGAGAGAGCCGCGGCCTCTGAACCCTGATGAGCTTCTGCGTTCAGCCCCTGCTCTCGGAGCCGTAGCCAGGGAATCCTTTGGTGCCCAAATAGTTTCTCGTGTTTTACTCTTGATTGACACCCTATGTGTATCCTGGGCTTTCTGGCTCCACAGGCCATCCTGGCTGCTCCCCAGAGTTGGGGTGTCCTCCTGGGGTCACAGAGCCAGCCTGGGAGGCCCCGGGAGCCGCCCTCAGCCTCTCACATCCTCTTTACTGCCCTCCGGGGAGAACCAGCTCCATGACATGGTGTCCCCGCCCCGCCCCGAGTCATTTCTTCTTTGGGAAGAAACTCTCTGAAAGCGCTAGAGCTTCTGAACCAACAATAGCTAAAAGGAAACTTGATTTTAAAAGGGTCCCCAACTGTTAACTCTGGGTGAGCCAGAGAGCTCGGGGCTTGTCCAGTCCAGGGTCGACTCCTCGGATGGAGGCCCCCGCCCTCAGCACCGACCAGCAAGGCCGCCCCAAAAGGCTGCCTGCGCCTCCACCTAGAGAAATCAGCAGCTTCTGGGTGTCGCCTCTCTCTGCGGCAGCCCCGGGGGGGTGAGGAAGACATACACATCTCTCTGGAGCGCCCCTACACCTTTTGGTGGCAGAAACGGGGAGAATTAGGGTACAGGGGCAGGCCTGGCCTGCCGGAGGGCCCCCCCTGGCCCCACTCACCTCCCGAGGCTTTCAGCATCCTCGATGGTCTCCGGCAGAGCCACCCCCTGTGTCTCCGGCAGCAGCGGTGTCACCGCGCCAGCAACCAGGCCCAGCACCCCTGCGAACAAGCAGATGCCACGGGAAGCCACGAGAAGCCACGGGAGCCCGCACCCCCACGTGCGGCACAGGGAGTGCAGTGGGCTGCGGGGGTGTCCAGATGAGGTCGGTGGAGACACCTCGAAAAAGTCAGCAACGCCTCCCCACGACCACTCGGGCAGCAGGACGAGCCGGGGGCAGCAGCAGACGGGAGCCTGCCCTCGTCTCACAGCCACGCAGCGTGGGGCACCTCATTAACTGACGGCTTGGCAGGGGCACAGATAAGACATGTCCCGGGGATGGTTGACTCGTGTACCTCAGGAATACTATGAAGGTCCATTCTGACTAATTACTACATATATAGTAATTAATATAGTAAAACAGGCTAAGATAGAGCGACAGGAAGTGTTATCTATGCTGATGTTATAGAGCATATAAACATCATCACGTTCGCTGTGCTGTGAGCTTGCATTTTATATCACACATCAGCTACTTCACGGAGACCGGAAGGCACCTGCAGTCACTAGATTCTGAGATTATCGCAGAGGCTGCAAAGCGCGGCTAATACTTTGCGGGTAATGTGGGCCTCTTCTTACTCTCTTCTCCCTTTTTTTTTTTAAAGATTTTATTTATTTTTGTGCAGAAGAGCTGGGGTGCAGGCCGGAGGTGTGTGGGGGGTGGGGTGGTGAGAGGAGTCACCAGAGACAGAGTGGGGAGCAGAAAAAATGGATCCACTGAAATGCACTGCTGAGGGCGCAGCGGGGAGACAGGAGAGGTCTGCCGCGCCCTGTGGATAGCTCCCTGGCCAGGATCGAACTCAGGCTGTGGCGGTGACAGTGCTGAGACTCAACCCCCAGCCCACCAGGGAGGCCCCCCTCCTCCTGCTCCTCATTTTTTCTCTCTCCTCCTCGCCCAGGCCCTGGCTTGCAGCTCTCTGAACACGGGGTGCGTAGGAGGGGAAGCAGGAGTGCCCTCATCCTCGGATCACGTTCGTCAGTCTCAAAGCTGATGCGAGCTGTGGATGCCGTCTGTCTCCCTGTGTCCCTCCTCATTGGCTAGATCTGGAAGCAGGAGAGCGCCAGCAGCTGACCATCGTCAACCCCCAGCAGCTACAGGTGAAAGGCAGACGCGCCGGGTCTGGTTTACGAGAAAGCAGAAGTCTGCGTGTGAAGGTCTGTGTGTGAAGTCTGTGTGTGAAGGTCTGTGTGTGAAGTCTGCGTGTGAAGGTCTGCAGGCTGTGCCCCGCGGGGCGGAGCGCTGGATTACCCAGCCGTGCGGCATGAGCTCCTGCCTCTTTCCCAGGAAGCGGGGCAGGATGGGGCAGGACAGCAGAGGAGCAGGAAACTCATTAAATAGTTTGGAGAACTCACGCCGGGGTGGGGAGAGGGAACAGCGTACATCTGTGACGTCTTACCGAACAAAATGAGGGGCAAGCCTTGCCACACCTCCATCAGCCTGAAGACCAGGAAGGGGGCGATGACCCCACCCACGTCACACAGGGAGGAGCACACCATCAGTCCCAGGTTCCTGAGGAAACACAGAGCCAGAGACACGACTTCTCGGTGATTCCATCACCCAAAAGTGAACCATATCCGAGCGCAAACACAGTGTCCACTCCCCAGCCCCGGGAAGGGGACAAGGCTGGCCAGGAGTCAGACACCAGTGGCCAACGATTAGCGAATCATGCCTCCCTAACACCCCTCAGCCACAGGGTGTAGAGGGCTGGGCGGACGCACCCATGTGGCAGGAGGGTGGTGCACCCCAACTCCGCAGGGACAGGAGCTGCTGTGCTTGGGGCCCTTCCAGACCTCACGTACGCCCCCCTCCATCTGGGTGCTTCTTTAGATCCTTTGTGATAAACCAGTCAATGCGCTTCCCTAAATTCTGAGACTGTTACAGCAAATTATCCAACTCAAAGAGGAGGCCATGGAGACCCTGACTGCGGCCAGGCAGCAGAAGGAAGGTGACCACTGCCCCTCCGGAACAGTTTCTCGTCTGTGCTCAAGGTCACTAATCTTTTCTTCCGTGATAGCTAGTCTGCCGCTGCCTCATCTGAGCAGCTGCCGTCTCAGACTTCGCAATTTTCATCTCTAGAAGTTTCATTGGCGCTGCTGTCTCTGTCTTCCGTGTCTCCAGCGGGCACGTTCAATCTTTCTCTACACAGGTGCGATCCCTGTTTTAATATCCGTGTGTAATTCTAGCATCTGTGTCATTTCTAGGTCCGTTTAGATTTTTTTTTCCTCCTCGACACAGCTTCTCTTTTCACATTTCTTTGTGTGTTTGGTCATTCTTGATCGACTACTAGACATTCTCTGCTCCCCGCTCTGGCTCTGGTGAATTCTCTCACCCTCCCGCGCTTCTGACTGTACCCAGTGCTGGTATAAATAAATAAAACTTAAAAAAAAAAATTAGCACATTTCCCTTTCTTTCCCAAACCTTTTTAACATCTTTTATTTAGGATCTTCTTTATATTGATGCATTGTCACATAAATTCATCTTTGTCTCATAAGACTATGGCTCTTGACATGCTTTTGTGCTTCACTAGCAAATTTTGTGCCTTCCTTTCCTTTCAACCTTTCTGAGGAAAAAATTTACTTCAATTATGCAGCAAATTATTGGGTTTGTTTTGTAACCTAACCAGGGAGTCTTTTTTCAATAAAGGAGTTGAGCCTCTTTATATTTACTTAAACGTTACGAACATTCTATCATAATTATGCCATTGGCATGCATGTCTTTTTTTTTTTTTGTTCTAGCACCTTTTATTTTTTCAATGTGTCAGGTATGTATATTTTTCTGATGATTTGGAAGGTTTGCATTTTATTGAAATAATTACATTTATGACTATATAATACACTTAATACTCTACTTCTTTAGACAGTGTTGATTCACTTCCTATTTAGAACTATAAAATTAGTTTAGGGCATCCCTGGTGGTGCAGGAGTCAAAGACAGCGCTATCAAGCTATTGCCAGCCACCACAGCACAAGTTCGATCCCCAGCCTGCCAGGGAGCTACCCACATGGCGCAGCAGACCTCTCCTGTCTCCCCGCTGCTCCCCTCAGCAGTGGATTTCAGTCAGTCTGCCTGCTTTGCTCCCTGCTCTGTCTCTGGTGAATCTTCTCACCCTTGTACCTCTGGCTTACACCCCAGTTCTTGTATGCATAAATAAATCTTTTAAAATAAATAAATAAAATAAGTTTATTTCTACTTCCTCCTCAAACCACACCTAAATTGATTGTAGTAATTTTATCACTGCTTCAGTATTTATCTGTATATCTTAAAATATATCTCTACCACTACGTACCTGATCAGAATTTAATGATACATTCTTTCCCGACTGGAGAAATCTCCCTGAGGGGAGCAGCACCTCACACCCCTCACCTCCCCTCTCATCTTTGTTTGTTTCAACGTTTCCTCGTGGCCAGGTTCGGGATATTTGCAGTCTGTCCTGTGGCCAGAACCGCTTTCATGGTCCCCCCCAGTCATCTGATACATCGCTCTGTTCATCCCTGTGTTCACTGAGATTTTTTTCTCTAACTGCTTTTTTGAAGAAGGTTCACAGGAACCCTGTTCTTTGAGAAATTTCAAAATGATTGATGTTTTCATGTGGCAATGAGGGATCCTGGATGCAATTTGCCAGCCAAGGCTTCTCCCCTCTGGCTCCTCGCAGGCGTGGCTCAGGCATGGCTCAGGCGTGGCTCAGCGTGGCTCAGGCGTGGCTCCCGACTCCGTTGAGGCTAGCAGCTTCCCTTCTTCCCGACGTGATTTAGCGCCCAGCCTGGGCGCCTGAGATGTCCCCCTTCATCTCTGAAGGACAGATAGTGACTTCTCTGGAATATTCCTTAAGCTATCCACACGGGGTCAGTCTCTCCTGATACAGAGGGCACCTTCAAATCAAACACTCATTTCCAAAAGTTTCCTTATAGTTTTTTCTTTAAATTTCTTGAAGTTTGTTTCATTTTTTCAGGCATCTTCTTTGGGATATACACATTAACGTGTGTGCACGCGTCTATGTGCACACATGACTGGAGAGGAGAGGCAGGAGGCAGGCAGGTAGGCAGATGGGAACATAATCTCTAAGCCTTTTAAACTCTGCTTGTTTCAATTTAATTCTGCGATTTTAAGTCCTTGCATTTCTATCGCTGTTCTCCTTGCACTGCTTTCAAATCGGTTTTCATTTCTCAAAAGCTTTCATTTTTCCTTCTTGTTTCCTTCCTAAGTTGCCTTCAGCTTATTCTATTATCTTGTTTCTTATTCTCCCAGGAATGTACAGCTCTGCTCTAAAGTTTTATTTTCTAGAGATGACTGACTCATTAGTATTTTGAATTTAATTGTAATATAGTTGGTGCTACTCTTCCTCTGCCTTGTGGTAATATTTTCCTGCTGAGTAGTCCTCATTTGCCATTTGCCTACCTTGTTCCTTTCATTCCCTTTTATTTCATGATATATTTGTACAGCTCCTGGGAAAATTACATTTTTCTTTATTATTTGTCTTTTAATACTGTGGTTTCTTCCCCCCTGTATCAGCCCTTTTGGAAGGATTTGTGGGGAAGAGTCAGGTCACGTTCTCAGCTAGGAGAAATTCTTTTGACCAGGTTTGAGTGTGATTATATTTTCAGACTCCCTTATTCCCAGGGTTGGGCAGCACAAGACTCCTTACCAGGTAGGGTCTGTCTGCTCCACTCTGCCCCATAACACATGGCTCTGTGCAAGTTTCCAGAATGTTCTATCACAGGCTTGCCCTCCCTGCCTCACCTTCAGCCACACCAGAGGAGGGAGATCATACCCCCCAGGCCCTCATCCATCCCATTACTCCAGATGAGGGGTCAGGTCGAGATCGCTTCCTACTTTGGAAAGCTGCTGGCCTTGTCTAAGTGTCCCCGGCAGAGACGTGCACCCCCGGAATCTTCTAGGTCCTCTTGGACATCACTGCGTTAGGCAGGCCTTATTCTTATATATTCTTTCTTTTTTGCTTTTAAAAGATTTATTTATTTATGCATACAAGAGCTGGGGTACAGGCCAGAGATGCAGTGGGTGAGAGGATCCACCAGAGACAGAGCAGGGAACAGAACAGGCAGACTGACTGAAATACACTGCTGAGAGGAGCAGCGGGCGAGACAGGAGAGGTCTGCCTCGCCATGTGGGTTGCTCCCTGGCCGGCCGGGGATAGAACTTGTGCTGCAGAGGCTGCAGATTGCTTCATAGTTCAGTGCTTAACCCCTTGCGCCGCCAGGTAGGCCCTATATATTGTCTTTCAAGGTCATCCTACTTTCAAAGGCAGCATTTACAGGTTCTCCCCTCTCCATTCTTTTAGTTATGTTAGTGTAATTTCCAAGAGGAAATAGAAATAACATGATTTCCCTTTTTTTTTACTATTATCATTTTTACTAGTTTAAGAAATAAGTCTTAAAAAAGAAAATTAGTCCACAGAGGCTGACATGGGCAATGAGGTGTCTTATGTCAAATCCATCTCTTGTTGGCCACAGAGGAGCAGGACGTGCAGCTCCTGTCCTCAAGGAGCTCAGAGCAGAAAAAGGATGGAAAATGGGAAGAATTTTGTGTATACTGATGCCAAAAGAATGTTCTGGACAATATGTGCTGCAGACAAGTAGAAGGACATTGTTCAGCTCTCAACCCTCCTATGAGAAACCAGCAGGGTCAACTTGGCTTAAACGCTGTTTAAAGTTCAGAGCGTTGATGATGAAACAAAGCAATAAAAGTAATTTTTTTTCAATTTAGACTTGATTCAACTGATTAAAAATACCAGAACTTTCATGATTATCTTACTTGAGTTTTCTGATCAAGTTTAGTTATTTCTGGACATCTAGGGTCCCTTCCGGGTTACTGAGAGTCCTCAGACAGTTCTCTGCAGAGATGGTCCAGACCCTGGGGAGGCCACCGGCCTTTCCCTCCCAGCCCTGGCATCCCAGCATCTCCTGGAGCCCCCTGGGTCCGGTGGCCATGACAACAGGATGGTTCAGCCCTGCTGTTTCAGACTCTGGGCTCACCCAATGTCAAACATAATTTTTCTCTTTAATTCACCTTCATCTGTCTGCACTCAGCCCAAGTAATCTCTCACAAATGAGAGCCTAAGACAGGCCTTTAAACGGGCGAGAGGTAGGGAGAGGAGGCGTGAGTCAGAGGCCTCCTCACCTCTTTGGCTCACCCAGGAGCTCACAGAAGCTTGTGGTGTGAGAGCAGTTTGGGGAGCAAGAATACTTCCCAAAAGTCATTATTCTGATGACAAGAGGAGAAGCAGCAATTTATACAAAGGAGAAAAAATTAAGGAAATAGGCTGTTCAAACAATGGTCAAGTTAAAAGTTTAAATAAAGTGGTTAATTGCTTTTACAATAAAAATAATCTTCATTGAAACCAAGACTCCTGAGACACAGATGGCAACAGATTCACACAAAGATGCTCAATATTATTCGCAACCAGGAAAAGGAAAGTTAAAGTCACAGTAGTTGTGCTCCCTCCAAGAATGACTTCAAAAAGAAAACAGTGTGGGGCCTCCCCAGTGGCTCAGCAGTTGAACGCTGGGCTATGAGGCTGCCCGTGGCCTCTGCAGCACCAGTTCGATCCCCAGCTGCCAGTGAGGGTCCCACATGGTGCGCAGACCTCTCCTGCCGCGCCCGCTGCTCCCCTCAGCAGTGTACTTTGTCAGTCTGCCTGTTCTGTTCCCCGCTCTGGCTCTGGGAATTCTCTCACCCTCCCGCGCTTCTGACTGTACCCAGTGCTTGTATAAATAAATAAATAAATCTTAAAAAAAAAAAGAAAGAAAGAAAATGTGTTCGCCCAGCACAGATGAGAGCGTGAAACAGCCGTGTCTGCCGGGGCCGGGGCTGGCAAAACATGCAGCCCCTTGGAAAACACTTTGACAGCTTCTCATCAACTCAGACACACCTGCCCAGGGGCGCTCCTTCATCTCCACTCAAAGGCAATGAAAACCTGTGTCCACCCAAAGCCCACTCGTGAGTGCCTCTCAGCAGCGGAGCCATCATCTCCCCAACGGGAAAAGTCCGGACGCCCCTCAGCTGGCACCTGGTGAGCAAATCACCCCGAGAGCACTCGAGGCAGCCAGAGGGCTCGAAGCTCAGGCCATGCCATGGTGACCCTGTGACACTGAGGGAAAGTAGCCAAACACAACAGGCCGTGTCCTCTCAGCCACATCACTCTGGGGAAAAGGTAAAATTAGAGCAAGAGAAGTCAGAGGTGGGGCTGCCAGCGGGGAGTGGAGGAGGTGACCCCAGGAGGCTGAGGACAGAATGTTCTTGTATTGGCCACTGTAAACTGGCCTATGTGGATGATACACAGACCAAAACAGTGTACTTGAGAGTGGATTTTGCTCCATGGACGTCTACCTCGGGACACCTGATTTCATGTATTTATTTATAGTCTCCAAATTCGTTTTCTCTTGTGATGAGAACGTTTATGATCCACTCTCAGCCACTTGAAAATAGGAGTTATTAACTGCAGTCATTTTGCTGCACAATTCACCCCCGGAACTTATTCATGTTCTAGGTGGAAGGCTCTACCTTCACCCAGCTCCCCACCCACACCCCGTACTCTGCATGGAAGATCTGCGGTGTTTTTTAGGTTACACAAAGCAGCAAAATCACACTGTGCTTGCTAACCTCTGACTTATTTCATTCAGCACAGTTCTGCCTTGTTGCACATGGCAGGTTTCCTTCCTTTTGGTGGCTGTATAATATTGCACTGTATATATCACAGCTACTTTAATGGACTTGGGTTGTTTCTACATCTTCCAAATAATGCTGCAATGAATGGGGGGCGGGGGCGGGGGTAGAATATCTTCTTGGGACAGAGACTCTGTTTCCCTTAACTATAACTGCAAGTGGAATTGCTGGATCACTTGGTCATCCTAACTTACATTTTTTAATAAAGATTTATTTATTTATGCATACAAGAGCTGGGGCGCAGCCCAGAGATGTGGGGTGGGGCAGGGCAGTGAAAGGATTAACCAGAGACAGAGCAGGGAACAGAACAGGCAGAATGACTGCAATACATGCTGAGGGGAGCAGTGGAGAGACAGGAGAGGTCTGCTGCGCCATGAGGGTAGCTCCCTGGCTGGGGACTGAACTTGTGCTGCAGTGGCTGTGGTTAGTTTCAGAGTGCTGATGCTTAACCCTTTGCGCCACCAGGGAGGCCCTCTAGCTAACATTTTTTAAGGAACCTCCACTCTGCTTTCCGAAAGCTGTCTCCAGGCTCGCTGCTTAGCTTACCAAGCCCACCTCATCATCAAGGATGAAACACCAGCTCCCTGGACAAAAGACGCGGTTCTCACCCTGGCACCCCCACTTCCTACCTGCGTGACCCCAGAAGGTCTCTTTCCCATCCTGAACCTCAGCTTCCTGGCATGTGAAATGTGGGTAACAGGACTCAAAAATGCTTTGAATAGCTAAGCAGAATCCGAAGGGTGGAAACGTGTGTGTCCCCACAACATGAGCTGCTATTTAAGAAAATTGTGTTGGGAGGGGTCAGCGGGGCTGGTGAGGTTCATGCTGCCAGCTGGCACTCAGGATGAGGTGATGCCTCTGCTCCCGGTCCCCAACCCTGGCCTCTGAGCTGGACCCCTTGCTCAGGGCTTTGTCCCTGGAACCAGCACCCCTCAGTTTTCCACCCTCAGTGGCTCCATCTCAGTGTCCAAACCCCTAACCTGGGGATGTCAGGAGGAGCTGCCTTGGGAACGCTGGCCCCGTGGGGTGCTGGCCCACCCTTAGGCCCCTTCCTGCACTCACCGGATAAAGGTGGGGTACAGCTCAGCGTTCACCAGGCACACCATCTGGAACAGGATGGTGATTCCCATTCGGCCAACACAAGCGATGGTGATGTTCAACCAGTGCTGATCTGGGGAAGACACAGGGAGGGTGGGGGCGAGTGGGCGCCAGGCCTGCAGTCTCCGCCCCGGCAAGCCTCACCTGGAGGCCTGGACTTCAGCGCTGGTCAGGCCTGATGAAGGTCCTGATTAATTCTTACATTGCTGGACCGGTGAGCCGAGCCCTGGGACACACCTGCCAGGGCCTGGGGAGACAGGGAGGCCGGGGTGGGAAGTGTTTGTGCCTCTCGGCTTTGCCTCCCTCAGCCACGCTGTTTCCTCAGCTGTAAATGGGCACAGGGACATGAGCCGACAGGTGACTGCAACAGCAGAGATGCCCCAGGTCTGGTGACTGTGACCATGCTGTTGCCATTTAATCATGAAACCAGTGTCACAATAGCTAAGCTATGGAAGCAACCCAAGTGCCCAAAAACAGATGACTGGATCAAGAAGATGTGGTCCATACACACAATGGAATATTACTCAGCAATCAAAAAAGATAAACTCATGCCATTTGCAGCAACAGGGATGGAGCTGGAAGGGATCATGCTCAGCGAAATAAGCCAGAAGGAAAAAGAAAAATATTGGATGGTTTCACTTATAGCAGGAATGTAGAGGAACCAAATAAGGGATCAGGGGGAAAAAGTAATTATAATAAATTAAAAATTAAAATCAACAGGCAACCAGAGACATTGTGCAGGGGGGAGGGAGGGCAGAGCACAAGGGACTATGGGGATGGTGCATGGGTGAACGGGTGGTGGGAATTTCACGGGGACTACACCTCATCGGAGAAAGCATCCATTGTACAAAAATGAAGAATGGTGTAAAAAATACATAAAATTAAAAAATAAAGATTAAAAAAATTATGAAACCAGTGTTGCCGCTAATTAACATGGAGCCTGAGACAGACCTGTCCCCAAAAATGTCACTCCCTTGGGGCCAGATTTCAAGTCCATGTGCAAGGGGCTGTTGGAGGCAGACAGAACTGACTCCATCTTGCACCCCAGGCTCCATTTCATTCAACTTTCAACTTTCAAAAAGACTATTTACTGACTGGCAAGAACTGATTCCAGGTGGACACAGCCTTCTCCCAGGACTGTGAAAATCATTTTCTTTTTCTTCTCTCCTTAGCAGCCAAAGTCAGCTGGCCCAAATGCTGATGAATTATAAGAAATATAAGCTATAACCAACCCTAGCTTTTCTCCTTCTACCTTCTCCCTCCCATGCTTTTTCCTTTAAAGCCCCTCTAAAGACCCCAACAGGACACGATTTGGACTGATACCTGATTTGTTGCACCCTGATTTGCAAACCTAAGGCTCCAAATAAATGCTATCACTGTATGTTAGCCTCAATGTCCTCAATTATGCGTTCATTTCTTATTGAGGTAATGTTGCTCCACAACACCATATATGATTTAGGGGTGCAAGTTCACACCTCTTCAGAGGAATTGCCCTGCATCATCATTCAGGTGTCAGTGCCCAGGGATATGCACTGGTAAGAATTCACCAACATGCACGCTTACAATAACTGGCACATTGTACGTATGTTATACCTTAATATAAAATTTTGAAAAAGCTAAGTGTAGACTAAGCAGCTCGCTATCTCTGTCTTTGCTTTCATCCCAGGGGGTTATCCAAGAGTGAAACCACAGGCCCCACCCTCCAGCAACCTGCAAATGACAGACACGGAGACGCACCATGCGAGATGAAAGTCATGATGAGGCAGGCTGCCCCGGCCGCCAGGCTCGACAAGCCGAGCAGGGACAGGCGGCCCATGCGGTCGATGGCGAACAGCATGATGAAGGTGGCTGGGAATTCAACCAGAGCAGAATAAAGGAAGTCCAGGTAGAGGTTCTCGCTGGTGGCACCCATGTGCATGATGAGACCCTGGTAGAGCACGGAGCAGGTGAACCTGCACAGAGAGGAGGCCACATCACAGGCAAGCTCCATGGCCCTCAAAGAGGGTTGGCGGAGCTCAAGTTGGGTGTCACTCGATTTAGAATTTCTTCAAGCAATAGGAGACGAGCGTTGGGGGGGAGCTACAGTTCAGACCAGGGGCATCCTCAAAGGCCCCTCAAGGAGAAGTTCCTTATTATGACCTCAGTGAGCGTGACGACAGGAGGGTACTCGTTTCTCAGCAATCTAAATGATGACACTGCTGCTGACTGCAAGGCTCGAAGCCTGGCCTGCATGGGGCCTGCGCACGTCCCACCTCCACTAATGCTCTGGTGTGTCCACAGAGGACTGCAGGAGAAGGCAGTGGTTCATGGGCAGTTTCAGGAACCAGACTGCTGTGGCCTTAGCAAGTCAACTAAACTCTCTGTGCCTCAATCCCTTCATCTGTAAATTGGATAATAACAGCACCTACCAGCCACCTTGTACTGAGTATTCGTGGAGTTAATGGACAAAAACTGCAGGTGTACTTCCCTGCAAAGATGAGCTTTTATCACCACTAGTCACTGTCATCTTTGCAAAGTCAAGTACCCAGGCACCGCAGAGAAGTGCCGCGCAAGGCCGCCCCCGTCCATGGTGGTGCCCCTCCACCACCAAGCACCCCTCAACAGACTCGGGCATACTCCATCCTCCCCCCACAGCCCTTGCACACCCCTCCACCCCCAACTCAGGAAAGAAAGCAACCGTCCAGAATGTTCCTGACGGGCACCGCTGAGTCTCTCTCACTCAACAGGGAAGATCAGAGAGTCTGTGTAACTTTGGGGAAAACTGACTCTGGAGGCCAGAAACATTTACGATTGCTTTGGTATTTACACTGTGGGGAGAGGTCTTGGCCCCTACGAAGTGACTGTCTTTTCCCAGCATGTAAATTGCCTCTCGGCTCCAACACGGAGCGGGCAGCATCAGAAACAGATGCTTCTTGTTAACAGGCTGCTTGTTTTGTGAGGCTTCACCCAGAGAAGCGCTGGGGAGCATCTGTGTCTCATCCCAAATTATTCCTGAAGGGACAGAGGTCAAGAGAAGAATTGCCTGCAGCTGTGTGAGTCTAGATCAGCCCGCGGCCCCCTGCCCTCCAGCCAGTGAAACAGGAATGGTCCATGTACCCAGAGAGACTGACTTAAGACAAAGGAATGTACAACCTTGATTTTCTTGTCCAAAAAAATGAACAGGGGCCGTTAGCAAGAAAGTTAACAAATGTGCGGCACTGCCACCTGTCGGCGGAGCCTGTGAATTGCATGTCCACGTTAAACAGTAAAAAAACCCGCCGCTGTGCTGCTGCCAATTCCCTATGGGGGTGCCCGCCCCCCTCAAGCTCTGTGCTCGCACTAGCTCGTTAATCCTCACAGAGCACCTGTGACTTCATCTCTTTTGATTGCTGAGTAATATTCCATTGGGATAAACTCATGCAATTTGCAGCAACATGGATGGCGCTGGAAGGGATCATGCTCAGAGAAATAAGCCAGAAAGAAAAAGAAAAATACCGGATGGTCTCACTCATAGCAGGAATCTAGAGAACTCAAATAAGGGACCAGGAAAAAGACTAATCATAATAAAGTAAAAATCAAGATCAACAAGCAACTGTAAACCAGAGACACACTACAGCAGGGGAGGGGCAGACGAGGGAGTAGGATCAAAATGCGGGGGTGGGAATTGTCCGGAGACTATAACCAAGATGAAAATGCAGACATTGTGCAAAAATGAAAAATGATGTAGGAATTACATAAAATAAAATAATTTTTTTAAAAAGGGGGGGAAGCACCTGTGACACAGTCCTGGCATGAGACGGGCTGGCGAGGAAGCCGCGTCAGAGAGCGCTCACGACGCTTTCTGAAAGCAACAGTGAGAAAAGGTAGCAGGGACAGCCCTGCCCGCTCCTCCACCTCTGACATTGGGGCTCCGCTGTTGCCACAAGAGGGGGCGGCCCTGGACACCCGCCACCCACCGCATGTCTTCCTGGCGACCTCTCGTGCCTCTCAGGCTTCCCGCCAGCATGCGGCCCTGCCCGGGACTCCAAGCTCGGGGAGCAAGGGCAGCTCTTCAGGCGCTCTCTGTCCACTAGAAGGTCGGTTTAACACTCCTTCCCCCTTTTATTCCCCACCTGGCTTGTTCACTGCCTTGCACCCCGAGAGCAGGGAGAGGCGCCCCTTACCACAGGTACATCAGGATGCAGGTGTTTCTCCTCAGGCACCGCGTGCGGAACAGGTCTGCCAGGGAAGGCCTCAGCTTCTCGGCGACCTCCTCTTCGAGAGAGAGCGTCTGGAGGTGGGGGGCCATCAGCCACACGAAGCTGCCCCAGGCGGGAAGTTCCTCAAGGGACCCCCGCCAAGGTCAGCCACCCCACATCCTAGCCCCCACCTGCCACCCTGACCCCACCAGCACCCTCCTGTGCCCAAGCGGCCCCAGATCATCTTCTAAACCACAAGCACAACCCAAGCCCAGTGAAGCCAGAAGCCCGGGCTGCCGGCACCTTCAGGCCCTCGGGGGGCAGCTTCCCGTTCCTCTGGGCGATGCGGGCCAGTGTCTCTACTGCTTGGGCCTTTCTCTTCTGTGACAACAGCCATCGTGGTGACTCGGGCATACGCCTGCGGACAGATGCTCCTGCTTGGCATCTCACCGGAGTGCGTCTGAACTTCAGTCCTGATGGCAGACTGCTGTTGGGGGCACCCCCCACCTCCAGCTGGGATCCCCCATCACCTAGGGGACCAGGATCCAGGGGTGTCATTGTGTGCTGGCCCCGACAGCCCAGGCTGGGGCTCTGCGAGTCACTCATACGCTCGGGGCCACCTGCTAATAGTTACAGACCAAGGGAGCCATTGCCTTCTCCAGGACCTTCCCTGTGTGATGCTCCTGCAAGCTGCACTCCTTGTTCCCCGTATTAGATGCCCCATGCGTGTCCCCCACCTGCATTATGGCAGGATGTCTACAGGCCATACAAGGGCTGCTGAACAAGTCCCAAATTATTTCCAAAGAGATCAACTGTCCATTCCTCAACAACCTCTAGACACCACGTCTTCCATTCCCAACAGGACAGAGATGTCATAACTCTAGGACTGGGACTCTCGGGAATAAGACCTTTTGAAAATGTAGCAGGCTAAATAGACTCTTCTCCAAAGACATACAGATGGCCGACAGGAACGGGGGAGAATCTCATCATCACTTATCATCATGAAAACACAGATAAAACCATAATGAGCTGCCACCTCACACCTGTGAGAATGGTCACAGAAAGTGCAGAAACAGCAAGTGCTGGGAGGGTGTGGAGGAAAAGGAGCCCCACAAGGTGGGCGGGAATGCAGCCTGGTCCAGCCCCTGTGGAATAGCTTGGAGGTCCCGCAAAATGCTAAAAACAGATCCACCATGGGCCTCCTTGGTGGCGCAGGTGGTTGAGCGCCACACTGTGAAGCTGTCCGCAGCCTCTGCAGCGCCAGTTCGATCCCGGCTGGCCGGCGAGGGTCCCACATGGCGCAGCAGACCTCTCCTGTCGCGCCCGCTGCTCCCCTCAGCAGTGTATTTCGTCAGGCTGCCTGTTCTGTACCCCACTCTGTCTCTGGTGAGTCCTCTCACCCTCCCACGCACCTGGCCTGTACCCCGCTTCTTGTATAAAAATAAATAAATCTTTAAAAAAAAAAGACAAATGCTTAAAAAAAACCAAACAGATCCACCATATGACCCAGCAATTCCACTCCTGGGTATCTCCCCAGAATGTAAAAACACTAATTAAAAGGGAGGGGCACGCGCATGCCTGTGTTCATCGCAGCCCTCTCTACAACACCAAGATGTGGGGACAACCTCAGTGCCTCGCGTGGATCAGGAGGGTGTTGTCTATAGACAATGGGCCAGTCCTCAGTTACATGAAAGAAAGACCCACACTCTCTTTTTCGACAACATGGACGGAGCTGGAGGGGTGATGCCAAGTGAAATAAGCCAGAAGGAGAAAAACAAAGACTGGGCGGTGTCACTCCCATGTGGAATACAGAGAAAGGAAACAAAGGGTCAGATGGGCCAGGCCAGCAACAAACCCTAGAAATCTGACAGTGGAATTGAGGCCACAACGCGGGGGGGACGCAGTGGACTGTGCAGGACAACGGGGACCTCGCTGGTGGGTGAGTCTGGCAACGCCACGGGAAGCGGGAATCCTGTCCCCCTAAATCATGCACAGCGTTGCAAACAAAGGTACCTCAATAAAAAGGATCAAAACATTCTGAAAGCTGCACAGCACGGGACAGCAGCAACAGAAAGAGAAAATGCGCAGCGTGGCCCCAGCCTGCCTTCCCCCCAGCGTTCCTTTCCCCGGCACCCCGTCCACCCTGACGGGGAGCGAGCAGGCTCCCCTACCCGTGTGTGGGCTGCCTGAGAGGCCCGCCGTCTTTGGAGAGAGTGGGGCTACACTCCATGATTCAGGGCTCCCCATGAGATGGTCCCCTCCACGGCCCCCTGGGCGGCCCCCATGTCCCCCCCTGAAAAACTTCCCTGCTGGTGGCTACTCTTCAGACCCGCCAGCACTGACGGCTCAGGCTCAGGTGAACGCCCACTCGCACCCGGCTCGGCCCATGACGGGCTTATGTGCTTCATGTGCCCACCCCCTAGGGGACCCCTCATTCCCTCGCTCACTCACTGCCTCACCAAAGAGCACGCGCCCCCCCATGCGGCCAGTGGGTCTTGGTCTGACGCCCACCGCATGTCCTTGTGGGGAGGGGGTGAGCTGAAGGGGCTCGGTCTGAGGGTAGCACCCTGAAATGAGGGCCAGCCCCTGACGCCAGAACACCCCATGCTGTGCAGCCCGGGGCCCTTGTGGGAGATGGCCGCCAGGTGGCCAAGGGCAGCCGCAGCCCGCTTGGCAGGATGGGGTCCCGGGGGTGGGGAGCGTGGGGTCCCAGCAGAGGTACCAGCACAGGAGCAGGAAGAGGAAGACTGGCAGGGACACGGCCGTCTGGAGCCAGCGCCAGTGAGGGAGGGCGTAGGCCGCCGCGGGCAGCAGCACCAGCCCCGCCGCGAAGGCCGCCTGGTAGAGGATGGCCACCGTCCGTCTGGAGCCCGCGCCCACAAGCTCTGTGACTGAAACAGGAGACACGGTCACCCCAGCCCCCCGGTCCCCACCCTGCCGCTGCCCCCTGCACCCGAGTCTGTGCTCCCCCCAGAGGCAGGGCCCCCACACCCCACGCTCATCCCCATCCGCTAGCTGCCCCGTTGGGATCCTCGCGTTTGCCATCTGGAAGGAAAGTCCCCGTGACAGTCAGACAAAGAGCCTTTACAGTCAAAGTGGGGGTTCGAACCCAGGGCGCGGCCGGCACGGTGCACCCCGAGAGAGCTGTGCCAGGAAACACAGTTTGAGTTTAGCTGCTGCAGGAAGGAAAGTGAACCACGGGCACCGAACGTGCCTGTTGTGGCAGGAGGAGCTTCCACCCCGCGGCCAGAGGCTGGGACGCTCGCCCAAGATCACACGCTGCTCAGCGTGTGTGGACGTGACCCCAGTGCACGCGCACCCCACGCCGGCCCGGGCCGCGGGAAATGTGCCGGCGCCGCCTCGGCCCGCAGTGGTCAGGGGAACGTCGGGGCGCCTTTGGCCGGGACCCCTGCCCGGCTGGCGGCCCAGGCCTCGCTCAGGGACGGCCGGCTCGCCGGCTGCTTGTCCTCTGTCTGCAGTGAGGGCGGCTCGGCCACGCTGCCGGGGCCTCCTCCAAGGCCGCTCCATTTTCTGTCCTTCCCCGTCATAGACACTCGGGGAGAGAGAACGAGGCGGCAGGTGGAGGACGTGGGTGGACGCCCGGGTTCATTTCAGTGGCGACCGTCCTCTCTCCGGACGCACCTCTGTCCACCTCTCCACGTCGTTCAAACCAGCTGAGTCAGTTTCTCCTCAGGAGACGTGGCTCTCATGATTCACACGTTCAAAGTCTCCCTCCCTGGCCCCGCCATGAGCACGTCGATGTGATATTTTTGTTCCCCGATAGACTGGTTGCCAGGGGGACAGGGTCTGCTTCAGCGGCTGAGCGTCTCTCCAGCAGCAAATAGAGAAAGGGCCGCCTTCCCTGGCCCTGCCGGTCGTCAGGCCACAAATACCCCTGAGCAGCCAGTCTGCACCCCGAATCCATGCCCACCCCAAAGCACCCCTGCCTCTGCCCCCTCCACCCCACCCTGCCACACGGGAGCCGCCCGGTGCTTACTTAGGGTGTAGCCGGCCGTCCAGCTGCCCTTGCTGACCAGGCCCTGCAGCAGGCGCAGGAGCAGCAGGGAGATGTAGTCGGGGGCGATGGCCATGAGGATGCCCGAGGCCGCGGTGACGAGGGTCGTGCTCAGCAGACACAACTTACGGCCAAACCTCCAGAGGCAAGGAGACGGGGTGAGGGCCGGTGTCGAGTCCTGGGGTCAGATGGGCACCGTGGGGCAGCAAGGCCCCCCTCGGAGGACATCACTGTCACCCCTTGGGGACTGGCCGTGTCCACCCTTGGCAAACAGTGCCCTCCGGGTTCCTTGCTCTCTCTAAAGAGGAGTCGAGTGTCGTCGGCAACCTGAAGTCTCAGCCAGGAGTGGGGGCTCCTTTGGTGACACCCCAATTCTCATACAGTCTCCCCTCATTATCTTGTGTTTAATGACCACATTGTTAGTGGGATTTGGGAGGAAGCATGGAACCCAGGCTCTTGTCCTCCAGGCTCCTGACTGGCTGGGAGCGCCCTCTGGGCAGCTGGCCCACCCAGCAGCGTGGGGGCTTCTCCCTCCTCTTTTCAGGAATGAAATGGGCAGCGTCTTTGCCACAGCCTCACCCCCAGGCTCTATTAAATCTTGCACCTTCTCTGGCAGTAAGGCCAGGATGCAAGGGACAGACCTGCACATGGTCTCAGTGACCTTGACCCATGCTCATGACCCCATGGCCCAGCGAGCTCCCGATTCCCCCTGCCAAGCACCCTCCCAGCTGCCAACACGTCTCCTCCATGTCCCTCTCGCCTGCCCCCTGGACGCCACCCCCCGCACCCGGGAGCCTGCCTTCTTCCATGAAAGAGGAAGTTCTCACCAGAGCCCACCCCTCTGGCCACAGAAGCTTCCGCCTGGGGCACTGGTGTCCATCCCCCCACCACCCACACCCCAGGGAGACTGCCCCCCCAGCACCGCACACAGCAGGGTGCCCGTCTCTCCTTCATCCTCCACCTTCCCTGGACACTGTCCTTGCCAGGGGGCACGTGGCCGCCATGCCCACAGACGCGGCCACTCCCCGACCATCCTCGCTCTGCAGCATCACTGTTTCTCGCAGAGCCCATCCTTCCTTCCTACTGCCATGCCCCCCTCCCATGGCCACCCCCGCCTGTGACCACCCCCCGCCCCGCACCCCCTTCTGGCCGGTCTCTGAATGCAGCGCCTTAGGCCGCTCGGCCATCCTGACTACTCTGGCCGGTCTCTAACGTCCACTGCTGATGACAAGCCCGAGCACCCACCTCTCACCCCCTGAGCTTGCCCCGCCTGTGCCCACCTGCTCACCCTCTCAACCCGCCCCCGTCCTAACACCTCCATGTGGGACTCTCCAGGCTCCCCACTGGGCCCCCACGGCAAAGTCTGCCCACCCCAGACACCCACCTCCTGGAAGCACCAGCCTCAGCCTCACCCCCTTTTCTCTCAGCCCTTCACCCCAAACTGAGCAATCCGCAGGCAGTTTGGTCTGGGAAGTGCACCCCACAGCCGCCCTTTCTCTCCCTGGCTGCGCACCGAGCCCCCAGCCTCCAGCGGCGCCTCTGACCTGCCTAAGTCTGCAGAGCCCCGCTGGCCCGTGTCCTCCTGCCCTGCAGCCACGGCCCTGGCGGTCCTGCCACCCGGCGCCGGCGCCTCTCCGTACCTGTCTGCGGTGTAGCCGACGCCCAGAGAGCCCAGCACGAAGCCCACGTTGACACTGGACTGAAGCAGGTCCACCTTCCAGGCGTCGCCACACACCAGGTCAAACTGCGCACCGGGGAACAAGACTTGGTGTCGGCCGCAGCCACCCCTACGGAACCTTCCGCAGAGGCCCCCAGACCCCTCCTCAGGCCCCCGCCGCAGACCCCTCCTCAGACCCCTTCCCACAGACCTCTCCTCAGACCCCCCACCCCGCAGAACCCTGCAGACCCCCCACCCCGCAGACCCCTGCAGACCCCCCACCCCGCAGAACCCATCTCAGACCCTCCTGCAGATCCCTCCTCAGAGCCCCCCCGCAGACCCCTCCTCAGACCCCCCACAGAACGCTCCTCAGACCCCCCAGGCCCCTCCTCAGACCCACCCCCAGACCCCTCCTCAGACCCCCTGCAGACCCTCCTCAGACCTCCCAGGCCCCTCCTCAGACCCCCCAGGCCCCTCTTCAGACCCCCCCAGGCCCTCCTCAGACCCCCTGCAGACCCCTCCTCAGACCTCCCAGGCCCCTCCTCAGACCCCCCAGGCCCCTCCTCAGACCCCCCAGAACCCTCCTCAGACCCCCCCACAGACCCCTCCTCAGACCCCCTATAGACCCGTCCTCAGACCCCCATGCAGACCCCTCCTCAGACCCCCCTGCAGACCCCTCCTCAGACCCCCTACAGACCCCTCCTCAGACCCCCCTGCAGACCCATCCTCAGACCCCCCTGCAGACCCATCCTCAGACCCCCGAAAGACCCCTCCTCAGAACCCCCTGCAGACCCCTCCTCAGACCCCCTACAGACCCCTCCTCAGACCCCCCTGCAGACCCCTCCTCAGACCCCCTATAGACCCCTCCTCAGACCCCCTGCAGACCCCTCCTCAGACCCCCGACAGACCCCTCCTCAGACCCCCCTGCAGACCCCTCCTCAGACCCCCGACAGACCCCTCCTCAGACCCCCCTGCAGACCCCTCCTCAGACCCCCCCAGGCCTCTCTTCAGACCCCCTACAGACTCCTCCTCAGACCCCCCCCAGGCCCCTCCTCAGACCCCCTACAGACCCCTCCTCAGACTACCCCCGCAGACTCCCCACGGACACCCCCCACCCCTGCAGACCCCTCCGCAAACCTCCCTCGAGAAAGCCTGGAGACACGTAAGCAGGGGTGCTGGGGGGTCCCATGGGGCCCAGCTGGGGCTGTTGCTGGGATCGCACAGCACCATGTATTTCTGGCACGGTCCGTGCAAAGCAACTGACTAGTGGTCACCGAGCTGGCCTCATCACAGCCGTCCCAGAGTCCCCATTAGAACACAGACCCCCGGGTCCTGTCTGAGCAGGTCGTGGATCAGAATCCAGGTGAGTCTGGGGAACAGTGGGGTAAGCACCCCCTCTCCCTGATCTGAGGCCTTGCGCAAGGTCACGGTCGGGGGAGCTGGGCACCCAGCTGGGGTGGGGCAGAGAGGGAAGGGCCTCCCCACGGGGGAGCCCGACGCCAAGGACAGAGCACATTTCACCCCAGAGGGCGCCCTGTCCACCCCCCACCGGAGGGGAGAGAAGCCGGGGGCCGCAGCCGGTCTCCCGCCGTCCCTTCCTGAGCGAGCTCCGGCGTCCAGGCCAGGCGGGTGGGCGATGACTCCCGCAGGCCGAGTAGCTGCAGAGACGCCCGCGCGGTGTTGGGCTTGCAGGAGGCGGGAGGCCAGGGCTCTGAGGCAACAGGGAGAACCGAAGCGGAGCCCCCTCTTCCAGGGCGGGCGTCCCGGAGCGCCAGCCTCCAGGCCTCCCAAGCTCTCCCGGGATTTCACGCACCCCAGCGGGAGTCCCCACGGGCAGCCTCCCCGCCCTGCCCGGCACAGCTCCAGGGTTCTCTGCCAGCTCTTTGCACCTGGGTCACTTGGAAGCCCCTCCTGCTCCTCCATCCCCCACGGCCCCGGGCTCAGAGGCTCTTCACCATCTCCCCCTCCCCATCTGCTGCCCCCCCCCTCGCCAGACTGCACTCGAGCTGTACCAGCCTCCGTCTCCTGCCACCTCTGCGCACCTCTCCCGCCAGCCAGGCCCCGCGTCTGGTCTGTGCCCTAAACTGTTTCTTCCTTCCTTTTCCAGGACCACCACGTCCGCTGGCTCATTTCTCGGCTCCCTCACCTACCTCTGGGAAGGCCTGACCCCACCACCGCCCTGCGCCCAGGCCACCCCCGAGGCCCAGCTCTTGGGCTCCTCTGCCCAATAAGACCAAACTCCACCGGCATAAAGCCAGAGTTGCCGGAGGCAGCACAAAAATAACAATTCGGAGCGTTCGGGCGAGTCTGAGTGTCAGATAAACTACGCTTTCTCAGGGCAGCTCCCGCGGGCTCGCAGGCCCGGTCTCGGCCGTCAGCCCCACAGAGCGCGCACCACGTGGGACAACGTCACCCTCAAAAGGTGCTCGTTCTTTATCTGAAATTCAAATGTAATTGGGCCCTGAATATTCCCTGCCACCGGGCGTGAAGACCTCATGCTCCCGTCCAAAGGGAAGCAGCGCGCCCCAACCCGGGCCCGCCCTCCCGCGCCTCCCTGCAGGACCTGGACCCCAGATCCTGTTGACAACTCTCTGCTCCCCTCCCTGAGCCTCAGCTCATGGTCCCCTTCCCGCCCTGGCCCCCCACCCTTGCTGCTCAAGAGACCACCGAGACTCTTCAAACACCCCCGTGCTGCCCAGGGGCCGAGCCCACCCGCCCCTCCGCGCCGGCCCCCACACGCCGGGAGCCTCCATTCCCAGGGGACTGCACAGTCTTAAAGGGGCCTCGTGGCTTCCTTCCCCGTCTTCCTCCAAGCATCACCCCCAGGCTAAAACCGAGGAAAACTCTGAACCCCCTGTTGGATGAGAAGGAGGAGCGAGTGGCGGAATGAGCGCACGCCGTCCTGGCAAGCAAGGGGCATCCCAGCCGCAGAACCAGCTTCCCCGGCCTGGCGGCTCAGCAAGGACGCTGGACAGCTCAGTGCGGCGGAGCCTTCGGTCATTGGGGGGCTCAGAGACCAGACGCTCACTCGATGGCTCCCTGGGCACGTCCTCGCAAAGGGCACCCAAGACACACGCGCACACACACACACGCGCACACACACATATGCACACACGCACACGCTGAATACCCTGAATCTGCACGCTTCAGACAAGCAGTGTCCTCACCAGAACCGAGCTCTGCCGCAGCCATGAGGCCCGGGGCTCCACCCCTGCCCGACGCAGGCTCCAGGTCACCGCGCAGTGCTTGGAAAGGGTCCCTGATGGGGCAAGTCTGTGGCCTGTGCTAAAATATTCCCAATGCAAATGCAGGCCAGTCCTTGAGCCCACTGTCCTGCCCACAGGCCTGCGGTGGAGCCGCCCCGAGCTTGGCTGAACCCCGCGTCCCTGGAAGACACTAGTTATCATCCAGGTTTGCAGAGGAGGAAGCCGAGGCTCAGACACTAGCTCAGGATACGTGGAGCTCCAGGGCAGGGCTGGGGTTCAGGGTCTGACTCCAAAGCCCCCCACTGCCACCCCACCTCAGCACCCGAGATCCCCTGGGAGTGGCCAGCACGTGTGCGGGGCTCCTGGCCAGGGACGGGTTGCCATGATGTGAGGGGGGGAGCTGGACCCCAACTGAATTCTGCAGGATGGGGGCGGGAGGAAAATGAACCCCAATCCACATACACACAATCCCACTCTCCTCCAGCACCAGGGTCTGTGGAGGATCAAACAGAGGGGCAACACGCAGGTGGAGCCGCCCCATCCCTGGAGCTCATGACGAGAGCACCTGGGCCCCCTGACATGAAACGCAACCTCAGGATTTGCTGCATATTTCCTCCCCGCCCCCAAAGCCCACGCCCCCCTCTCATGCAGGGCCTGACCTCGGTCACGATGGACGAGCCCCGCGTGTCGTACACCCAGCCGGCCCCGCAGGGGCCCAGCGGCAGGTGGCTGCGGTTGGCGGCCAGGCCGGCCAGCGGGTCCACGCAGCCCAGCGCGCTCTGGTTCCAGTCCACCTCGTAGCGGAGGCACTGGCGGGGGAAGGCCTGGCCCTCCGGCCCCCGCCCGGCACCGTGAAGTTCAGCTCCTCGGCCAGGCTCCAGCCGCAGCGCCGGCTCAGCTCCGCCACCCCCGGGCTCCGGCAGCGGTGGTCGGGGGTGAAGCCCAGGAAGACGATGCCCACGTAGATGGGGGCGAAGGCGACCGAGAGCAGGCACAGGGTCAGGAAGGCTTGCTTCTGGAACCAGCCGAACTCCCCGGCCTGCTCCAGGACATCGTCCACCGTGGGCATGTCTGGGCCCGCACGCTGCGCACTGAGCGGGCCCGCGGGGCTGAGCGAGGGTCAAGGTCTCGGGAGCTTTCTTGGTAATGAGTGGCTTGGAGTCAGGCTGCCGTCACCAGGATGCCCTGGAAGCCGACCAGCGAGAAATAAATCATTTACCCCAAGGTGCCGGCCTCAGGGCAAGGGTGAAGGTGGACACGGGGCGCGGGGGGCGGGAGGCGGGGGGCCGGGCAGACGGCACGGGGGTGGCGGAGTGCGCCAGGCCGGGGACCCAGTTCTCTGGAAGACAGAGCAAGAGCACAAGGGACCCCTGGGCCCCCAGCCCAGCCCAGCCCTGCACAGAGATGACCCATTTAAAAACTTCTTGCTACCAGCAGATAAACCCGAGGCAGCAAGCTGGCCGCCGAGCTCAGCTGAGGTCGGGTGGATGCCACCGCCTGGCCCCCTGGCCTGGGCTCCAGGCCTTCGTCCTGGTCCCCAATGTCCTCTCCAGGACAAAGCAGATCACGGGCCAAGGACACACCTGGGAGCCAGCAGTCCAGTTGTCCAGCCTCCGGCCCAGAACCGCAGGAGACTCTCAGCCCGCCCCGTCCTTCCTGCATTTCAACATGAGGTGCTGGAGGCCGACAGTGGGGAGGCCACTTGCCCCAAGTCACCCAAAAAGCCGGCAGCAGAGCTGGGCCCTGGGTGCCAACCTTCACAGCCTTGCCTCTGGCAGCCGGTGCCACGGTGACAGGGACGCAGCCCCTGGGGCTCCCGGTAACCGGCCCTGCGGCCGAGGGCGCCTGATGAGCACCTCAGGAGAGCCAAGCTCCCCAAGGTGGACCCGGTTCCCTCTGTCCTCACCCCAGCGCCCCCTGGAACTCACGGCCTGGAGCAGGCTGCTGGGGGCGCGGCACTTCCTTCCACTTGGGCCCTTACCCGCCGCGCCCCTCCTGCCTCCCGGCTGCGGGGGCAGGTGGCAGGACACGGGCATTTGCCAAGTGGGAGGGGAGGGGGACATGGCTGCCCGGGAAGGACCAGTCAGCACCGTCCCGCCGCGTCTCTAGGATGCCAGGCAGGCGCCTCCCGAGCAGGTCCCCACTCCCTCTCGTGAGGCCCAGGGGACCCCCCCTTCCCCACTCTTAGACAAGGGGCGCCCCTCAGGGCTGCGCTGCAGCTGACTCGCCAACTCTCACGAAACCCGCCCACGGAGCCCCTCGCCAGGGGCCGAAGGCGGCTGACCCAGCCGCAGGGGCAGTGGTCGTGCCTCGGCGATCGGGGAGGATCCGAGCCGGGCAGCGGCCCACGGCTTTGGCGGAGCTGTGGCCTCCAGCCCCGGCTGAGCCAGCGCCGGGCACGAGGAGGGGGCAGGCCAGGCCCTGGGTGGCTACACCTGCTCACCCCGGCAGGGGCTTCTGGGTCTCTCCTCCAGTTCTCACCTATCAGTTCCCGAAAGACCTAAAGACGCGCTCGCGCTCCCCGCCGCGGAGGTGGGAACGCTGGGCCGCCGGGGGTCTGACCGGGCGCCGGGAGGGGCAGGGCTGGTGCGTTGCTCAGTCTCCTTATCAGCTCTGGCCCTTCGTGGGGTGACAGGCCAGCTCGCCCACAGGAAGCAGGTCCTGCAGGCCTGCCGCTCGGCCCAGGCTTGAGCTCCCACTCGGGCTTCTGGGGGGTTGCGTGCGCTCGCCCGTGGCCAGGGAGGGGCATGGCGTGTGGCCATGTCTCCAGAGCGCATTGCCATGCGCATTGCCACAGGACAGCATTTTTCCCAGGCCGGCTCCCGGACCTTGAACCCTCCTGAGCAGAGCAGGACCAGGGACTGGGGCCCGGGCTCAGCCGGAAACAGACACTCGTGGCCGAGCCCAGATGTGCGAGTGGAGCCCTCTCCACTGACGGCCGCCCTCCGGGGTAGCCAGGAGAGACCAGGCGAACCCCAGCTCCGCCAGCCCGCCTCTCCACCCCAAGGGCTGCGGGAAAACAGGTGGGGTGACTGCCCACCGGTGCCCCGGGCCGAGGAGGCTGCTACGGGCACAGTGCTGGGCGCCCTGCCCCCCAGGTCTGCTCAGCACCCCGCCACCCACCATGCTGTCCCAGGGGACACCTCCTGTCTGCTGCTTCCTCCCTGGCCCGCCAGGAGGGGCCCCCTCTCCCCACCCCAGCACCTTCTTCCAAAACAGCACCTTCAGCGGAGGTCATTAGGGGAGTTGTGAAAGGATGCTGAGGAGCGTGGAAACCACGGACGCGTGGAAGCAGCCTGGGGACCGTGGTGAGGCTCTCAGCTGGGCCTGTGCCTCCGAGGGGCCCCTCCCCCACCAACCCCCTCCCTGCGCCTCCCCTCCCCAGACAGCAGGCCCCCCAGACCCAGGGGCCACGTGCGCCCCGCCGGCCAGGACCATCTTCTCACCTCCTTGTGTCCCGGCACACAGGCCGAAGTCAGGCACGAGCCCCCACTGGTCTCCCCAGTGGCCCCCCACACACCCCTAGAGCTCCCAGGTACCCCACGCTGGAGTGTGGGCAAGTCTGCACACAGGGTGCCGGCGAGGGCAGGGACACCTCTGGGGACCCCGGTTCTCAGTTCTGGTCCCCCTTGGGCGCTGACTTTCCAAGGCGAGGCGCCTGAGCTTGCGTCCACGGCTCGCGTCGCGTCTGCTGTGGGAGCCTCGTCCAGGGAGCCGGATCCGTCCAGGCAGGAGCCCCTGACAGCCCTCCCTGCCCGCCCACCCTGTCCCCCTGCCCTCCTCATCCTCTCACTCCCACGTGCCAGGCTGTCCTCGACGCCGAGCTCACAGCAGCGAGCCAGCTCCTGCGGGCGGGCACCGCGGGCAGGCCGGGAAGGGGCAGTGGCAGCGGGAAAGGACTAGAGGCTATAGCGGGCAGGGGGCTGGGGGGGGGGCTGCAGCCGGGGGAGGTCTTGTGGGGACACTGGCCCTGGGGTGGCTGGGGGGCAGCGTCCCAGGTCCTGCCAGGACTGGGCTTCACCCTGAAGGTGCGGGGAGCCATGGGGCCATGAGGGGCCCCGTGTGGCGTGGTTCGGGCTGAAAGGACAGCGGCCTGGCACAGCCAGGTGCCCCAGGGCAGCCCTGAGGGCAGGGCCCGGCGATCCCCACCCCACACCGCTGATGAGCGAGCAGTGGTGCCACACCTTGGCCCTGTTCAGTGCGACGCTCAGCAGGGCCGTGAGATCCTGTGATTTCCTCTAACACCCGAATGTCAAAAAAAATAGGTAAACACTAAAATTTTCTGGGCGCCCCCACCCCCATCTAGCAGACACGAGAGCAAAGTCATCTTCAGGGACTTAATTCACAACAGGCTCCGTCCTGCAGCTGTGCAAGGACCCGCCGCCTGAGGGTCGAGCCGTCTTTGGAACAGAGGCCCCTGGACAACAGGGGGCCGCTCACACGCAGCCGCCTTGGACTGGCCGAGGGGCAGCTGAGCGGCCGCGGGGGCTCCAGGGTACAGGGCAGCAGGGGTGCGGGAGGAGAGCTCTTGTTCCGTGGCCCAGCCTGCACCTGGTGCCCCGGGGAGGAGGCGCGTGGAGGACACACGTGAAAGGAGGGACATGCGGACACGATGGAGCACGCGGGGAGGCTGAGGACGGCAGCTGTGACCTCCACGTGGTCTCTCCTCTTGTCCCCGCTTCCTGGGACCTGCCTCAAAACCCTTCCTGCGGTTCCTGCCAGAAGGAGCCTGAGACCCGTGGCAGGCTTTCCGGCCTCAGCAGCCCCGCTTCGGGCCAAGCCCATTTGGCTGGGCATTTGCCCACGAGGGGATGGGCGGGTGACTGAGTGGTTTATTGGGAATGACCTTCTCCCTTCTCTTTCTCTGTGCACTAATCCTATTAAAGTCTCTCACACGAAGAACTTTGCTCCTGTGGGCACAGACGTCAGAACCCTTTAAAGCCTGTGAGTTTGTGGGTGCCAGGTGCCCCTCAGCTGCACTAACATTTTCACCCCGTTGATAAACGGAGGGCCCAGATAAAGATTTCACAATCTACCCCAGCCTTGGCGTCTGCGGGGCGTGCTATGGAACGGCGGGTCCTTGCGGCCCCCCTCAGCACCCGCGTGTCGTCAGGTGAGGACAACTGAGAACCAGCAGCGCCCGCCGTGAGGGGTTCCCTCTCCATGCCAGTGACCGACGGCTCCTACTATATAAACTAAATTGAAATGTGTGTTTGCTGGAGTCGTTATGGCACAGTAAGCGCCTCAGCCTGCTTCCCGGTTCAGTCTATTTAGCAAACTCTTGACTCCGCCGCAAGTGTCTCCGCAGTTACCACAGGGAGTAGGAGGTACAGAAATGCAAGTCACTAACGCCTCACAAGCCCGCCTCTGGCCCATCAACCCTTACGGAAATGAAAGCAGGTTTCGTTTCCCCCGGACCGGCCTCCCGCCAGGCTGGGCAGTGCCACACGCCCGCTGCCCAGGCCCAGCAAGCCCTGCCTCCGGGAGCGAGCCCGCCCCCCCGCCGCACCCCACGCAGTGCCAGCAGGACTGGTCACGCGCCTGCTGGGGACTTGACAAGACACCTCAGGGTCCAGGCCTGTCTCAGGCCGACCTTGCCGCCCCCAGCCACTCTAGCCCCACACTCCACGCAAGGCCACCGTGTCCGTGGTCCCTCCGTCCGGAGCCACCTCTGCCCAGAACGTGGTCCCTCGCGCCTGCTGGGGCTCGCCCGGCCGGCGCCCACAGCTGCCCGCCCACTTTCCTCCCGGATGCGCGGCCCAGCGGCCCCGGGGGGCAGCCAGTGCCTCTCGGGTGGGAGAGGGCAGACGAGGGAAAAGAACAGGGACGCCTGGTTAATAATTTATCTTTTATTGAAATTGTTTAATACTTCATATTACAGTAAATTTGATTGAAAAAAAATGAGGAAAGAAATCAATTTTAAAAAATACACTCATGTTGAAATCATATAAGCCAGCCAAACTGAGTACAAACCGAGAATTCGGTAGGTGGTTTGCTTTCCAGTATATAAACACCACCGAGTCTATGTACAGTCTAGAATGCAAGAAAAGTCATTCGTTAAACACTTGGAGAAAGGCGCCCACGGCGGGGAGCAGGCGGCCGGCCTCACCACCCCGGCGCAGGGCCCGCGGGGTGCCGGCCAGCGGCCCAGCCCTCGGCGGCCCCGCCATTTCTGTAAGCCACGCACCGTGCAAATTAAGGCTTCTATTAGGTCAAATGGTTGATAAACACTTTTTTTCTTCTTAAAAAAATAAGCACAGTAAAGGTGGTATCATGAGAACCTGAAGGCGAGACCTGTACCCCAAATCTGAAAAACGTTATTTTCTCTGACATCTCCATTCTCTCTCTCTCTCACACACAGACACGCGCGCACACACACACTCAAATCAATCTTTGGGCGGTTGGTGGAATTCACCAGCTGGCGAAAGAAATACTGATAAATGTGCCGTGTACACCCGGACTGAAGTTACATGCAAAAGCTGCGGCCGTTCTCGGCAAAAGGCAAAGACAGGCGAGCCCTCCAAAGCCCAGGCACTCGGGGGACGGTGCACACGCGTGTGCTTGCACGTGCGTGTGTGTGCACGCACGTCCCCTTAAGAAACAGAAAGCGAAGAGAGAAGAGACAGAATGGAGTATTCTAACTTAGAGGATACATAATTCAAGACCAGTTCGAGATCTCGTATTCTCCTAGGAAAGCATCCTAGCCAACCACAGCTTCCCTGGCAGCGGGACGACCGGACGAGGTCCCCTGCACGCAGGGAGAAACTGTCGTGGGTTGTTGTGTTTTTTTTTTTTAACTTTTTCGCAAACCTGAGTAATTGTCAAAGTCAATAAATAGGAGGAGAGAATTAAATGCTAAAATATAATGGTCAAATGCCCGACGGGGCCTAAAGCAGCAAGGGTTTTCCATATACAGCCCTCGGTTCCGAGATGCGTCCGGCCCAGCGCCCAGGACAGCGCCGGGCAGCAGGTGCGGTGCCTGGTCCCAGGACCGTGGACACTCGGGAACGGGCGAGCACCTGACCCTTCTCCCTCTCCCCCTTCACGAGAACACTTCCCTTTTGAAACTGTTTTTGTTAAAGGCAAAAATGACAGAAGCATCATCAAGTTGAAGTCCTATTTGGTCGGAGCGTCTGGCTGTGCCGCCGGCGCGGGCGCACGGCACGGGCCTAGATGTGCAGGAGGTCCTCGTCGCTGTCGTCGTGGAAGGAGGCCAGGCCGCCGGGGGTCCCGGGGGCGAGCTGCGCAGACCTAGGCCTAGCCCTGCGGGCCTTCCCGCCCCTCACCAGCCCCACCCGGTCATCCCCTCTCTCCCGCGGCACCTTCCTAGGGGGGTTCCTCACGGGGTGCAGACTCTCGGCCCCAGCCCCTCTGCCCGAGTGAACTTTCACCTCTGGCACGGTCAGCACCTCATCCTCACTGTCCTGGTCATCCCCATGCAGAGACGTGAGGGCTTCGGCCTTCACGGACTTGGTGGTGATGTGGCCGTTCTCCTGCCCGTCCTTTGGGGGCCGCGGAGCTGGCACCTGGATCTCCTCCATCAGCCACTCGGTCTCATTCTCATCCGCCTCTTCCTCCTTATTGACCTGGGCAGGAGGAAGCAGAGGCCCAGGACCTCCTCTGAGATCCTGTTCTGCTCCCCTTTCCCTCCCCCCACACCCACGCTGAACCAGGACCCTCGGCTCCCTGCCACTGTCACCTCAGATTGGGACTGGGTCCCACGGGAGGGCACGGCCAGGCCCCCAGATCACCAAGGCTGCACAGTGGAGGCAGCCAGCAGGGCACCAGGAGCACCAGCAGCGAGCAGGCTGTGCTGGCAGTGGGGGTCCTCAGGCCGCTCGGTGGGAGCCCGGCCTCCCCGGGGTGGGCAGGGGGCGGAGGCCGACAGCCACCTGGAGGAAGCTGGGAGCCTGATGGAGCCTCAGCCTTCCAGAAAGGAAGTGGCCCGGCAGCCCGCGTCAAGAGGCACATGTGTACTCATGGCCTTTGGCCCAAAGGATCTCTTTTCTGGAAATTTTGCTAAAGTCTGCACAAAATTTTTCCTTTCCATGTTTTCTCAGAATAGCCAAAGAAGTTAAATATTAAATATGCTTAAGGGTATCAGTTGCAGCCACGATGAGAAAAAGTTGAAGGAAAAAAAGGTTGTGCGCTAGGGTGACGCTTTTCTGTCTCAATTCCCCTGTGAGGACACTTCCTTCCCGCCCGAGGGCACCATCACACCTGCCCTCGCCCTCACCTTAGAGTATTTGTAGGACACGTCCGCGCTCCTCCGGCAGCAGCTCGTCAGCTTGCTGAGCACCGTTTCCCTGTGAGGAGGAGACCAGTCACTCCAGGGCGGATCCAGCGGGGCGGGAGCCCCACCCACAGGCCCTCCCGGCCTCTGGCCCCTCAGGGCTGATGAACAGACGAGGCCCAGACAAGCGCCCCAAGGACAGGCGTGCTGACCCACTAAGCAGGTTATAAACCACTTTGGTGGAAACATGTTGGAAGTGGCCAGAAGTGGACCCAAATCCTGCCCCAGAGTTAGTGACTGAGCAAGGCCAGAGCAGGTCAGAACGTCCGTGCCTGGTGGCGTGTGGCTGTGGGCAGACCTGCCTTCTGCCCTCAGGCTGGGTGGACACGGCATATGCACGCAACTGCCCCAGGCAAGTCATGTGTCTTCTGGCCCAATCCTGTGCCCACAGATACCTCAATGAGCCAGCCTTTCCCACCACCTGCTCCTCTGCCCCTGCAGGGCTTGGGGCTCTGGGCCGCATTCATGTGACACATGAACCGGCGGTCAGTCCCCAGGGAGAGGGACAAGCCCTTTCATCCAGCAGAAGGCAGCTGAGATGGCAGTGTGGCCGACACACAGCAGGCGCCCAATACGTGCTCACTTTCCCACGGGAGCAGAGGAAGAGAGGAGGGAAGAGGTGGGCCCAGCTGGCTGGAGGACTCTGCTCACAGGTGTGTCTTCATTTACTGTCCATCCAGAGACCGAGGTCCTGGGACAGGTGGGCCAGGCTGAGCCCACAGGGCATCTGCGGTGACATGAGCCCAGACAGTCCGGCCAATGGGGCACCTTGTCTCAGAGGCAGACACCGCACCACCAGCTTTGGAGAAAATGTCCACGGTTTTGACCGAGAACTTCGGGACTTTGGCTGCCGCTGGGCTCAAAACAAACGCTCCTCACCGTCTCTCCTTCTTGTACAGCAGCAGGGCCAGCAGACACACAGTCAGCGCCACCAGCAGCAGGCTGAGCAACGCCCCCACGGCCTGGCTCCTCTCCGACAGCCCCGTGTGCTCCTGCTGGTCCTCGGCAGGGTCGCCGCCGAAGGTCACCCTAGAAGGAGCCCATCTCAGAGGCCCTGCGCTGTCACAGCCACCCCAGCACCCCCAACTCGGGGCACTTGGATTCCGCCTGCCTTCGGCTATCTGGCAGCACCCCAACACTGGCGCCGCCAGACATGAGGAAAGTGATGGCAAAGCTCTCAGAAGACATCAGGCAGGTGTTCCAGAGACCAGATCGGAAGACATGGCCTCCTCCAGTCTTTGGCCACCCCTCTGGGCTCTGAAGGGGACAAGGCACTTCCGAAGCACAGCTCCCTGAGGGGCAAGCTGGCCACTCTGGTCTTCCAGGACAACAGCCTGGCAGTGGCTTCTCCACCCACAGGGCATGTTGGGATATGACAGAGGGATACCCACAGGCCACCGCCGGGCGGGCGCCGACACCCCACCAGGCACTCTCCCAAGCCTGTGTTACGCCTCAGGATGCCGTGAGGCTCCTGATAAACACAGCGGCTGTTAAGCCAGCACAGACTCCCCAAACCCCCCACCCCCTGACAGGTAAAGCAGCCTCTTCCCCTGATGTCGTCAGACACTCAGGGAATGCAGAGCAAGTAAGTTAGAAACACCTCCCCTTTCTGCTAAGAGAGCCAGAAGTTTGTGGGGTGGCTCGACCCCACTAGCGCTGAACTCGAGTGTTTTCAACTCCCCCAGTTGGCTCTGGGCCCTGTGGGGAGCTGGCCCCTTGCTTGCCCGCTGCATGACGCCCAGCAGACTCCTCCTCTCTCCACGGGCAGTGAAAGTCATCCTCGCTTTCCCCTACCCTCTCCCCCCACCCCTTAACCTCAGACGCCCCACTGCATTTATTAGTGGGTGGCTGGCACCCCTGATCTTTCTGGCTCCAGGCCGTCCGGGCCACCACACCTCAGTGACAGAGCAGAGACCCATCGCCACCCAGAGGCAGGCGAGCGGGGGTGCGGGGGTGTGAGGTTCCGGCAGGATGCTCGTGGCACCGCCTGCTCGGGTGGGGACATCGCCCCAAAGACTGACAGACAGAATTGTCAGCAGCCTTTGGACTCTGCCCCGCAGCTGATGCTGCTCGGGCACTGGGATGCTTCATGTGCACCCCAATGCCTTGCCGGGGGGGCGTCACCACCAGTCACGCTCCGTGAGCCCTGCTGGTACTGTCGGCCTCTCTGAACCCGTGACTCTGGTGGTGTGTTTAAGTTTCAGGTGCATTTCTACTGTTCAGCTAATTTCTCGTTATCGGTTCTTAATACAAAAGCATCTCAGATGTCACTGTGAGTCCAAGATGAGGCCGAGCACCTGCCTCCAGGAGCCCTGGAGGGAAACGTGGGCTGGAAGGGGCGGGAGGCTGCAGGAGGCGCTGGACCTGGTGGGCACCAGGGGGCCCGCCAGGGGCAGCTGTGCAGGCTGAGCGGGCAGCTGTCAGTCACGGCAGCTCTCTACTCCGCGCACTGGACACGTCCGTGATAACCTCACGGGGAAGCACAGCCCGCACTTGAGCCAAGTTCCGCGCTCTGACAAGGGGAGGCAGAGCCGGGAGCGTCCCCCAGGAAGGTCAGCCCTGCCGCGCCTGGGGCAAGTGGGCCCACTTACCCCAGCGGGCACACGGCGGACGTGTACCAGGAGAAGAGGTACTGGCAGTCAGCCGTCTCGTGGCTGAACTCAGGGATCCCGTCCTTCACCAGAGGGTCACAGTGAAAGAAGATGGTGGAAGAGACAGACTTGGTCTTATCCTTCCCACACTTGGAGGACGAGGCGAACACCACGTCGAGATCACCATCTGCCAGAGGCGACAGAAAACGCCATCACCATCACGTGTCAGCGCCAGGCCGAGTTTAGCTTTTCAAGTCTACAGGAAGTGCAGACTTGAAAGCAGATGCAGGGGTGCGTGGCTGAACCCCAGTGCCCTTCTTCACCAGTCGTCCCGCACGCTAGGGCGCCCCTGCCCTGAAGAGTGTGCTCGAGGGAGCCCACCCTGCCCAGGAGAGCTGGACTGTGCGGAGAGGCAGGTGACCTGGGAGATGGGGCTCTATCAGCCCTCCTGAGACTGAGCACAGCCAGGTGGGCAACAACCACCCTCCAGCCCCCGTAACCACCAACCACCCCCCATAACCACCAACCAACCAACTATAACCGTCAACCAACCAACCATCAACCAAACTACTGTAACCAACCAAACACCCACCCAACCAACCACCAATCAACCAACCAACTGAAACCAGCCAAGCTGTCAACCCGCCAGCGCACTGGCGCACCCAACGGTCTCCCGGACACTGGCCCAGGTGAGCTCCGGGCGGGCCACGTGCCCCATGCATGCCCTGATTCCAGGGGGAGAGGACGAAGGAAGCGCCTAGATCCCCCCTGTGCACCGTTTGCCCTTCTTTTGCTGAAACAAGTCCGAACCGAAGCCGTGACAGCGCTGCGGGTCCTGGGAGTCTTTCTAGTGAATCATCAGCCTGTGGGTGGTGATGGGTGAACCTGCAGCCGGTGTCAGAAGGGAGCCGCACATGGACTCTGCCCCCTCGAAACTTTGCAACTGGCACAAACTCTTTGAGGTCAGCCACTGCTGGAGCAGCAACGTGGACTGTGGCACGTGGGGCGCACACATCCACCAAGGAAGGCGCCAAAATGCGGGATGAGCGGGCCGGGCTGGGTGGGGGCCTGTGCACCCCCCATGGGGGCTGAGGCATGAGCTGCAGCTCGGCCCACAGGCCAGCGTGTGGGTGTGTGCCAGAGAGCTGGTGGGAGGGGACAGCAGCTCTTCTCAGCTAGAGCCGGGGCCTGGGTTCCTGCTTTAGCCTCTCAAGTGAGTGAAAAGACTCAGGAGCAGATTTTAACTGTATTTCTTCATGAAATGTGAAAAATGTCTTACAACGAACCCTACTTTCTAGTGCTGGTGAATGAAGAAGCAAAAAGGGCTGGAAGGGATTTCCTGAATTGTGAATTCGTTCTGAATCCAGAAATGCACATGGATGTGTACACACACACACACACACGTGGGCATGGCACGGGGAGGGCAGGCAGTCTAGGATTGCCTGGTGACTAGACACACCACCCCGTGTAGGGGGAGGTCTGACCACAGGGACAGCCCAGGAGGCACGAGAGCAGAGGAGGACCTTGCTGACTGGGGCAGGGCCAAGGCTGGAGAGGTGGGAAGGTGGCCTGAGGACAGAGCTCATGGACACCTGATGCCCAGACACATGGGCCCCGCCGCTTCCAGGCCTGGGAGGGCCCCTGGGAGGGGCGCCTGACAAACCTTCCAGGCCGTGTTCAGAACATTCCAGGGACATTGAAGGCTTTTAAGGCAGCCCATTAGCCAGTCCACGACATTCCACACACACTGCAGGCCCATGCCCTGAGGATGGCACAGCCAGGGGCCCCGGCGGCCAGTGCAGGTCCCAGCAGTTGACCACATTCCACCCACCCCCAAGTAGGAGGCAGGCAGAGAACAGAGACCCACAGGGGCGCGTCCAGGACGGGAATGGCAGAGGAGCAGGCGGCCTGCAGGTGCCCAGCGGCCATCAGGGGCTGCTAAAGGCAGGGCCGGCTCGGGAGCGCAGGACACGCCCTCTGCGTCACCCCTCGGGCTGCTCCCCAGTGCAGCTTCGGGGGCTCTCCTAGGTGCGTGGGCACTTTACTTAAAAACTAAAGGAAAAGGCCTCCCCTGTGGTGCAGCGGTTGAGTGCTGGGCTGCGAAGCTGCCCGTAGCCTCTGCAGCGCCGGTTCGTTCCCCGGCCGCCGGCGAAGGTCCAACAAAAAAAAAAAAAGGAAAAATGATGTAAAAAATACATAAAATAAAAATAAAAAAAATAAAATACGTATCAATACTACAAAAAAAAATTTTAACTCTTCATGCAGAGTTTCTGCCGTCTGCAAATGCCATTTCTCAGGCCAGCACGACACCTTCTCTCACAGCCCAGGAGCGGAAGCGCTGAAGCCAAACCAAGGACAGCTCTGCCCTCGCCCGCTCCAGCCTCTGCTCCACCCGCAGGACAGGACCCGCCCGCCCGGGGCTCTGGTTTCCACTCCTCTGTCAACTGAGGGGAGAGTCACGTCCAGTGACAGCCTCGGCCTGGCGCGCTCCTCGGACCGCTCCACCCAGTCAGAGGGCTCACCTCGAGACGCAGAATCAGACCAGGGCGCGTCTCCACGGCGCGGAGCACGCAGGTGCAGGGCGTCTGCGCGTGAAATTTCTCAGGCCCTTCCCGGGCACGCAGGACCCTAACAGGGGCTCACCTTGCAGGTAGTACTTGGTTTTATCAGATGTCCCCACTTTCCTGCTGAAGTGCTGGTCGTGGGGCTTCACCTGGCACACGCTGGCGCCGGCGCAGGCCGGGTTGGAAGAGCTGGTGATGGAGGAGAGCTGGATCTCGTACAGGTACCGGTCCCCGTTTGTCCTCATGTCCCCGGAGGCGCTGAAGAGCCTGCAGCATCAGAAAGCGAGGTCCTTCGCTACGGCATCCGGGGGCGGCCAGGCCGTCTCCCACCCCTACCTGGCACGGGTCCCACAGCCACGAGGGTGCCCAGGGCACCAGCTCCATGGCAACTGCCCCCCATACTGGGCAACCCACACCTGCCTCCCCAACTCTGGCCACTGCCACCAGACCCCAAGGTCTGCCCCAGGGATGCTGCTGGAAACTGACCCCCACCCACCCCACCCCAAAATCCTGACCAGAAGGCTCCGGCTTGGACCCTGGGCTTCTAAGGGGACTTCATGTTCACCCCAATACTGCGCCACCTCGGTATGCACACAACACAGGGGAGCAGTGCTTTCTCTGGCCCAAGCAAGATACAGCCATCACCCAGAAGCAGTAACTGCCGGGAGAGCTGCCTTGGGGTCTGGCCCCAAACACACCCTCCCAGGACGCCGCCCCACGTACTTAAAGTAAATGTCTCCGAGGCTGACGCTCTTGCCGTTGAGGGGGTTGGTGATGGTGCCGTTGACCATCTGCACCTCTTGCGGCTTCACAGCGCAGGCGGCCCGCGAGTCCCAGCTGAAGTGGTAGGTGCAGGTGTCCCCGTCGAACCTGCCAAGGGCAGCCACCGGTCACACCACAGCAAAAGGCCGCAAGTGTGCCCGACGTGCCACTGGCTCTCGGGTCTCCAGGAGACCCGGGATCCCAGACCCTGAAGGCCCAGGGTCTCCACAGACCTCCCACCTGTGCCAGGCAGGCTGCTGGACCCCGACCCGAGGATGGAGGTCCTGCCAGGACGGCCAGGGTTTGCTGTGCTGGGGAACAGTGGACACGGGCCTGGCTCTGGCCTTACTGGCATGCACAAGCTTGTCAGCTCACGTGCTGATCAGAGCCTCTGACGTGCCTGGATCTCCCCTCCTAGCTACTGGGAGGCCGCGGTTATTCACAAAGAGCAGCTGTCATGCCCCCTGTCAGCCAGGCTACCCCCAGCACCCCCCAAGAATTCCAGCAGGACCCAATTTCCAGGGCTGGCCCCGCCACCTGTCCCACGTCCAGATGGCGCTGGTGGCACCAGTCCTTCATGACACCCAAGGACGGAGGCCCCCAAATACCACCTTCGGTGGTTCCATTAACAGCCAAGTCTATCAACACAAGCCCCAGACTTTGCAGGGTGTGGGGGTCCCTCCTCGCCAGAGGCAGCCCGGGCCTGAGTCTCAGCGGCCAGAACCCCTCCCTGTAGTGACAACCTAAACATCCACTCCCCAGCAAACCCCAACCCACCAAGGGAGAAAGCCCAAGAGCGCCTGGTACTGCCTTCCACAGATAACCTTTGACCCCATGCTTTCACCTCAGTTTTCTGTTTTCTTTCCTGCCTGATTCTGATTTCTTTCCCTTTTTTTTTCGGGGGGGGGGGGTGGTGGTCCTGTGGGCTCTCTCCAAGCCTCGAGGAGCGACCACGTTGGTGATGCACGTCTGGAGTCACAGCTCTAAGGACAGCCACGCCTCGGTGCATTTCCAAGCCCAGCATGCTCTAAGGGGGGTTCAGACCGTACTTTCTTCTCTCCCCCAGCAGCGCCGAGCATGAAGCTGGGGACACCATGTTCACAGCCCTCGCCTCCAGGGCTCCTTCCAACATCCCTTCTTCCTCATTTTAAATAAAAATAATTGTCTCATCCACCTGCACGTTCATGATTCTGTATCCTTTTCCTCCGCTGATCGCCCTTAACCACCCCCTTCTGCCTTTCCCCCTGCCCTTCCCTCTGCACCGCTGAGGGCTTCCTTGGTCAGAGCGTTCGCTAGTTTCTGTGTGTTCCGCTTTGTCAACCCGTGTTTGTTCTTCCGACTTGCTCCACTGCACAAGCCCCCGGAGCCCCAGCCCCCAGGCGTGGTCAGCAGCTGCACCGCGTCCTCTCGGCCTCTCACCTCTTGAAGGCAGGCCGGCCCACCGTCTTGGCACAGGTCAGCTCGATGACGGTGGAGGCCGTCCTATTCTTGCCACAAGAATACCCTTTGGAGTAAGTCACGATGACCTTGTCCCCTGGAAGACACAGTGGTGGACCCGACATCAGGCCCCGCCTCATGCAAGGCCCGGACGTCGTGGTCGCAGCTCTAGGAAGCAGCGGAGGAGAGCAAGCGCTTGCTCCACAGACACCCGGCCGCTGACCGCACCTGCCCAGGGGGTGAGCCCGGCTCTAGCCAGGGTGCCGGTGACCGGCCTGAGCCTCAGTGTCCTCACCGGGCTCCTGCTCCGGGGCACACAGACAGTGCCGGGTAACGTGCTGGACGCAGCCCTCAGGTGAGTAGCTGGCAGCTCAGTGCCCGCTTTGTATAATTTCTGCTTCACTTCAGATACTCGCCCCACACCTGAGCCTCCAAAAGAAGGGCAGGTGCTTGACCTCCACCCTCCAGAGTGAGAGCCAGACAGAGCCCCTCTGTCATCTTGATTGCTCTGGCTCCAAGCCCGGCCCTTGCTGCTTCTGAACAGGACGCAGGGAAGGGAAAGCTGGGCCTGCCTTCAGTCTCAGTACACAGCAGACACACATGTTCCGCCGAGCATCTCCCGCAGTCAGGCTCCTGGTGCCGAGGGCCTGCCCAGTGCTGACCTGGGCCCAGCCCAATTCAGTGACAGACTTAGCTCAAGACACAGGGCTGGGCGGGGTGCCTGGGAGAAGCCTGACTTGCGCCAGCCCGCGGTGGGGCCTGCAGGCCGCTGCCAGCTAAATCCCTGTGGCCCTGAGCTACTTGTCTCCCCCAAACTGCGGCGAGTGTAGACGAGTCAGCTATCCCCCCACAGCCACGAGCGCAGAAGCCGTGCCCTCTCCACCAGCCTCTGCGGACAGCAAGGTGCTAGCACCCCCTGAGGGCAGGGGGCAGCGGGGCGCACCCTGGGGGCTCTGGCCACCCTGCCTGTGGGGACACTCGCTCCCACTTCAGAGCCACCCCGAAGCCGCGCTAGGCTGACAGGGTCCTCAAATTCCCTTCCTGTTTCAACAGTTCATGGGAACTAGAGGCCCCTTATGACTTAGGACAACTTGGGGGACCCCCACGTAACAAGCAAAGATGTGTGTTTCTCCCAACACACCCAGACTGTCCTGCCTCAAATGATGGAAGGCGCCCCCCTCAGGTGGCGACCGGCTTTGTCGTTATCCTCCAAATGCTCACAAACGTGGGCCCCGGTTTTCTCTTTCCCACACTGCTCAGCTCTCCCGCATGCACACGTGCGGGCTGAGGCGCCCTACCCACCGAGCGCAAGGAAGCAGAGCCCCAGATACCCTGACTTCCTCCCGAGTGGACGGACGTCCAGGAGCTATCAAAGCATCTATGAAGCAGCCGCCAGGGATCATTTCTGCAAGTGCTGAGCCTATGCTGAGCCCCTGGCCCCTCAAGGCCCCTTCCTCCCCTGGAGCCAGAGAGAGTGGCACCCGCCAGCCCGACAGGGACCACGGCTTACCTTCAACGTCCAGCTTCTGCGTGTGGACAAGTCCCAACACCTGGACTTGGCCAGTCTTGGTCTTTTTGCAAATGCTGGCCCTTTCAGAGCAGCCAAGGGGCCCTTGGTACACCTTCTGACACAGGTTGATGTAGTACCTGCGAACCCACACAAAGGGGGACCGAGACAGGTGAGCCTCTGAGGTCTCCGCTCTAACCGCCCGCCTGCAGCAGCATCGGCTTCGTCCTCCCACCCAGGGCCACGAGCATCGGTGCCCGGAGCAGCCCCGCCTCAAGGCGCAGTGGCCCGAGAGGACCTGCCCCGAAGGGCTGGCCCCCTGCGGAGAGCGGGCCGCGGCCTCGGGAGGCACGGACACTCACCAGGCGCCGTCGTGGGCGAAGTGCCAGGAGCCGGTGAGCGAGGACAGCAGGCGCAGGTCGTAGGTCTTGTGCTTCTGGATGAACTTGCACTCCATCTTCTTTGGAGGGCAGACCACCTTGGTCTTCCACTCAAAGGTCACCTCGCACCCGCGGGTCTCGCTGAGCACCTGGGGCCTCCCGAGGTCGGCCTCCTCGTCGCACTTGAAGATGATTGCAGACATCCGGTGGCTGTTCACTGGGGGAGCAGGCGTGCCGGTCAGGACGCCTCCCCCGGGGCTCATGCCTCCATCCTCTTCCACCGCTCCCTCACCGCCATCAGCCCATCCCCACCCCAAACAGCCCCCGGGCCAGCTCTCCCCTGCCCGTTCGTGACCCCTCAGCGCAAGGCAGTGGACAGGCAGTCAGCATGTGCCCCATGAGCCAATGACCACAAAGATGTAGAAACAGCCACCGCGAGATGCCTCATAACCACCTAAAAATGGGAGTTGACCCACTGGCCGGAGACAGGCCCTGGACACCCACGGGCTCTGGACACCCACACAGGCCATCTGCACACTCACTTTTTTAGTTTCAGAGACTTGCCATTAGCTTCTGAGACCATACTGTGGGTTCAGCTGCACACCTGACGCCTACCTCACCCCCACCCCAAAGATAACTCTTAGATGCTGTGAAAAATTGGGGTGGCGAGAGGGGGTGCTCTTCTAAGAGTTATCTTTGTTATTCTGCTGGCCTCTCTCGTCATCTGTATTCCACACACGGGGACGAGCTGCTGACCGTCCTCCATGCCCACACAGCAGCCCTGTTCAAGTCTGACGCGCATCGGGCTCCTGCCGTGACAGGGCCACATGCCGGGGGGCGGCCCTCGCCCCGAGACAGCGTTGCTATGTGAGGTGCGAGTCCCAGCACAGGAGACAGACGGCCACGTGACCATCCAGGCCAGTGAGAGGCCTCGCTGTTCCCCAGCCTCCACCCGCACCCAGCTCTGCAGCTGGGCACTTCACCCCACAGAGCCATTAGCCTGACGAGGACAAATGCGAGGTGACCTCCCTCATATGTGGAGTAGAAGGAAACCGACAAAACCAAACCCAGACAGACCCCAGCACCTGACAGCAGAACTGGCGCTCCAGAGGCGGGGGCAGCGCAGAGAAGGCAAGGGCTGCGCTGGAGGACAGGGCGCCTCGGCAGGGCCAGGGGTGCTGGCACGAACCGGCAGCCCCTGTCACGTGCAGTGTCACACACCAGCTTTTCCTCCGTGACGACGAACTTTTTAAAAATCCTTCCATTATGGAAAACAGCCCTACCGACAACGTAACTAACTCCTTAACCTGGACGTCCACGGAGGTCGGCCGCTGGCCACAGGTGTGAGCCCCGGCCCGCCCCCACGCGGGCCCCTACTCACAGTGTCTGCAAAACCCCCACTCGCGGTCCCTGTCGTAGTTGGCGGTGGTGGCGCACCACAGCTTCGCCCTGTTCTCCACCACGCACTCCTCGTAGCTCTTCCCGTTGAAGATGAAGGGGAACACGCAGGGGTCTCCGTCATCGGTTTCTGGAAGGAGACAGAACACCTGCATGACCCACGGTGCCGGCACAACCTCGGCTGTGCCTTGCCAGGGGCAGCCACGGGCACACCCACCAGGGGTCCCAGCGTGGGCGGCCAACCCAACCGCCTTCGGGAGAAAGACAAGGCCAGCGTGACAGCGGCTCCCGACCAGCGTGGGCGAGGCCCGAGAGGCACCAGGGCCGCGACACCAGACCCCAGCACCCAGCAGACCCCAGCACCCACCAGACGCTCAGCCCAGTCTTTCCTGCTGTCAGGCCCCATTTCACAGTGACCAGGATGCAAAAACTCGCCACTGCAAAGGTTACCTGGAGGGCAATTGTCTCCATTGGCGTAACTTAAGATGACGGCCTCGTCCTGGTGCCTGTAATCCAGTCTCATGGACGCCAGGCGGCCGAAGGACGCGCCCTTGGTCCCAGAGAGCAGGCAGACACCGCCATCCTTGCAGCCTCCTTGGTCCGGGCCCAACGCCGCGGTGCACACGCCCACGCTGTAGGTGCGCGAGTCTCGAGTGACCTGGACAGACACCAGCAGTGGCTGTGAGCGGGTCTCCACCGAGGAAGGTGGTGCGTGCGGGAAAGCAGGCGAGTCCCAGCAAGCGTGAGCTCATCGCCTGCCCCCAGTCCTGGTCTTCCTCAGAGGGCAACGCCTGCCCCACTCACCTCCTGCACCCCCAGCTCCACAGCCTTCTCCTGTCCTGTCCCCTCCCAGTGGCCGACCTCGCTGCCTGCCACAGCTGTGGAGCAAGCCGGCTGCAGGGCCTTGGGCTGCTTCCTGTGCCGCGGGGAGGACTTCTCCCTGCCTGCCGCCCTGCCCAGGCTCACACCTATTCCACAGCTGGCAGGAGGGCTGCCCAGCAGGAGCTCTCTGTGACAGGAGCCGGGCATGCCATTCAGAGCCTGCCACTTCCCAGGCTGCAACCCATGGGCACAGACCGTGACTCGGCCTCACCGACACAACAGACCATCCGCCACTGCAGAGCAGGAACAAGGCAAGCCAAATGCGTCCCACATCAGGGGCACTGCCAGGCTCCCGCCAACCTCCGCCGCTGTGGTCAGCAAAGCCCTGCCACCTGACCTGAGAGCCAGGCCAGAGATGAGGGCACAGCCCGGTCCTGCACCGGCCTGCCAAGCCGGCCCTCCAGGTGCGCGGTCACAAGCACACCCACCCACCTGCTCTCACCTATGATATGAAGGGCCCCCACACCTCTGGGGGCCACTTCATCTTCACAAAGCCCTGAGGAACAACCCTGGAAGCACGACGAGGACTCAAGTGTGAGCGTGACTGGGGGCCAGCGATGCAGAAACCCAACCGGCTGGCCGGTGAGCCAGATGCCCACACCCTCCCTGCATGCCCTGGTGACCCCGCACCCCCAGGGAGCACAGAGTCCAGGCCCCTCATCCCAAGGGACAGGCTCAGGGCAGCTGTACCTTGAAGGTGCTTTTGGACAGGCTGGACAGGTTGAAGCTGTAGTAGAGCTGCTCGTCCGTCAGGGAGCAGCCATCCGCCTTCACCTCGTCCGGGCAGACCAGCGGGGTCTCCCACTCGAACACGAAGTCACAGTCACTGGTCCTTAGCAGCTTCGGGGTGCCCTGTGTTGAAGAACAGCCCGCAGGAGGTGGTCAACATCCCCTCCCGGGGAGGGTGGGGACTGAGGACACCTGCGGGGTGGGGGGGCACCCAGTGGACGGATCAGCAGCGGCACACACGGCCGTCTGGGGGCTGTAGGCAGCCCACGGCACCTGCCCACCAGGCTCCCTCTTAGTCTGGCTGCTGCTCTATGCTGAAGAGATGGTGTTTCCGTGCTCCCTGGGCACGGAAGGCAGGGGCCTCTCACTCTCCTTTAAACACCAGCACAGTGAAGCTGGGGAAACTGAGGCCTGGCCACTGCTGAAAGAGGCAGAGTGTCAGTGTGCTGACCCGGGGCCTCTCCACGCCCCATTCTAGTAACTGAGAATCCTCACAGCGAAGGTGCGATGCCACAGCGCCAGGCTGCCCCGGCCAGTGCCCGCACACGCGTGTTTGTTCCCTCCCTTTCAAACATCGCAACAAGCATATTGTGGTTTTGGGAGCCGGTCAGAAATTTCATTTTTAGCTGCTGCTGAGTATGTTTGGTCTATAAGCTCAAGTGGGGAAAGTATTTCCACTTCAGCTGAAAACCACAGAGGAAGAACATGTCTTGACAGTCTGTCCCAGAGATGCGGCTACTCCTGGAAGTGACCTTGACAGCAGACACACGCACGGACGCCCGGCTGATGCCCAGTTGTAACGCGCAGCCGCTTCAGCAAACACACAGAAAGCGACTGTACGTCAGTCTCTCCGGGCGGGAGGCACGTGCCCCAGGGTGGCCGGCTCCAGCCCCCAGGAAGCGCCGAGCCCCGCACGCCAGCTTGCGCCAGGGCCAGGTCCCACGCGCCTGCGCCCAGACGCTGCAGCAGTGCCAGTCAGTGAGCTCGTGGGGCTCCGCAAAGTGGGGAGCCCCACAAAATCGCCCCCCCCTTCCAAATGAAATGCTACCGACAATGCCTCAGACAAAACCAGGCTGCCTTATGCTGCGTGTGTCCACACGTCTGAGTGCAGACACCCACGTGACCTGCAGACAGACAGACAGAAGGGGGCTGACGAGTCCAGACCCACCTCCTGACGAGCCCTGGTGACTCAGAGGACCCGGGGCTCCCCGGCGCGTGGGGCTCCTACCCTGCCTCGACGCTGGCCTGTCCCGCCTCATCAGGCTGCTGCTATCCCCCTTGCTCCCCTGTCCACACCCACATCTTGCAGACGTAGGGCCCTTTCCCTCACCAGCCAGCTCCAGGCCAAGGAATCAGTCATCTTACAAAAATGACAGGACGCCACAGGCTATTCTCTGAACTCCTTGGGGCCAAAGGAGTGTGAGAATTCAGACTGCGCCTCCGGAATCTTAAGAGGCAGCTTAGATTCATGTTTCCATTACACACCCGCACCACGCGCGGGCTCGGCGACCTGCTATGTCAGTGCTGCTGCAGCAAATGCATAGCGTTGTCTTGACATGGAATAAAGACAGAGCGTCATTAGCCTCAGTGCACTTGCGTGGGGGAGGTTAAGAGCTCCGGGAAGCACGGGTGAGGGGGCGGAGCCAGGCTGCCTGGAGCAGAGCGCACCCCACCTGACCAGCTGGCCAGGCTGTGACGTGGGGCGCCCCACCCAGCCATTTGGAGTCACTGCAAAACAGGGGGGGGGGCAGAATCTACCCATTTACCTCTTATTCACAGAATGGGGGTCGAGAGAAAGCAGTGCAAAAGCTCTTTGTAACAGGGGGCCTCGTTAAGCCGCGCACAGTCTCCTTTCCGAAACACACAAAAGCGGAAGGGCGCAGCCTCCCTAGAAGTAAAACTAGGACCTCCTTATAGCTGTTCTGACCCAGGATCCTCTTTTGTTACGTGCTGGATGATTACAGCTGCCAAGTCTGACTTCCCAGTAAGAATAAAACCTGTAGCACCAGGTTTAAAAAAAAGCCCATGTTCCACATGTTGCAGGCAGCACTAAATGGCGCCGCCGCCCTGAGTCGCATCCTGAGAGTACAGTGAGCACCTCTGCACAAGTCCTGCGCTGCTCGCTCAGGCAGGCTGGCTCCTGGCTAAGTGGGCAGCTTTACAATAACCCAGAGGCAGCAGCGGGCACCACATGACCCCAGGCAAACACACCAGCACCCCAAGACACCACCACACGCTCCCAGCTGTCTGTGCCCAGCTGGACTGGCCACGCTCACAGCAGGGGGACCGGCCAGTGGCGCATTCAGCATGCTCACAGCCCTCTGCAGGGGGACCGGCCAGCGGGCCGCACTCACCATGCTCACGCCCCTCTTGCAGTGGAACACGATCAATGAGGTGTAGTTGAAAAGACTGTTCGTGGCACAGGGCGTGCTGCTCTCAAAGTTCAAGTAAACTTCATTGGCTACCGGGTTGAAGGCAGGAGGTCCTGTGACACGGCCAATGTCCTACACAAGGGAGAAGCAGACCTGGGTCAGGAAGGCCACTCCCACAGTGGTGGAGTACGGGCCGCAACACAGGACTGACTGCACCAACAGCGTTGAAAACAAGCAGGGTATGGAAGAAACCAGGCCAGTGGCAGCTCCTTCGGGAAGCCTCATCCCCAAGCTGCCCACAGGAACCCAGTGAATCCGCAGGGTGGTTCTAATGCCATGGCTGGCTCGGTGGTTCCAACTCTTCCCACAGCCAGTTCTCAACAGCTAGGAAAGAGGCATCACTCTCCAGTCATATCAAGAATGCGGACAGCCAATCTGTCACCTGAGCCCAGATCCTGCCCCAGGCCACCACGTCCCCTCAGGCCCGCGCCCTGGCACTGCCAGACCTGGCCAGGTGCCCTCAGGGGGTCCCGGGGAAGAGAGGTCCATGACCAGGTTGCTCAACAGGACACCGGTCACTCAGAGGTGGCAGTTGTGACTAACAAACACGTGAACGCGAGGTGGGGCGGGAATGGAGCACATTATCAAGTCTATGGGTGACGCCACCACGTCTGTCCCCATGAGGCACCATCCCAGCCATGGCGACCCTACACCCTCTCCACATGAAGACACAAAACCATTTTTAAAATCTGAGAAAGGGCAGCCAGGAGAAACCCAGGCCGGGGTCGCGGAAGTGCTGTCCACCCAGCACCCAGGGGCACCGCTCCAGGAGGAGAGCGACGGGCTGGGCGCCCGGCCCACCTCCACCCTGCCCGCGCCCTCCCAGCACTGCCCTAGGAAAGGCCACCCGTGCCTGCACAGCTCGGGCCTGGACAGCATTGACTACTCACTATGGGGTTCCCGTCCACGGGCACTTTGCAAACGGCAGCTCCAGCGGGACAGGCCACCCCGTGCATGGGGTTGAGCGGCTGGCAGATGTTGATGTAGAAGTCAGGGTTGGTGTCCGACTCCTCGTCTTCCTCACTCTCGTCATAGGCCTCGTACCCCCCAGTGCGGTGGATGAGGGGAGACAGGTCGATCAGGGCGCTCCCGTTCCGCACGGAGCACTCCGTCTGTAAGCAGCAGAGACCTCATGGGAGTCCGTGACCAAGGGCCCGGTCCCCTTCGAGTCACGCGAGGATGCAACACTGAACTAAAGGCACCACAAAGGTGGGTCACGGTCCCCAGCTGCTTCCCAACAGAACATGGGGTGCTCGCTGCCAATCGCCAGAGCAAGTGGGAGCAAGTGAGATGGGGGCACCCCCAGAACCGGCAACGGAGCCGGATCACCCCTGGGGGCACCGGGGTCAGAGCCCCAGCTCCAACTCACCACCTGCTCGCAGGCCAGGGGTGTGTGCCAGGAGAAGAAGAGCGTGCATGTCTGCTTGTCCAGGGAGATGAGCATCGGCCTGTTGGTGGGGCTGGACTCGGGCCGGCACACGAAGCTGATGACGCTCTTGTAGGTCAGGCCGGTTTTGGAAGGACACGGGGACCCGTCCTTGTACACCAGCTGCAGCACCTGGTCCACGTAGGTCAGCCTCTGGTTGGCCTTGCCCACACTGATCCGGGTCTGCCCGAAGCAGGCGCCTGTGTCCAGGGGGGAAACCACAGGGTCACCCACTCCCTGACCGACTCCCCGCGAGAACGCACCGCAAACGCAGGCTCTGGGGTTCACAGCTGAGGGCACTCTTGTGCGCACCCCCTGCTGCGTTGGCCAGCACCAGCCCGCTACAGCGCAGCATGGGCTGTTGCCCATGGTAGTGGACGGCCAATGTCTCCTCTGTCACAGGAGGGCCAGGGGGTGATGGGCACACTCACCCACGCCAGGGGGACAGTTCTCGTTCTCCCCACAGATACTGATGAAGACAAGCCCCTTCTCACTGTAGGCAGCCGTGTGTCCAGCTCTGCCCCCGAGAGAGGTGAGGTCGAACAGGTGTCCTGCAGAGGGAGGGGCCAGGAGCACGCGTGTCAGACTCAGGGCCTCGCCAGTGCTCACGCTCGGAATGCACAGACCCCAGGACTCCTGACCGCTCGCCCAGTCCCTGCCTTTCACGGACACAGCGCTGGACGCGCCCCTGACCACTAGTCCATGTCACAGGTACCAGCCCCACATTTATGAGGTGGCCCCTTTCCCCAGAAGGTAACAGCCCAGTGGTCCCTTGGGCTGGGCCGCAGCGACCACCAGGATCCGGTGGGACAGACTGGGCCTGACGTGTCCCTGCATGGCCAGTGAACTGCACCCTCAGGCCTGGGCAGAGGGCAGTGCAGGGGTCCCAGTGTGCCTGTGCACACGCAGAAGGACTCCAACCCCCTGAGCTGCAGGGCTGACACATGGACACGGGACCACAGACACAGCTCGGGGGATGCTGGGTCCTGCCCAGTGAGTGTCCCCACGGAGGAGGACCAGCACGGCGGGAGGTCGAGGGCAAGGCCCCACACCAGCCTGCAGGGAAGGCGCCTCTTCCAGCAGCCACACGCCTCCGTGGGGTGCACCAGCCCTCGGGGGCCCACCACATCCCCACCGTGGTGCTGACGTGGGCTCACCTGTGTTGGGGTTGGTGACCTGGCAGTTGTCGTGCACGTTGCTCCGCACAGGGCAGGCGGCGGGCGTGGGCCAGGAGAAGGTGTACTCACAGTCCTCCACCGCGCTGACGAACACGGGCCTGGTGTTCTGCACGCAAAGGACACACAGCTGCCGGCAGGCCGCACAGGGCAGGCACACTAGTCACCCCTCACCAGGAGTGCCCACCCCACACATGTGACACTCCACTGCGTATCCAGAGTGTGCAGCAGAGGTCAGGCTCATCTGTGAGCTCGTGCCAGGGCCGCAGAGAACCACCACCCACGGGCACAGGGGAGCCAGCCTAGAGCTGAGGCCCGGGATGGACCGGATGGGACGGGGGCCACTGTAAGCCACAGAATAAGTTACTGGTAACATTCTGGAAAACAATGTGTCAAGATGGACAAGGCAAAATGAATTTACCAGATCTCCACCCACACTGGCCACAGCCGAGCCGCCCATCCCACATGCCCTCTGCCACCACGGAACCCGTGTGGTTCATCCTCATACCACCCTCCCCAGATAAAGCTGGTGAGGGTGTGGTGCCCGCCTGACCAGCCACCAGGGCCGGCTGCCTCACCCCAGGCACCACCCTCCTCAGCCCAGGTGTGGCTGCCTCACCCAGGCACCATCCTCCTCCACCCCTGCAGCCCTTCCTCTTCCGCCAGGTGCCTCTACTCAGAGTGGAGAAGTCTCCCGAGGCCCAAGTTTTCTGACCCCAGCAGCCTCTGCACCTTCTCCCCACAGGGACTGCTCCCCGTCAGAGCCCATCACTAGCCCCGGCTCCTGGGCACCCCCAGCACCCCAGTGGGCAAGGAGGCCGCCCAAGCCCAGGTAGGGTGGGCAGCTGCATAGACCTAGTCCCAAGCCCGGGTCATAAGTGACAGCACACGGGCAGCAGGTTCTTCTGAGAAACCATCCGCTTGGTCCCCTGGCTCAGAGCACATACTGACCCTCTGGGGGAGGCCCTGACAGGGAGAGAGGCCCAGCCCCAGAGGAGCCTCCCCTGCAGCCTCTCCTCCCTCAACCTGACAACCACCTGGCAACAGGTAACATGACACGTTGTTCACAGTGAAGGTCCAGAGTGGGTATGGGACTGACCAGCTGGGAGTGGGAGGCCGACCTCTGCCCAGCACTGTCCGGCCTCCAGCACCTCCCAAGCGGCAGCCACAGACACCAACACCATGAGGCCAGCCCCACCGGAGGTTCTCCAGCCTTCAGAGACCCAACCACTCAGAAACTAGACCTGGGCGGGCACCTTGGGAGCCAGACGAGAAAGGGCACGTGGCCCACAGCCTGCAGGACCCACCCTGGGCCCCCGAGCTCATCCACTCACACCCAAGACACACACCAAGGGTCTCGGTGCCCCCAGATGGTTCTGCCCCCTACGCAGCAACACCAGGGCTGAGAACACCATCACTTACGGTCTGCTTGTCGTTGCAGATGAAGCGGATGGTGGTCGACTTCTTCCGGATCCTGTCTGGACACCAGTCTCCATCCACGTATGTGAGGACTGTGGCGCCATCGCTCCACTGAGGGCCATCCCGCACCCGGCCCAGGTTCACAGGCTTGAAGTCGCCCACCATACACACGGCTGCTTCCGGAGGGCAGGGCTCTGCAACACGTGAGGGCGGCGAGGACTCACCTCGGGCCTGCAGGCCAAGTGACCAGACACGCCGAGGGAGCCTCCGCTTCTCCCCCAAGCCCACCCTCGCTCAGTGTTGCTTCACCGCACGGGGACTGCGGGCAGGCAGGGTGGGAAGAATCCCAGGCTGGAATTACTTCTGAACCCCAAGTGATGATGCTAAAATACCTGGGTTACTGGAATGTGTACACGGCCCACACTCACATGCCGACTCCCAGAGTCCTGGGATGTCAACACTGCCTGCCCAGGTCTAGAACCAGTCTCATCCACAGTCTCAAACGTGCAGAGGATGGAAACCAACTTGTGTAGGGAAAACCCAGCACCTGCTCAGAGCTGCGCCACACAGGACTCGGTGGGTGCTGTTAAGCTCCATGCAAATGGGACACGTTTCGACCCAGCATCCCAAGAACCACTGGACGCTGAGGCCACGGTGGGGCACTGCCTCACATGCTGGTGCCACAAACATAACAGTCTAGTCTCCACCACAGGCACTCAGGGTGTCAGTCTCCATAAGCAGGAGGCACACCCCACCTTCACGTCGCCCCGCAGCTCTTCCCCTGCATGAACTTCCTGCCACCACGAATACGCCAAGGAGTCACTCAAAAAGGCTACAATGCTCCCAGCCAAGCCTCGGCACCCGTCTATCCTGAACCCCCCAGGGAACTGTGAGGCTGGTCAAGGCCCCTGCAACTTCCTGGCTAAACCACACCCACGCTGCAGGGCAACACCTTCAATGAATCCCGTCCTGCTTAGTCTCCCCCATGAATCCACTATCCACCAACACCCCGCCCCACGCTCCACCCCGCCAAAAGGCCCCTCTCACCCGAGCCAGCATGCGGGGACAGAGACTTGCAGACGTTGATGAGGTAGTGCTCGGTGGCCCCCGTCCTCGTCACCGCTTCCCAGTTGTCACTGTACCTTGACAGGGACGACAGGTCGAAGGTGTTCCCGGCCGCATCTCTGCAGGGAGGAGAAGTGGCAGCAGGCTTGAGTGTGCGTGGTCACGTCCCCAGCACCCGAGACACCGTCCTGCCCTGCAAGAGGACACCTGCCGCTCACAGCAGGACGGACGGGGCGGGAGGGCAGGGTACCACGCAGCATAATTCAGAAGGAAAAGGGCAAATACAGGTGCTCCCCTCACATGGCACGTACAGGCACAAAGGAACAGACAAGAGCAAACCAGAACAAACTCCAGCAATGTGATTGCAGAGCAGGGGCCACCAGAGGGGCGGGCAGGAGAGCCCTGGGGAGAGGCCCGGTGGGCCGCGGGTGCTCTGGCGGGGGGCATGTCGCGGAAAGGCACTTCCAGAGAGGGGCGGCCCTAGACACCACGCAGCACTGCAGACTAAAGCAAACCCAGTAAGCCTGACTTAAAAAGAAAGGGAGGCCACTCGTGTGGCTGGGCCTGCACATGTGAGGGAAGCAGCAGGGAAGGAGGCTGATGTAACACGGGGGCTCAGCAGGGTCTGTGGCTTGAGCTGGCTGATCCTAATGAGACCTGAGAACCACGGCTTGGGAGTTTCAGCAAGAGCGCGCCGGGCCTGCGCGCCGGGGTCACTCTCATTCTTGGGCTGGGCGAGCCCAGTGCGTGGCCAGGAAGGCGCAGAAGGCACGGTGAGACGCCAGCCGAGATGCAGGGACAAGATAAAGGGCCTGGACCGGCGTGGGGCACGGAAGAGAAGCGGAGCAACGTGAAGGTAAAAGGACCATAAATGGGGGGGGGGGGGGCGGAACCACGGGTGGAACTGGCAGTAACTGACAGAGGAATCAAGGAGAAATGATGTTCACTCTAATCTTACACCCAACCCATCAGATTTGAAGGAAAATAATGATGTTTTCAGATGGAGGGAGAGGAAGAGAGGAAGGGGAGCAGCAGCAAAGGGCGAGAAGAGGGAGAGAAGCAGAGGGGAGACGCTGGCCGGCGGCAGCCGGAGCTGGAGTCAGAGCACACGACCCAAGGCGCCGAGGCGCCAGGAAGCACAGAGAAATGCCGCCGCCGGGGGCAGGGCAGAGACCAGCTCGCGCGAATCACGCTGCTCCTCTGTGAAGGAGTCCACAGAGACTACTGGAGGTTGACAACGGTGTATGTGTCATTTAGAGTCCTGGAAGGTTCCAGAAAGAACTACAAGACATGGGGAAAAGGTGGAATGAGGCTCTGCGAAAGATGGAATGAGGCCATGTGAGAGGTGAGTGTGGGATAAAGCTCGCGTCACAGGACACGTTCTGCACTCTGAATTTCTTACAATATGCACATAGAAGCCTTCATTTTACCCAATTATTTAATTTTCCTTTGATTTAATACCTGCCAGCTTTTAAAACTGGGCACAAAAAACTTTGGGGGGAACAAAGCTTTCTGTACAAAGATCCCCAGAATTACACTCCTGAAACACAAGTGTGAGGAAGCTGAAGACGGCGCCAGCCGCGGCGAGAGCGGCTGAGTGACTCGGGGTGTCCGCACAGCCATCTGCTCACAACCACCAGCAACGAGAAATGAATGGGCTTCACGTGGGCACGCTCATGAAACGCTGCTTTAATTACAATTTAAAGGCACTAAACACTGACCGCCACAGGCACTTCCGTGCGCTGCTAACATTCACTTTACTCAGGAGGCAGCACAGCAGGACAAAGATGTGGGGGGTAACAAAATGTCTCCCCAAGACAGCTTGCTGTGACCCTGACTCTTTCTGGGACAAGTCCTCACAGTGCGACTGCCAGTCTGTCCCTTACCAACTCAGAACACGAGATTCAGATGCACAGAACCAAACTCTCCAGGGAAGGGACCCAAGGTGTCTGTTTTGTACCAATTCCAAGGGTGACCCTGTTGAAATTCACGCATAAAGACTCCACCTCATCCTAGGAGGAGCCGACCACCTGCCGCAGGACCCTACCTGAGCCAAGGTGGCCAAGACCACCAGAGGCCACTGAGCACCTGCAGGCGGGTGTCCCCCCCGCACCCACCAATCCTCTGCCGTCACCCTTCTCCATGGCTTCAACATCGTCCCAGACAAGCAGCACGCAAGGGAGAAGCCAAGGCAGGGGATCATTCTGGTCACTCCGCTCTGCCCACACCTGTGAACCTGCAGTGTTTTCCGCCCTGACTGAGCTCTTCCCCAATTGTTTGAATCATATCCAAAGTAATCTCAAAATCTCAGGTGTGAGGGGCTTGAGACAACCTAATCCAGCCCTTCATTCAGCTAATACAAGCACTGTGGCTTAGAGAAATCACCTGACTCCCGAAGGCCCCATCCCCAGAAGAGAAACCTGATGGAGTGAACGTGCCAGCCCCCAAGTCTGCACTCCTGGGCCTTACTTGAAAGAACACTCCGTCACGTCAAAGGGTGGGCAGGCGTACTGGGTCCGCCACTCAAACAGGTACGAGCAGTCCGAGGTCTCCTTGAGAAACATGGGCTGGGAGGAGAGAGACACACGCAGGTAATCAGGAAAGGTGCTGTAGCTCATCCGTGGGGCTTATGGGTGAAAACAGTCAAGGAGAGCCACGTGCATTAAGGTCACACAGGTGATCAAGGAGCCAACACAATCTCCGTAAACAATGTATTTTTGAGTAAGAAAGTTTTTATTATGCTTGACGAGCTGCACTTTTACACACAGAGCTGACCACTGGCGTCTGCATGTATTACTAGTCTCACGGCATTGCAGAGTGAGCACCAATACTGAGATTATAATGCCAATTTTGAACCACTGAATTTTGAACTATGAATGAAATTAAAAACCTCATTTACCCACAGTATTACAAAACAATGAAAATAATGAATTTTCCAAATAATCAAAGCTTCTCCCTTGGCGACCTGTATTGTGAACTGGAAATATTTTGAGTGGAAACCTTAAATGCATCAATTCCTCCGACTCCTAAGGCCTGTGCTCTGGTCTACACAGGTGAGCCCCACGAGACCCATCACCTCCCTGCCCCTTGGGCCTGGGCGAGGGGAGCTCCCTGTCCCCGCACAACCGCTGGCTCCGTGTGGGCTTAGCCTGGCCCCTGCAGCCACCGAAAGGCTTGCTGATTGATTTGAACACCATAAAAGCTCACCTGGGCTGCGCACAGAGCCCCCTGAACTGGCTTATGGGGCGGGGGAAATGAAAGCACTTATAAATATGCCTCGAGCCCGTGTGCTCAGTAAACATCACTCACGCCCCGAGCACTCATGTTGAGGAACTCTGCATGAATCACGCGTTTCAACGACGCTAGCCGGGAGGGCTGGGGAACCCAGGGGAGCAGGCCAAGAGGGCGCCGGAGCCCAGCGACGGGCACACTCACCCTCTGGGTGCCGCGGTCACAGTAGAAGTAGATGGTGGTGGAGCGCTCATACACCTGGTGGCACCTGTCCCCGCCGGTGTAGTTCATCTTCAACAGCCCATTCTCGTAGGTCAGCTTCTCCGTCAGGAGACCTGTCGACGGAGATGCCGTCAGGTGAGGCCGGGACCCTCGTCTGCCCAGCCGGCAGGTCAGGTTGCTCACCCTGAATGCACCACCCATGGCCACCGCCCAGGAGAGAGGGGACACAGCCCTCCCGTGCAAGGCCCCAGATTCGCCAGCACAGAGATGACCCCTCATCCGTTCCAACTCCCTTCTCCCACATCCTGAGCTCACCAGTACCCGCCCAGCTCCTGCCCGGGCCCCGCGACGCCTCACGGCCCAGGCCTGCACTGCATGTGCCCCTCCGGCTGGGTTCCAGGACGTGCTGCCGCAGACCCCCCAGCACCCACCCGCTGCCCAAAGGGCGCACACGTGATCAGGGGTCAGGCTCTCTGGACCGGAACTGGCATCACTAACCGAGAAGGCAGCGAGTAGCCCCTTCCCGCAGAGGGCGCCAGGAATCAAGCTACATCAAGTGACGACGTGGCTTCCCCCAGGGAGAACCAGCCGTCCTCCTTACTCGAGAAAGATGTGCTCCCGGCGCCAAGAGCCGAAGTGTGGAATCCTGCCCTTCCTCCACAGGCAAGGCCCCGCCGTACCTGCCACTTTATGGAAGCCCTGGGGCCCCCGCTTCTCCTGGCACGACGAGACTGCCTTGGCCTTCTCGCCGCCGAGGCAGACGCTCGAGGACAGCTGCCCGCAGACCCGGAAGTAGTAGGTGTACTCGCCGGCAGTCACGATCGTGTCGTTCAGGGACAGGGACCTCAGGTTGTACAGGTGTCCGTGCCGGGGGTCCCTGACCTCGCAGTTGTCTCCTTCAGGAGACACGAGACGTGAGGGCGGCCTCAGCCACGCGCTCCAGCAGAAAGCCTCCCAGCGTCTCACGGGGAAGGACTGTCTGACACGGCCATTAAGCCTCACACCGAATCATTTTTGTTTATAGGCATGATGCAAACTGCTGGCAGACAGCTTTCTAGGAAAGACTAGGTCACTCTTAGCCCCTAGGATCTGCTCAGCCCCATGTCCAGTGTGAGAAAGCAACAGTCCATCATCCCAGCAGGATGAGCAGTGCTGCAGACTCAGCAACAGGGGGCGAGGACATGGGGTGACAAGGACACGGGGGCCCTTTCCTCGACTAGGGGCCCAAACCCCCCCAGGCCCGGGAAGGCACAGCTAAAGGCTGCCCCTGCAGTGCACTCACGAGGCGCCAGGCCTCACCTTCCGCTCGGATGACAGGACAGGCCTCCACGGTCCTCCAGACAAACACGTATTCACACTCATCCAAAAGCTGAAAGGTCGGCGATCCCTGGAAAAGCAGCCAGTGGTTGATTTTGTTTTCATTTATTAAAAAGAAAAAAATCAGCCCAACAACAGCCACCATTAATCCCCAACCTCAACCTCTGAGAAAACATGAGGCCTGGGGGTGGCACATTTCCCCTGAACCCCAGTGATGCCCTAAACCCGGAAAGACAGGCTGGACCACATGGGCGCCTCGGTGTAAAGGGTGTGGGCAGCAGGTGGGTGGGGTCACGCACCGAGGTCTGCGCACACTCCAAGGTGATCCTGGTGGAGAAGCGCTGGTCCCCACACTTGTCACCGTTGACATAGACAATGCTCAGGGACCCGTTGGCTGCCACCTGGGGGCTAATCTGTACCACGCCCAGGCTCCAGCTCTTCTCCTCTGTCACCAGGCAGGACCCCACTGCACTACCTGAAAGAGCGGGGCGTTCGTCTGGGTTGGGGCACGGGAGGGGAGGTAGGGAGGCGCCGGGTCCAGGGCTCTGAACTCACTGTGGCACCCAGGGATGTATGGCAGAGGGGTGCAGACACTCAGATAGAAAGTTCTCCTCCTGCCCTCAGGTGAGGTGTCCACAGCAACCCAAGGCTTCCGGACTTTGCTCAGGCCGCTCAGGTCATACTCGTTGCCAGCATCGTCTGAAACACAGCAGGGTGTGTGGGTGCCCTGCTCTCCTGTCAGCCTTGGGGCACACTTTAACCCCACAGAGACCAGTGACCTGCCAGGAGACAGAGCTATGGGACAGGCCCCGGCACCAACACCAGCCCTCAGGGCAGCACCAGGCACGTGGAGGTGCAGGCCCTGGGGGACGTCCAGTGTTGGGGTACACCCTCCAGAGCCACAACTGTCTTCCTTAAATAAGAAGCTCTGACCACGTGTATTTGATTTTTACCCACATTTTCGTCTCAGTTCTAAATGAGCACTGATCTCAAAACACAGCTGAAAAGCATTTAATTGTACGTTCAGACTCCCAAGAGAAACGACAGGACTTTACGCATCAAAGAAAACATGTAACACAAATGCCACGCTGCCTGTAAAACAAACATGCACACACATGCACACGCATGTTCTCTCGTGCACACACAGTGCCACGCACACACTACACACAGACACACTCTCGTGCACATACACACTCATGCACACACACTCACACCCCTGACAGCCTTACCTGTGACTTGGCAATCCACCGGGGAGGGGACACAGGCCAGTGCAGTTTCAAACTCAAAGTAAGTGTCGTGAATCCCCAGGTTGGAGTCGATATCTTGATGCAGGAACCTGGGGCTTCCTGGGTAAATGTCATCGTTGCAAACAAAGCGGATGATGAACGCATCAGCGGCCCCTGGGGAATCAGAAGGCGGGTGTGAAGGGACAGGCAGCAAGCCTGCACGGTCCATGCAGGCTGCAGGGGACACTGGGTATCTCACCCGCTGGACAGCAGGTATGGGGCCTGTTTAAAGAGACCTGATTTGAATGAGGGACCCCAGCCCCAGTTTTAGCCTGCAGGGAGCCACCGGCTCTGACTGGAACTTCTCTGCCTAGAGGAGGAAGGTTAGCAGAGGGGCCAGTGGCCCGGGGGTGGGGTGGGGTGGAGGCCAGGGGACCAGTCCGCAAGATGCGGCGTTTAACCCAGGCCTGCATAGGACACCTGCACAAGCCAGTGCCAACTCCCAGAGCTCCGCTCTGCTGGACAACAGAGCTGCAGGAAAGTGCAGAAACATTAACACACGCAACCCAGCAGAAGTGTATTTATTACAAAAAGATACAAGAAAGACTGAGGGGAAGAACAGACAGAAGGAAAACACAGAGGAAAGACTGAAGGGAGAACAGACAGAAGGAAAAAATAGGAGAAACAGTAACTTCGGTATCTGCTGGGGAACCTGCAGAAAAGCAAGGCCATCAAAGCCTGACAATCCAGGTCAGGAACATCTGGAGGTGCCCGAGGGAAGACACCTGGGTCAGGGCACAGGACTCTCACATATTCTCACGGGTGGTAAGAGCTGGCGTGAGGCCCGTGGGGTGCCTGCATGACTGACGTGTGCTCAGAACCCCCAGGACACTGGTCAGCTGCAAGCACCCTGGTTCCGAGCTCACCTTTGCTAGGGTTCACACGTCCTTTGTAGGTCAGTGTGATCAGACCCTCTGTGGACAGCTGGAGGCTGGACAGGCCAACTGGCCTGACTGGCTTCAGATTGTTCAGATCTTCCGTCTGGGTCTCGGCCTCACAGCCAGAAGCAGGTTTGTCGTCAAAGGTCCCACAGACGGACATCGTGCCGCACACGTTGAACTGCAGGCGGGACAGCGAGAACCACTCAGAACAGCTCCAGCAACAGGACACACGCAGACCCTCGCCACGCCCACAGGGCGACCCTGTTCTTGTCACCCGAGTTACCCCTTCCACAAGTACACAGCTGGTCCTTAAGTTTAGTACAAAGGCAGAGTCACAGCCCAGCAGCAGTGCCCAGAAACTGTCCCCGAGGGTCCCAACATGCCTTAGCTACACAGCCCTGCACCCATACGCGTGGCGTGTGTCACACACAGTAATGCACCACACACAGCAAGGGAGGCACATGAGCTAGAGAGGGCAGCACTTTAGATCACCGTGGAGACCATTACACGGTCAAGTTAACTAAAATTGAGTGCATATAATATGATGCCCCTTCTCAACAAGGCTGACCCTCCTAACATCACAATGCACAAAGGCAAAGCCCCTCAGCCTGCTTCTAGCATGTTCCCTATGGTGGTCGTCTCCTCTGGCGTGTTCTCTACCCAGTTCAAGGAGGTTTTTATCTACCTCTCACACTCATACAAGCAGCACAATGCAACGCTGCCTGTTTTAAATCCCTGGCATAAAGCGAGCTGTAGTGGCAGCTGGGGTGGGGTGGAGATGAGCAGTCCCAGGGCTGCTGAGTGACAAGCTCCATCCAGCACTTTCCTGGACTGTGTTTACCTACAAAGTCCCCCCGAGTCACATTTTTGTAAGATATTCTCATCCCAACTTTCCATTTTCAAAGCCTACTACTCTCTTACTTCAATTGGAATTTGCAACAATTTAAACCAGAGTAAAGATTTTTTAAACATTTTCTCCCTTTCCAGTAGTGCTTGTTTATAAAGAATAGTATCAGTGTGGAGACTTTCCAACTCGCTGCTCTAGACTGTAAGACTGCCTATAAAGAAAGTGCTATGAGAAGAACCTAGAACACAGCTACCAGCTTATTTCCCATTTATGGGGTCAGCATTTCCTCCTCAAACTTGAGTGGACACCACAATCTCCTGGAGCACTTGCAAAATCTAAGTGCTGGGGACTCCCTCCACCCCAGATGAAGACTCAGGTCTCTGCCAACCACCACCCCCCCAAGGTGGTGCCAGCTCAGGGCCACCCTTCTAAACACAGAGCGACAGATTTCAGTAACTTCCTGCAGAATGACGCCCCCCACCATCTGCACGGTACCAAGATAGGGTGATGACATTCCCCATGCCCCCCTTAAACTTGGGCCCTTGTGCCTCCTCTTGGGTAAGGGCGCTACCACTGCCCTGCCCCTGAAGACACCTGCCTGCCAGGCCCCCCGCAGGTGACTCCTCACATCAAAGCCACTGGAATTCATCACATAACTTACCACAAAAGTCTTCCCGATGCCCGAGACCACATATCCCTGGGTGCTGTTGAGCGGGTTGAGATCAAACACGAACCCACTGTTGGGGTCCCTGATGGCGCAGGCCTGCGGGGACAGGAAAAGGCACGGTCAGACCATGCCCACCAGCACCCCCAAACCTGCACACACGGGCCTCACACAACCACGTTTCTCCTGATTTTAATATCAGCAAACAGCTGTGACACCCCAGCGTGAGCGCAAGCTCAGAGAGGGCAAACCTTCCTGGAAGCCGCTCGGTTCCCTCCAGCCCCCAAGATCACCAAGCAAAAGGGACCCAGAAATGGCTTTTTAGAAACCAACTGAAAATTGGCCACAAGAGGCCACACAGTGGACCAGGCAGCACCCTGCTCCTCTCTGAGGCGGGCGAGCCTGCCGAGCTCCTCCTGCCATGGCCACCAAGCGCCGTGGACGAGCGGTAGCCAGTCCCAGTGCACTGACTGGGCAGCCACCTGCTAAGCACACCCTCCCTGAGCACCCCAAGACCAACACCTATGTTTTTATACTAGACATTTGCCGCTCAGTGGAGATTTGAAAAAAATTGAGGAAAGTCCACCCCACCATAAAGAAAACCAGCTTGTGACAACTGCCCACCACCTGTGGAGGATCACAGGTGACACCCCAGAGCTGCTCCCCACAGGAGGGGTTCAGGAGGTAGGAGCGTGTGCTGTGGCCTGAGCGGGAGCCAGGGTGCAGGCAGCATAGGGCTCAGAAAGAAGAGGTGCAGGAGACTGGCTGGACGACAGTGTTACACCTGAGTGTTCCATCAGAACATGAGTGGGTCACAGATGAGGGCAAACTGACACACGTGGGCGGTGTCCCACGGCTGAGAACACCAAGAGGCCAGGGTCACAGAAGGCGGGCACCCAGATGTTTAGCTCTGTGGCAAGACACTGACCACGCAGCTCTCTTGACATCAGAGGACCAGGGTGGAGAAAGGGAGACATCTTTGGTTCAGGGATAGAGTGACGTCCTGCCCTTAGCCCAGGACTCAGGACCCAGGTTCGGGGAGAGGGGCGCAGGATGACCCTGCTTTCCACATGGAGGAAACCAGAACAGTCAGAAGGTGAGGGACGGGGCAGGCAGAGAGGTCCTGGAGCGCCTGGCGCCGCCTTGCGCCAGCTCACGTACCTGGTCTGTGTCCGTGGTGATCTGCACGGGGCAGGCGGCCTCGGTGTTCCACAGGAAGCTGACCACACACTCCCAGTTAAGGGAAAATATGGGGTGGGTATTCTGCAAGGTCAGATGCAGGGAAAGTCATCACGAGGAAGTGGAACCTGACTGAGGAGACCAGCCTGACAGAAAGGTAGCGAGGGCCTCTGGACACCAGGTGTCTGTGCCCAGACTGGGTGCATCACGCCTCTCGCTCCTGTGCTGTTTCTATCAGGAGGTATGACCTCATAAGCCTGGCTGGGGGTGGTAAGGGCCAGGGGTGAGGAGTAGACCTGGGCCATCCACTGAGCTGCGCCCCGTCTACCTTGGGAAGCCACACAGCACCCACGGGGCCCACTGCACCTACTGGGCCGTGGGGCCGGACCTGGCAGAGGAGGGGCGCACAGGGGCAGGTGCTGCGGGCATTCAGCTCCACAGGTGAGTTCAGCTTGTGGAATGCCCCAGCGGTGCCCGCACTCGCTGCGAGTGTTCTAATAACGGAGCGAGTGCCTCACAGAGACCCCGGTCCAGCACTGCCCTGGGTTTATCAGTGTTTCCCCAAGCCCCTCCATGACTCAGTGGACTGAGGTCTAGCACTAGCCAGCGAGTGTACAAATGAGAAACTGAGACAGAGAGAAGTTAAGGCGCCTGCAGAAGGTCAGGGGGAAGAGGGTGATAGGTGTCTAACACCGAGTCTCCCCTGCTCAGACCCTCTCACCTGGAAGGCCCCCAGTCTGCGACCTCAGCGCCTCCAGTCAAAACAAACACCTGTCCTGCCCCCACCACCGTGGCTGTGCAGGGTGACAGCTGTCGCCTGAAGGTTCTGAGGCTTTAGGACCCTCTTGCACGTGACTTTTCCACTCGGCAGCTCCTGAGCACCAGAGGCAGCAGTAACGTGGGACTGCTCTAAAAACGCTGCCAAATAAGGTGACTGCTGCAGTACCAGGGATTCAAGAGCACTTCCTGGAACTCTCCAGTATCTCCATGGCAACGAGAGCAGAGAGAGGAAGGGACAGTTCCAGGAAATTATCTCTTGGGGAAAAATCACATGTTGGCAAACGACACGAAGTCGCGGGTCTGGAAGACAAGGGGGTAGCGGTGACAGGTGCTTCTGCTGGGTCACCTCAGCGAAGCTCCAGGAAGCTGCCACTGACCCCGAGGCACTGGACTTTCAAGTTATTAATAAACACGGGTTTCAGTATGTCTACTCTTTACCTAAGAGTCTAGGAATTGCCTGAAAAATACAAAATCCAGGTATAAATTTCAAACCCCAGGTACAAAAAGCATTAGGGTCTGTGGGATGGCGAAATTCTAGAAACGGGCACCGGGATGGATATGCACACGTAATACCTGCAATGTCCAGAGGATAAGTTGTACGTCTTGTGTTTTTAAACGTAACTTTGGAACGTGATCAGGACTGGACAAAACCACCCAAAGCGCTTCTACCTAGAGCTCTCGCTACTGTCCCACCCTGGCTAAAAGCCCCATCGCTGGCTGTCTCCAGGCTTCCCTCTGTCACTGTTTACTGCTGAATTAGACGTCCCCATTGTTGGTCCATGGGGCTGAGATGGAGGCGCCAAGCTGCCTCGTTTGGGTCAGGATTTGGAGTTAACCACGTCTGTGACAGGTCCCACTGCCACCAACCTCCAGTCACCAACTCCGAGCCACTAACGAGCAGGGCCCATCTGCCCAGCTCAGAGAAAGACCAAATGTCTGCAGGACACGGGGAGGGCAAGTCCTGGCAGGAAGGGAGGCAGCTTCGCGTCAGGAAGCGCAGCCAGGAGAGCAGCCTCGCAGGAGGGCCCCAACCCCGCTGCCACCCCCAGCTAGCCTAGATGCCCTGTGCGGGCACCGTTAGGAGCGCTTGGAAGAGCCCCAGGGTCCCATCAGGGAGCGCAAGCCTCACCAGGCTGCCCCTGGAGCAGACGAGGTGGATCCTGGTGGTATAGGTGGTGCGTTTTCCGTCGCTGGTGGTGCAGTCCGAGCCGTTGACGTACTCGAGGAGGAGACTGCCGCTGTCTTCCACCGTCGGGCCCGTCTTGGCCATCCCCAGGTTGCTGATGGACACCGCCTCCGAGTAGGCACCCTGTGAACCCACACACCCGTCAGGCTTCTCCCACCTCCGCGTGGCCGACACTGGCTCCTCACGACCGCGGGGCTGGGGGGTTGTTAATGTGGGGTTGTCCCCGGGACCAGATGCTCCACCTTGGGCTTGCACCAGGGACTCAGGAACACAGAAGGAGACACTTGGAAGAGACCCCTGGGGAGGCTGGCAATGGCAGCCTTTACCTTGACTTGGATTTTGATTTTTGCTCTTTTCCTTCCAGACTTGCCTGAACCCTTCTGCCCCCTTCCCGTGGGTCCCCACCAGAAGGTGCCTTAGACACGTGGCAGACTTTGGGGCCTCGGCAGCCCCACTTTGGGCCAACCCTATCTAGCTGGGCATTTATCCAGGAGGGGTGGGCAACTTTGGGTCCTTCATTTGGAAACTTTCTTTCTCTTTCTCTTCTCTCTATTACACACTAACTGTTGCACACAAAATGCATTAAAATTCCTTTCTATGGAAGGTCTTATGCACTAGGATATTTATCTTTATGCGCCAGATGGCAGAACCCAATTAGAGTGTGTAGATTTGGGGGCCCCAACGAACCCTTCACTCTGCCCCCAACACATAAGACGTGACTTGTCTGGAGCCTGTAATGGACCCCAGGGGCAGGACCCCAGCCAGAACTGGAGCTTGCGGCCTGCACGCCCTGCCCACAAGGCAGGCCTGAGACAGGAAAGCAGAGGCTCCTGGCCCAGCGCAGTGACCGTGGGCACTGCAGTGTGGATTTTAGGGTAACAATAAAAAGCGAGCAAGTAAATGACTCCGTGAATTACGAACCTGCGAATAATAAGGACACACGACTCGAGGCATCGACTCCAGCAAGGAGCACCCAGCACGGCCTCAGGCCTCGGCCACCAGAGTGCACTCACGGGCTCCCTGCGGGCGGCCGCGCTGCCGGGCCAGGAAAGCACATTCCCGACGTGCTATTTTTAAAGCAGCACACACTCGTCTTTATTTTAAGATCCCCCATGCACAGTGAGCACAGGGAACCACGCCAGAGCTCGGGCAGTGCCTGCGTTCAGGGGGATGATGGAGAGCGCCGGCACCCAGAATGGGAGTTGATGCCTGGGGCCAGCTCGTCACAGCAACTCCCCGCTTTCCCCCAATTAGCCAGCTTTGGGGAGCGGAACTGTTCCACACACGCCGTGGTCAAAGGTGGTTCTAAACTCAGGCTCAACAGCCCGAGGCGCCTCCTCTGCCCCAACTGTGGCCAAAGGTCACCAGCACCGGGTGTTACTTTGGGGTGTTTTTTTTTAAGTCCCTCCCTCCCCACGTCCCAGTGTCCCTTTGTCCCTTCTCATCCTTCCTCCCCCTTGAGCTCAGAGCCTTCGCAGTGCCCATGAATATCCCCTGGTTTCTGGAAGTGCTTCATGCACCAAATCACCTGCTCTGTGGTGTATTTACCATCTGACCTGCCTTACATTGCAGGTATTTCTCTCAAAACCCCTCCCTGCTGCTGAGAATGGATCACTTCGTCTCCCTGGGGCAGAACCATCCTGCACTGTGGGCACAGATCACGCCTCCTGCCCTCTGTCCATTGATGGGCAGGCTGCTTCCGTGTCCCAGTCACGCTCCATGGTGCTGCTTCAAGCATGCGTGCACGGGCGTCCCTGCCGACGCCGAGCCCGGTGCTCAGCCCATGTGGCAACTCGAGGCTAGCACATCTAGGGGGAGCAGGACCCCTCTGTCCCCGCTCCTGACCTGGGGTCCTGAAATAACCATCCCACCAAGTCAGGGGCCAGGGAGGGAAGCCTAGGCAGGGAAGGCCGCTCACCTGCGATTTCTCATACTTCATCTGGCAAACCGACGTGTAGCGCGCGCAGCCTGGCACCGGCTTCAGGGGTCGGCACACGTTGATGTAGTACTTCCTCCATGTGCTGTGCTCCCCGGCGTTGTCCATGGCGTACCAGTTCCCTCCCTGGCTGCCCTCGGCCTTTGCCAAGCTAGAATTTCAGAGTAACATGGGTGCTTTTAAAGCTGACACGTCCCAGTTTGACTCTAAGTCACTAGAGGAATAGACGTATACCAAACTGACACACTCGCTCGCTGAGGCACAGTGGCCAGCTCACCGTGACCCCTGACCCACAGGAGTACAGCAGCCTGCACTAAACTCGGGGCTCAGCAGGCCTGCACCTGCCCCCACATCTCCGTCTCAATGGCGATGAATGTCAATGATGCAGCTGAGGGCTACATCGTGTGATGGCAAAGGTGGGCTGACACCAGGAAGGCTACCGATCCCTGTCAAAGGTCCTCCTGGGCCCACAGCCCCTGGCTAACAGGACCACCTCTCAAGGCTGTTACATGCTCACTAGCGAGCCCTAAAAGAACATGGCACCAGCCTGGGCCAAGACCAAGGGCAGGCTGGGCTGACCTCACCTGGACAGGTCGTACTGCTCCAGCGACAGAGTGTCGGTCACCACGCACTCCAGGGGCTCCTCCGGGCAGGCATAGCTCGTGTACCACCGGAAGTTATAGGTCGAGTTATCTTCTTCCTAATGGCACGACGAGGTAAGAAGCAGCACAAGAACAGGAAATGTTACCCAAAGCTGCCCTGAGAAGCGATGGGGGCTCCATCCAGCCTTGTAAATCAAAACTGCATGAAGCAAACCCAAACCCTTTCCTTTCGTCTTATTAAGAGAAAGACTGCCCGGTAATAAATTAGGATGGACATCTAGCCTCTGTTAAGCAGGAATAAGGGGTGATTGTTGGTGTTTGTGTGTGTTCTGGGTTCCCATTGAGGCCCAGTGAATAAACAGTTCAGAAAATGCACACCCCCTGTGTACCCTGGCGAATCTAAAAGGATTCATTAAAATCACAGGACATGATGATTTGGGCAGGAAGCCAGACTAAAAATAGCTCTGCTTCTCAATAAAGGGAGATGTGGGCTCCTGTGCAGGCCTTGGGGAGCGGGCGGCCTTGGGGCCAGCAGACTACCCTGCCAGTCCATCTGCAGGGAGCACACTATTCCCGCTGCGCTCAGAGACCCCATGCACCTGCCACCACTTTGCTTCCACCCCCATCTCTGCGAGCCAGCCCTTGTCGCCTGCTGAGCCCTGCTGGTACAGGCAGGTCGAGTCCCACCTGATACTCGGGGAAGCCAATGTCAGCTTCTCGGTCACAAAGGAACGTGATCAGCGTGGTCCTCGGTGTGTGCCTGGCATTGTTATAGGGTGTCCCGTCTTTGTAGTTCAGCTGGATCATCCCGTCATAATAGGACAGCTTAGCGTTATTCTGCCCCAGGCTCCAGGCCTTTCTGTCACTAAAACAAACAAGCATGTCTCAGAACAGACACTAAGACCATGAGCACTGCAAGGCTATGACCCAGAAGGCTGGCAGGGCAGTGACTGGGGCACAGGCTGCAAAGCGCCCCCATGCCCAGCTAGGATTTCTGAGCTGGGGGATGAGACAACCAGATTAAGGCCCAACTCACTTCACCTGAGCTGATACTACACTGAAAAGAGACTCCACGTAAATATCTAACAATGGAGGGGCTGAGACTCCACAGAATAAAGCATGAGGTGAACCCACTCTCCTCCCCAGGGACAGCCGCTCAAGCTCCTCACACCCTCCAGTCTCCAGGTGGAGTCTCCTCTGTGCAAATGCTTGTCATAAGATGCTGTTAGCAGGCAACACAGTAACTTCTCAACAAAACATCATTTTAGCACCAAATACCCTAAAAAAAAAACCCTTAACTGGAATCATCACTTGCCTTTTTGTGACTTGACAGGCTCCCGAGTTGGGCGGGCAAAGGTCGGCAGTTACAGGGCCACAGACGTTTATGTAGAAGTCGTATTTTTCTGTCTCAACTTTATAGGCACCATTTTTCTTCATGAGAGGTAACAAGTCAAAAGAAAAGCCTGAAAAAGAGTAAGAACAACCAAGCACAGTCAAGGGAGTGACAGAGCCTTCCGTGTGGGAGCACACCCCCCCCAAGGCCCTCGAGACGCCAACCCTTGGGGCCACCAGAGTTGCCGTCACCCACAGGCACAGCCCCTGCGGGGGATGCTCATGGCCTCAACCATGAGTCCCCGCTGGAGCCCGTCAGAGCTGCTGGGAGGCCCAGGATGTGCCCAAAGCAGGGCAACCACAGCACAGTGGCTGTCTTAGAAAATCCTTCTAAGGTGAGTTTCTTGACTGCAGTTCATGCTAAATGCCTTTTCAGACATGATGTACACCCAGGTGTTCCTCGGGTTTTGCCTTCAGCAAATCCACCTCAAATGTGAATTTAAGAGAGGCTTTTCATGATCTCAGGTAAAGTCTCAAACTTCAGGTTTTCAAAATATTGGCCAGAGTTCCTGTAGCTCTAAAGCAGGTTACCCTGAATCACTCATGGAAAACACTTTAAGGAAAAAACCTAAGCCGTCAGGTGAGGCACCACTGCGAAACGCACCTGCCTGGGAGTCGAACACGGAGCAGTTGGCGCCCTCCGTCCGGGCCAGCACGCAGGCAGCGGCCGTGTGCCACTCGAACTCGTAGAAGCAGCCATCGTCCTCCGAGGACCTCAGCACTGGGGCGCTCTCAAGGTCACCTGTAGGGAGACCAGGCACTCAACATCCTTGGGTAACACCCACCTCCTGACGTGAGCCCCCAAGGACGCCCTAGTGCAGCCAGACCACACACAGGAAGGAGCGGCAATGACAGTGCTCTCCATTGCCATGGTGAACCGGCCAGAACATCAGAGATTTACTGGACAAGTGCTGGGCCAGGGTCTGGAAGGGGGTGCAGAGCTACATGAGCTACGCCTGCCCGGAGGGGCCCCTGGAATGCACATTCACTGGACACGGATACGGACACACAAACAAACACACACACACACACACACACACAGTCAAGTCCACTGGATTATTTGGCGTGAGAAGACAGGCAGTGTGTATTGTTTGACCCTGTGTATTCAAACTCAGGCCCTCTGATGTATTTTTAGATGTCACCCTTTGGGCTTCCAGTTCAGTAATAACCTATAAAGTAATGTAAATACTTCCCATGCCATTTGAATGCCAGCCTATTTAGAGACTGTGAGATTATTCCATATGTGTGTTGTTCATTCATTATAGTTAAAAATGCACATGCACATGCTCACGCACACAGGCAGAAACTAGGGTGGACAGTATTCTGAGGGGAGGGGTTGCAGAGCTGGGGAAGACCCCCAGAGGCAGGTTTGGGATGAGAAATTTCTGGAGACCCACGTGGGGATGGCTGCACAATGGTGAACGTACTTAGTGACACTGAAAGAATGGTCCGAACAGCGGATTTCTCGTTACGTGTGTTTTACTACAATTTTTTAATGGTGTCTTTCATATTATGTACATTTTACCACAATTTAAAAAAAATAGCCCTTGAGCTTATAGCACAGCTGGGAATGAGTCCAAAGGAAATATCTCAGTAGAGGCAGAGAGGATATGGTAACACAATCACCAACTCTGGAAACAGGCTATTAACGCAACAACAGACAAGATGCTTAAAAATAGGAATACCAAGCTCCACCAGCAAGGATGTGCCTCAGATTACAGGCATAGCTGTGCAACACAGGGGCGCAGTCACGACATACACGTTTTAAGGGCTATAAAACGCAGACAGACCAACTGATGCCGACCCTGTAAAAACCATGTACGCCCAGAGTTAAAGGGAAGTAAAGAAGAACAATGTGCTGGGATGGTGCAGCCAAGGGCATTTCAAGCTGCTGATGAGCCTCCCCCTCTGGAGGAAGCCGTTGCCTGAAAGACTGGTTGTCAGGAAGAGGAAGCGGGGACCCATAAGTCACTTGGAAAATTACAACAGGGCCCCTTGGGCACCATATAGTTTCTCCATTTCTGGACGGTCCTGAGTGGGGGAAGGGAGCTAACCACTATTGACCATGTTCCCCACAGAAGATTCTGGAACCTGAAATGCCTGCCACACCCCTTCTACCGGGTCATCCAGGCCATGGCCGGTGAGCAACAGGGAACTAGAGGGCAGCCCCAGACGCCCCTACCTGGCTTGCAGACAAGCGTTATGTTCGTGGCCGTCTTCCTGCCCAGAGCACAGTCGTCGCCGTCCATGTAGGACAGCTGGATGCTTCCTTTCTCTTTTGTGGGAGAAGAAACAAATTTTCCGAGATTTTTACTTCCATTCTTATCTGGAAAAGAGAAAGAAAAGGGACAATTGGAAGACATGGTTAGAGCTGTGATGAGGTGCCCACGTCAGTTCTGACGGGCAGGGGTGAGAGGTCAGCTAGCTGGCGGGGCTGCGTGGTCAGTGGCAGGGGAGGCAGCCACATTGAGGACCCCCGGCTGCTTCAGGCTCAGCAGGAAGGCAGGAGGAGGACAAGTGGTGAGCTCTGTGGGCATGAGGGGCAACACACATGCTAACACATCAGGCTGGTGATGGCCACCCATACTGGAGCCTCGTGCCCCGAGACACAGGTCTCTCGGGAGCCCAGTCCAGGTCCCATGACCAAGAAGAAGAAACGAAACCTGCTCCGTGCGTGGAGCAGGCGACCTCCTAAGCCTGGGCTCAGCTGCCTGTTAGCAGAAAGCTCTGAAACTGTGTCCCCAAGTCCCCCTGATATCAAGACACAGACATGCCTGGACCTGCTTTCAAAGGCTAAAAGAGCTGGGGTAACCCCTAAACCCAGCCCGGTGAGGGTGCCTCAACTAAGGTTGGCAGCAGGTTCCAGCCGCCCTCACTGCCTGTCGCGGGCCGGGGCCGGGGTCAGAGTTCCCAACGGTCATGGCTTCCAGAGCGCACCCAGCAGCTGCCTACCGGGGCCATTTCATGCAGAGTTGACATCCTGCCTTATTTTAGTTTTGGGATACATATGACACAATGACTCAATACTATTGTTTGCATACAACGCAAAAACAATCTCAATATAGTGATCGCCATCTTGTCTGAGCACTGCCGTGTGGTGCTCACACTCCCCTCCCCGGCTGCCATGTCTCTTGACTGACTAGTTGTAACTATATTTTTTCCTTACCACCCTTCATAGGCCACGCCCAGAGAGAGGCACTAATTGGCTCCGAGTGGATGCAGCCAAGTTCCACGGCTTTAAGCAAACCTGAGCCCACCGTGCCCACGAGCAACTCACCAACGGCACACACAGCCGCATCCTCAGGGCAGCCCCTGGCCTGGCCCTGCTGCAGCACCCGGTGGCAGATATTAATGAAGAAATGCTTCTTTTCTGTTTCACTCTGGCTGCCATCCACAGCTTCCCAATTCTGTTCCGTTTCTGCAATCAGAGAGAGAGGAAAAAAAAAAAAAGCTTCTTTTAGCCAAAGGCAACTACTACTATTCTGGGTCGCCCACAGATGGTGGTTCAGCCAAGGTCAGGGGCATAGGGCGGCAGGTGCTCTAGGCCCACGTCTCTGGGACAGGCAGATGAAGGCACAGGAACGTGTAATGTTTAGACACAAACCTTGCCCCTGTCCGTCCTCAGAAAGGTGGGCTAAACAGAGGACAGAGCATTAAAGCAGTACCTTCTCCCCAAGCCCCAACATGTGAAATCAGAGCCGAAAAGGCAAACTGGGAGGCCAGCCGGGCCCTGGACCTGGAGAAGCTGGGCCACAGAGCTGGCCACTGAGGCACAGGAATCAGAGCCCCAGGAAATGAACGAGGGCTACATGTTCCCTGAACAGAAATGGCTCCCCGTCCATCATGCTGGGACAGAAATGGATCAAAAACACACAGAAGGGAAGGGAGCCTGTGCTTTGTGCCAAGGACACAACCAGAGCCTCAAGGAAGGTCACAGAAGGAAGGCCCCAGCCCCTGCAAGTCGCAGAGGGGCTCACTGAGCACTACGTGAAGGACTCCAGACAGTGAAGTGGTTCCCTCACAGACGGGGTGTGGGGTGACCCAGGGAAGACTCCATCAGCCCATGAGCAGTGGGTCACTCACTGCTGAGAGCCACACAGCAAGGCCACCACCCAGCAAAGCCAGGGGCCCGGTCACACACAGCAGATTTCGGCCAGGCTCAAAAGCCCTAGGACAGGAGCTGTTAAGCGGGCAGGGAAGGGATTTAGATCCCAGCTCGTGGCTTTCCCCAAGTCTTCAGACGGACACGCTAGGCAGATGTCCCGGAGGTTCCTAACGAGCCAACGGCAGAGACATCTGCAGAGCGACTGGTGCATCTGCACCTGCACGGACCCAGGCTGACTGCACTCCAACCCCAGCATCCACACCACCACGGAGGCCCTGAGAAGGCCAGGGCTGGCCAGGGCAGGCGGCCGCCACCCCCGACCCTCTGACTGGGGCTGAGAGTCCCCCCACGGGGCATCATGAGCATGCTCGCACCAGAATCCAATTACCTCCCCAGCTCAGGGCACTGAGCCCCAAGCTCAAGGCCGGTTCACGGCAATTCTCTGCCGCTGGGCCTACAGAGTGGGGGCCTGCACCCCAGGGCGAGCACTGCACAAAGCAGGGGTTCCTCTAACATCACCCTTTGCAGACCAGATGGGATGCTAAAGATGTGAGTAATCATCCTTGTCACAGCTGGGAATTATGCACTTGGGGCGAGTCTCTCTCCGCCTTCAATTATCTCCTCCCCACAAATGCTGCCGCCCCCACCACACCTAATTCCAGGGCTACTAAGGAGAAAACTGCGAACATGCCCACTGGGTCGGGTGATCCCCACTGGAAGCCCCATGTGCTTTCTTTGATCTCCCCAGCCACTGAAACCTGAAGCCCACGGGCAGGGTGGTGTGGACAGGCCTGCTTTGCCGGCACAGAGCCTGTCCTGTCACAAAGGCTCAGCCACAGAGCGTCAGGAAAAAGCAAATTCACCAGCACGGCCTCTGCACCCAAGGCCCCGGGGACACCCCACCTCCAGCTGATAGCACTGGACTCGGACCAAGGGCTCCCACATCCATTCTCCTCTGACCCTCTCAGAAGAATGTGAGGTTGGGTGGGGAATGCCAACAAGAGCAGGACACGAACCGACCCCAGCTCACCCACCCCACACACAGCACCTGCTCCTCGGGCCTGGCCCTCCACGTGCTTCGTGGAAATACCCTCTGGAAGGTGGATGTGAGAGCTAATTTTTTTTCTTGAGATACTGACATGTCACATTGTACTGGCTTCAGGTGTACACTGTCCAATACGTCTGTGTGGCAGAATGACACCGTGGCTTAGTTAACACTTCATACGGTCTTGTGTGTGTGTGTGTGTGTGTGTGTGTGCGCACGCACGCGCATGCACGCATTCACAACTTTTAGATCTACCCTCTTAACAACAAGAGTTTCCATTCTTTTTTGAAAGACTCTAATCTTGAGGCCAGGCCTAAGCGGGCACTTGGCAGTCTTTACCAAGCTATCTGAAGACAAGCCTGAGTAGCCCAACTAGAAACAGGCAAAGCCAGGCTGCAGTTCAGCTCCTTCGCCTCCTAATGGGATTTTCCGGTAACTCCTATCATGACATGAGAAGAGAGGGAGGCCGCGAGGCGACCAGCTGGCGACCAGAGGAAATAGTGAAAGCATCCCAGGGATTCGTGGACAAGGTGGGAGTGAGGCCGGGGCCCACCTGCGTGCCGCGCCAGAGCAGACAGGTCGAAGCGCTTCTTGCCGTCGGTGACGCCACACAGGAGGTCCTCCTTCTCCTTGACACAGGCATGCTTGGTGCCCCACGTGAAGAAGTAGGTGCAGTCCACCTCCCCGGTAAACACGGGGTTTCCTTTCCCGTTGTTGCCTGAGCAAGGAAAACAACACACCCCGTTATGGACCCAAGGCCTGGGACTGTGGGAGGAGCAAGAAACAGCAGGCAGGACCCCAAAGCCCTGGAGGTCAGAGAGGAGGGGGCTCCTATGATGCGTCAGGCGATCATAACGCTCCTAACAGCAGGCACGGGCCTCTCATCCCCACAGAATGGTCTCCATCGGCTTCAAGGCCGCGCACAGTATATGGGTGAGGAGATGAAATGGGGACGAAGGGCCGTCCGCCAACAGGCCCCCACAGCATCCCCAGTGGGCGGGCATTCGCCGAAGGAGGGTAGAAAGCAGCCTCTGGGTCCAGGAGAGCCCCTGGGCTCCTGGTGTGAGCAAGACCAGCTCCCCGAGGCACATCCTGTGGAAACAGATTTAATGTTCTGGGAGCCCCTGCCGAGTCCGGCAGGAGGAGAAAAGTCCCCGGCCACTCTGGAAGCCTGTGGAGCAGCACTGGGACGTCTGCTGCACTGGGGAGACCAGCCTCCCCACCCCGTGACCAAGGAGCGGGGCAGAGGAACTTCACCAAGGGGCACAGCCTGCCCCTCCTGGCGCATCTTTACACACCTGGTTCGTGGCGAAACCTCCTGTGCACAGGGCCCATCGATAAATCTTTAGGTCAAAATCACTCAGAACCAGAAAAATGACATTTTTACAACCATTCTGTAAACTGAACTTAAACTTGTGTTTACTGGAATAGCTCACAGAGTCGAACCCGTCAGGCCACTTCCCGAGTTCAAATCCTCACTTTGATTCTCTAGCTCTTTGTTTAGCTATCACATTTACTCCGGTTGCCACCCAAAACGAGTGCAAGAGAGAGGTGGTGTCCACAGCCCCCCCCAATCCCCCAGCCCCCGCGTGCTGCCAGCACTCGCCGGCCTTAGCCAGTGCTGGCGGCTCCGACTGGACTCAAACCTAGTCTCCCCTCCCACTGCCTCCAGGGGTCCCCCGGGGCCTCCCAGTTCGGCTCTCCTCTGCCAGACAATCTTCCTGGACAGGGAAGGGCGGGGGCAGCTGCACTTTCACATCGCCTGGGATTCAGCAAATTTCGTTGACTTTTCCCTTTCTAGAAAAACTCTCCTCTCCTTTCCAAGCTGGCGCTTAGCTCTAGTTTCCACCCCGCGGTGGCCTAGTCCTCCTGTGGACCTTCTCCATGACTTCCCTTTCTCAAGGCTTTGTGCCCTGAACTCACAATGTTCTAAAGGAGAGGGAATAATGTTTTGGACCAAGGAAAAAGGAGGTTTCTGTTGCCACTGTTACTAAATCTTTAACATTAGAAATGTCACAACACCAGCAACGACAGCCACGCCGGGCGGGGCACTCCAGTAGGTGCAGACGGGCACAGGTCTAAACCTTCACGTACATCACTGTGTCCAGGCCTCAAAACCCCACAGCACAGGGACCACTGCAGCCCCTTCTGCAATGATGGCGGCTGGACCTTATGCCCATGGGGTCACTGCCAGGAGCTGGGCCAGAACCAAGCCCAGCGCCAGGCCAGACCGCACAGCGATCCTGTCTGCCTCCCTGGCCCTTTCTTTTCTTACAAGAACAACTTCAAGCCTTTCTCCTTAAGAAGCTAAGCCCCAGCCCCCAGCTTCCTTTCCCACAAAAGCGAGCACCCCTGTCACCGTGGGGGCCCGGTGAGGCTCATTTCCCTCTTTTCAACTCACCTACCAGATCCACATCCAGTAGGCTCCGACTGGATACCTGTTTCACTGTTTGGAAAAGAAGTGTGTTTCTGGAAATTTGAAGCACTTCCCATCTGTCACTTAGTTAAAAGCGGCTAAGCATTACTAGGAGTGGTTCCAGCATCCACCCCTACTTCGGAGCTGGTTCTGCACGTGGGACTTACTAATGATCTGACCAGGAGTCCATTTCAATATCCACTCGTGGGTACCCCTCCTCTGTCATTAATTTCTCAATGAACTTTAGGAGAATAGTGATGGCGTCTCCCCTAGGCCAGATCGCATTTGCTTATTGGTTTTAAACATAACGGGCTTGGCTTCCAGGACACTCCTGGCCTGTACTTTCTACCCCCTGGCAGGATCCATGCACACTTTCCACAGTCTCTGGCCAGGCACACACTCCCGACAACTCCACCCGGGCCTCTCCTACCCCCACAGGTTACTCCCTGGCCCACCCCTCCCCAGGCCCAGAGGCATTGGGTTCCCGTGACCAGCAAGAAGAAGAGCAAGTTTCCCCGCAGCACCCGCAGCTCTCGGCCTGAGCAGCAAGCAAAGCCTCCATTACTCCATAGGGAAGACACACTCCTGGGGCAGCAAGCTGCTCCAGCCACACAGACACACAGCTCTCAACACTGCCCACCCTCCCCGGCTGAGACTCAGTTCCCCTCTGCCGCGTCTTTGGAGGCCACGTCTACAGACAAGGGAGAAAAGGTGATCAGATGAGCAGAGCCCCAACCCTGTCAGTCCCTCCAAAGCCCTGCCCTGAACCACAGCACACAACCCCCGAATGTACCCTTTGCTCTAGAACTAGTTTTTTACTGGACAATCCTAATATTTATTCTCCCCCCCCCCAAGTCACCTAATGCCCTTACTTGACCATACCAGGGGATCCCGTTACAGCAAGCCAGATACACATTACTGAAACACATGGCCGAAAAAATACATGTGTTATGGCCAAGAGAATAAATTTATGTACCTTTGTCTTGTTAAAAACTGATGTAAGCGGAGCCATTTTCAAATACAATCAGAGCAGCTCTCCAAAGAAACTGACCTACGTGTCTTATCTGAAATGGGCCAAAGTGCACGGTTTTAAGAAATCATCAAGCAAACAGACACTTCACTCTCCTGATCTCCCAGGACTGAGGACTGTGGACTTCCTGCTAGAGAATCAGTCACCAATTACCGAAAGCCAAGAATAGCCTCACCCACCAGCACCCATGAGCTCGTATTTTGTAACCACTTACCTTGACTTCCTCTTTCCCTTCTTGGGGTCATTTTGTGGGGCTTTTGACCTGAACCAATGTTCTCCGAATGACAAATTATTTGACCACTTCCCCCCACCCCAAGTAAACACACTTTGCCTTTTAAATGTTAGAGTAGGAGTGTCTTGAAAACGCATGAGCCCAACACCCAAAGACAAATAATTCCAGCAGAGATGGTAAAATCGGACCACACTACAGCGTCTATATTCACACCAAACGCAAAAAACATGTTGTACCCTCAGCTGATGAACACAGAACCCACTGGGGGATTTTCTCTAAAAAAGCTAAATTTAAATTAGAGCAAAGGAATAAATGAAATCATTCTACAGTACACACACCGTACTCCCAGGTTTGGAAAACTGAATCAGAGCTGGAAGGAGTTTTAAATGTTTTAATAATCCAACTCCAGCCTGAGGGCAGGCTCAAAATCCCCCAGGAAACATCAAGCCTCTGGTGGGCTCCTGGGCACAGGAGAGCAGGAAGAGCTAGCGAGACACTGAGTTTCCAGCATCGGGGCTGTTTGTCGGATCCGACAGGGCAGATTAGGCTGGAGCTGAGGTGTCTTATGACCCATCAGTGACATGCAGTTTATTCCAAGTAAATGTGGCAAAGCATTAACAATTGTTCGACCCGAGCAGAGAGCAGATCAATTTTCACCGCCGTGTTCTTTCTACTTGTAATATTTGAGAACTTTCCTAACAAAAAATAAGAGGGCAAAAATGGCCTTGAGCCTTTTTTTCAAGTCTCAGCTCATCTGGGCTGTAGCTTTCCAGAATAACTCTTGGCTGCCCACACCTCTTCCCTCCAAGCCCCCGACGCTGCCTTATTGATATTCTCCTGGTCAGCTGGGATCTGTTTGGATGATTCTAGCTTCCAGCATGCCCAAATGAGATCAGCACACTTGCAAAGATCTCAGTCAAGTGATTAACGTGAGCCTCTAATGGGACAGGGCCCGAGGAGGTGTGACAAGGTCAGAGCCAGCCCGGGCCACAGAAGCAGGTGGAAGGCGCCAGCAAGCCTGAACACTGTGTCTCCCAGGGACCGGGACACAGAGCAGAAGGGGTGTCCTTCAAGAGGGACTCCTCCAAGCAAGCTCCAAACGGTGAGGACAATGGAAGGCAGATGGAGAATTTGGGGCGGGCAGAGGACAGTGAAGCCAGACAGGAGCCGGATCCACAGGTCACTACCAGTCAGAGTCACGTCACCACCTGCTTGCAGTCCCTGGAACTCACAGATAAAGCCTGAGTCCCATGCAGGGACAGCACTGCCCTGCTGGCCTCCCAGGGCCATCTCCAGCCAGCTCCTGACCACGGGGCTCTGACCTGCTCACAGCTACCCGAACCATCGCGTTGGCCTCGTGAGCAATTCCTTCCACCCCAAAGATGGTCCCCTTCAGCACCCACTGCTCCTCCTTGGTCATGTGCCTTCCTGACTCAGCCTGGCTGGCAACGCTCACTTGGCATTACTCCAGGCTGGAGGAGCCCTGGGCACTCTACGCACCAGCACCCTCAGGCCTCCAAGGGCTCAGCAAACAGGTGAGTCCTCACTCGGGTCTTGGAAGCTGCCACTTTAAGTGGATCAGACACTCTGTGACCACAGCAGCTGGCATGAAGGGTCAAGACCTGGAGGCAGATTTCTGGTGGCAAAAACCAACCTCTAAAGAAGGGCCCACGACACTTCCTGTATGAAACACATCTGTGTTCACACGTTGATTCGTTCCCTTTCCAGCCACTGACTCAGGTTAGGGCCACTGGGGCCTGAGCCCCCCAGCAGCTCAGGGTCAAGGTGGGCCCACCCATCACAAGGCACATCACACCCCACACTCCCACGGGCCAGGATGATGGTCACACTAATGAACCCCACGGGCACATTTCTGGGACACTGGGGGGAGCCCAGGTCACCCTCCACGCAGACTGTGGCCCTGGCCGTTCAACGTTTAACCCAAACCATGCTGATGAGGCGGCGTCCCTCGAGGACCTGCCATATCATAAACGTGTAAGCAGATCAACAGGGAGCGTGAACGTGACAGGAAAGGCGGGCAAGCCAACTAACTCAAAGGTGGGACCTGAGTTCAGGGGCAGGGCGGGCGTGGAGGGGACTGGGCGCCACGTCGCGGAGGGGGCCTTGGCCTGGAAAGCTTCCCATCTGCTTCCCCATGCTCCGCCTCTCCAGAGCGGCGCCCCCACCGTCGACTGAGCACAGCCCACGTCCCACACAGCTGCTTCCCCAGGCCCCCCACCCTGGCCCCATGACCAAATGGTCAACAGCTCTACTATGGAAACGGACAAAACAAACAGAAAGAAGGAGCCAGGGGGCCCTCGGGGCGGGGCTGCTGCTTGCAGACCACAGCCAGGCTGGAACAGCTGAGCGAGGGGCCCTCTGTGTGGGGCCAGGGCCCTGGGGTCCCAGCAGGAGATGGGCAATGGGCTAGCCCTTGGGTAGGACCCTTCCCCTCTCGACAGAGGCCAACTGTGTCCAAGAACTCCAAGAGACATGGGTGGCATCTCGGCTCTTCGAGTTGCCGGTGTTGTGGTCCCCTGAATGGACTGTCCCCACCAAACACCCAACTCAAGTGGCCCCTGGCCTCCTGCAGCACCACACACACAGCCTCCACCACAGGCAGGATGGACACCAATGGTCACCTCAAAACTGACTTCGTCCAGGAAAGCTGTGTGGCGTCAGCCCATGCGAAGACAGAGCAGACCCACCTGGTGGAAGGCTCCCCCAGCAAGGCCAGGCTGGGTCTGCTCCCAACACAAACAGGGAGAGCAGGGCAAACGCAAACAGGATGTGCGTGCGGCTGCGGTGCAGGGGCGCTTACACCCAACAGCAGGAAACCCCCATGCGGGGACCCCTGACCGCCCACCCCTTGCCTCCAGGAGCGCACGGAGCGGCTGCCTCACCTGCGCTTTCACTGCACTCGAGGTTTATGACACTCATGCGCTGGAAACCAGAGCTGCACTCCTCGCCCCCGGTGTAGATCAAGGTGAGGTCGCCGTCGGAGTACCTGGGTTTTTATAAGAGACAGACACACATGTTGGGGAGAACCAGGTCAGAAACGAGGATTTTCTACATGAGGCCCCGTGCCTGCCAGCGACAAATCACCGATGACAGAGCAGCGCGCTCTGGGGCTGGGGGCGGCTGTGGCAGCCCGGGGGCCGGCCGCCAGCCTCTCACTTCAAAGCAGGAGGCTCGGCAGGCGCTCCTGGGGTCTGCTTAAGCACGAAGACACCCTTGCTCTAATTTTTGGATTTTGCACAAAACAAGTAACACCCCAGGAGCGCTCGGCTCCCGGGCGACTGCCATTAACACCCGGGTAGCCCCGGGGTCCTGCGCGGCCGGCCTTCTTTTCAGAAAAGCACATTTTCACCACGCTGCTGTGAGGCCAGCGACCAAGTTCCGGCTCACGGGAGCCGCACTGACTGCCTTGCCTTACTGGTTGGAGACTTTCAGGCAGTGCTAACCAAGGGCAGCTTCTCCAACTGCCAGAGAAAAACCAAAGCTCCTCAAAAATAAATCGTAGGAAGGGGCCCGGTGGGGTCGGGGGAGGGTGTGGAAGTGCACGCCCGCAGAGGTTTGAACCCACAGCCCCCTGGAGGAGGCGCAAAGATGTAAACCTACTTTACCTCAATAAATGTAATCTGGAAAAAAGATTTTTAAACTGAAATTTAAGATGCTACATCAGTTTTTAAATAAGGAAGCTGTCAAATTCACTTTCTGCAGCTCCTCACAAGCACTGGCTGCCCCGCAGTTTTAACAACAGCTGTGACAAGGGGCCAGGAGCAACAGCACACGGCTCAGGCACAAGCAGCAACAGGCCGGCGTCCAGCAGGAGGACAGCTGCCCCACGGTCGGGGACGGGGGACGAGGCCAAGAGGGGTCGGGATGTCACAAGAACACACAAGGCACTGGAAGCCACACGCACCGGAGCGTCTGATTCTGGCTCCTTCCGGCGACCTTGCGTTGTGAGGGCTGGGACTTCTTCACCTGGCACACGGTGGTGCCCTTCCCACAGACCCCCGCTTCGGCTCCTCCACAGAGATTCAAGTGGAAAGTGTACTCTCCGCCATCCACGACGTAGTAAGGGGGGTTTGCTGTCGGACGAGAGGAGTCGAGGACACAGGTGGCGTCACATGTCTGGGCAGGGAAGTCCCAGCAGACCCTGGTATGCCCCCCACCCCGGCTTCCCCCGCGCCCGCCCGCCTGTCCCCCGCCCCTCACCGAGGAGGCGCAGTGGCTGCAAGTCGATGGAGATGTCGTGCTGCCTGCTGCTCAGGGAGCAGCTCCTGCTCTCCAGGTAGTCTCGGGGGCAGGCGTACTCGGTGATCCACTCCACCTCGAAGCGGCAGTTGGACTTGGCCGTGAGCTTGGGAAGGGTGCCCTGGTGGGAAGCACAGGGAAGCAGCAGAATTCACCATTTAAACCCAGCTGAAGGCAGCGTGTGGCCTTGTTGCCGAAAGCCCAAAGGAAAGCATCAGGTGCCTCAGGACTTCCTGGTGCTGTTTTTGAGCCCCAGCTGCCCCTGATTGCTGCCGCTCAGGTGAACACGAGTCACCCTCAGGCGCCAGCGGCCAGCCAGAGCCCCATGTTCGAGCATCACAGCCTCACCATGTTGAAGGACTGAGGTCCATTTGGCATTTCCAATCCGTGGTGCTGCCCAGGCTGGGCCTGATGCACACCCAACACTGGGCAAGTGGGCTCAGTGCCCCTTCCTAAGAGCATCCCAGGCCCCTGGGTGCTGCATTCCCTGCACGCCTGTTGGCTCAACCCCAGGTGAGGCGAGGGCATCACCCACTACACGCCCAATCCTGCCACTGTGCTGCTGACAGCCGCCTGTCCAGCGGGGTTGTGCTGGCCTGGCACGCGCGGGGAGGAGCGCCACAGCCACGTTCCCAACACAGGGACGCCACAGCCGTCCAGGCACACTGGCCTCAGATCAGGAGCAGCTCTCCTGCTTCTGGGCATCAGCACCTCACAAATGTCTGCCGGGTGTCCGCTACACGCCAGGCACAGCAATCAGCGCCAACTTCCAAACAAGCCACGGCGGAGGTGGGCCAGCCCTGTCTGACTCAAAACCAGTGCCCACAGCACCCCAGCACCCTGCACTTGTGCTGCCGAGCGCAGGGCGAGCCAAGCCCGACACAGGTCACACTCCACGTGCCACTCCACTGTGTAAGAGGTCCAGGGAGGGCAGGTCCAGAGAGCCAGGAGGGAGAAGACTGGAGGCTGTGAGGTGGACAGCTACAGGGACAGACCACACCAGGTCACAGGGTCTCTGTGGGGTGACGGACATGGTCTGTTGGATTGCGGTGGAGGGCGTGGACAATTCCATATATATGCTCATAACCACTCCATTTTCACAGCAGGTCACTATCCCAGTATGTAAATTCAATACAGGTTCACTAAAAAGATCTCTGTTGAACATTTACTAAAATTCCAAAAAGCATCAGCAAGCCCATGCAAATGCCTAGAGCAATGTTCAAGTGTAACGGGAGCACATGTAACATGTGTGTGAACACATGTAACATGTGTTCCAGCCACAGAACAGCTAACTAAGTGGGAACTGCAGCCGCGTGCTCCACGAGAAATAGGCCTGTCTCCTCTCCCCACACCACACAGTCCTCCCGTGGTGAGGAGCGGGAGACTCCCCGGTCTTTCCATTGTGCTGGTGTGAAATGATTCCAGAGTGCAGGACAAACAGCCAAGGGAAAGCACCGACAGCACCTCCTCATGCACCGGTGACAGGTACAGATGCAAGGACAAGACTTCCCGACATTCACACCCAGAACCAAGCCAGGCACTGGTCAGTCAGGTCCTCGAGGCACTGATGGCACGTAACCCTGGACGTGTGGGGAACGGAGCGGGGAGCCGGGAGCCAAGTGCCAGGTACTCTTTGGTCTTTATGCACCCCCACTGTCCCACCCCCACACACAAGCACACACAGGGGTCCAGGGCCAGATGAAACCAGGGCAAATTCCATGTTTGCTTGAGGAGTGTGGGAGGGGGACATGGTTCCCTGACAAAAGAATTCAGCTCCTCCTGCCTCATTCTATTCCAAGAAGGCAGAAAAAAACTAAGGAAAGCCCTACCCTTCCTCCTGGGGGCCCCCTCCTCTGTCAGCACCCCACGCCTGCTGAAGCACTTAGCCAGCCCCCAGGGACACGTGCAGGCCGCTGGGCACGGGCCAAGGACAAACAGGGCTGGGGTCCCCACCCCTCGAGGAGTTTACAACTGTGCTGGAATTGAATAAATAGCCAGAGGACAGAGCCATAAATCAGCCTGAGCGTGAGGAGGGGGCAGGCAGGCAGGAAGGGGGGCCAAGCTGCTCCAGGACCTTCCCTCGGGCCATAAATCCTCCTCCACCAGCGTCCCCGCCACCGCCTGGCCTGCACGATTCCCACCAGCACCAGGTCTGCAGACCAGCTGTCCCGCTCCCTCTCCCTGTGTCTGTAAGCCAGGAGCTATTTTTTCACCTTGCCTCACCCGAAGCAATAATAGCCCCAGAATCAGAGGACTGGGGTTTCACTTGGAGTTCTTCAAATACTCATCCCAATCAGTATTAACTACAGAGGCTGCTTAAATCTGTCCACAAACCACTTAAACTCATCTTAATGCTCTAGTAAAACACCCTCCTACCTGAGCACGCGGAGGGGCCCCTCCACGTGGTGCAGCTGGGACAGGCTGATCTCCCCCATGCACCTCTCCAGGGCCTCTGCTCCATTTCCCTGCTTGCCTCCTCCTGCCCCCGGATCCCCAAGCCCCTGGCCCCACTCACCCCACTTAGCCCTGGCTTCAAGACGAGCCACTCACCTCTCTCCGCTCTGATGGACACACAAACGTGATGGTCACCGCCGGGCTGTGGCCAGCACAGAAGTCCGGCTTTGCTGCCTCCTCTTTCACGTAGCTCAGGACAAGCCTGCGTGAACCAGAATGAGAAAGGGGTGTTACACCCGTCGAAACCACCTTTTTATAAGTAACAGAGTTCGTCTGTTGCCCTCAGCAAACTCACGGGCCCACAGGGGAGGCCAGCGTGGGGCCAGCGTCACACTAAAATATAAACGAGGTCACAGCACAGAAAGCCTTCGTTCATGGCCACTTGGGAAAAACAACAACAATTTGAAAGTAAACTCCACTGAGTATTTTGTTTTGAAAATAAACAAATGAAACGACCAACATGTAAATCTGAAAGCTCTGTTGGAGTAAAACAAACAAAAAACAATTATGAAGGACCTAACAAAGCAAACCAAAGGCCGCACAGCCCAGCCCACGGCTACCCACAGGCGCTCGCTGCTTCCTGTCAGAGGCTCCCCAAGTACGGGGCGGGGAGCTCCTTGGCGCCCTCCCAGTGCTAGCCACGATGCTCCCTCACCCGGAGCCTGGAGCCACCGAGGGTAAGCCGGCCCGGCTCTGTCTGTGCTCCTGGGCTTTTTCACTAAGTCCTCCCAGCCCGAAGAATGACCAAGTTGTCGCCCAGGGCGATGCGATCGGACCGAGTGGTGTCCACCTGAGCCCTCACCCCAGCTCCTCAGTGAGTGAATGTGTCAGAAGCGAGGGCTTTAAAGCAGGGGGTGAGTAAAATTCGTTCCTGGTGCTGGGCCTGTCAGATATGACTGGTGTACTCGGAAGAGATTAGGAGATAGAGTCGCACACCAGGGACAGAGGTCTTTGCGGGAGCTGCCGCTGGCCTGGCGGCCTCCAGAGCAAAGGGAAACAAGCCCTCTGCCCTCGCGCGTGCTCAGACACACACAGAAGGTCCCCAGGGCGGTTTAAATTTAGGTTGTGCCAGTGTTTGCTGGGGACAGAAGTGTGCTCTGTAATGGCCACCCAAGTGAGGTGTCCACCAAAGGCAGGGAGAAAAATCAAAATCCCGATCTAAGTCCACGCCGTGGCCACGTGTGACACACAGGAGAAAAATGTCTCTGCCTGGTCGGGTATAAAGGCGGCAGCGGAGCGGGTGTAACAGCAGGCTGGCTGCAAGGCATGAGCGGTCCCCCACTGGGAACGAGGTACGTCCGCGCCCGGCTGGAAGCCACGCCCCTGCAAGGACTCTGGCGAGGGCCCCACAGCCTTTCAAAACACAGAGGAACGTGGACACATGAGCCACCTCCCGGGTGGTGGGTCTGGGAGCAGCAGGATGTGCCCGCGCGAAGTGAGCACACGGGAGCAAGGGCCGGATCACAGGCTGCGCATGTGCTATGAGACAAGGAGCGTCACAGGCAGGACCAGCAGTGGACAGGCGGCGAGGAGCAGGCCGCTGGACGGGAAGGTCTCACATGCCCAGGACAGCTGGCTCTGGCCGAGTCACGAGTCAAGAGCAGACCCACCTGTTCTTGCTCAGGAATTTCAGGCCGTCCTTGGGCTGGCCAACATCGAATGCCTGGTCCCCTCTCAGCAGGCAGGCGGCAGTGCCCGGAGGGCAGGCTCGCAGTTGCGGGCTTGAGTCCCGCAGTGAGTCTGGAAAACACGATACGTGAGCTGAATCAGCTCGGGCGGTGGACAAACTCTGCCTTGGGCCCAGGGTCCCTTTAAAAATATTATCAAATTTTTGAAACAGTTTTCCTAAGTAACATAAGGTGGCAGTTTAGAGACAAGAAAGAGGTGGGATCACATGCAAGACCTTGAGCAAAGCAGCGGCCCCGCTGAGCCAGCAGCACCGCCCTGCAGGGAGAAGGAATGTGAGGGCCTCCCTCTGCACCTGGCACAGAAGAGCCACCCAACAAACAGGGACTGTTCTGTTATTCATAGACAAGGAATGTGCCCCTTCCCTTAGAGATACACTAACTTCAGCACGATCTCCTGTCAGCTATAAATAAACGAAAAAATGCAGGCACTCCCTGGATTCATGGGGAGGGTGGGAATTCACAGGAAGAAGCAGAGGCAGCTCCGGGGTTGAAACTGAGGGCCCCCGTGTGCCATCTCTGACGTCGGCCTAACTGCAGTTCTCCCCAAGGGCCCCTCGCAGCTCTGGGGGAGCACAAAGGACCACGGGAGACGTGCACGCCGAGGCCCGCCCCAGGTCTCCCACTGGACGCTAGGACAGTCACAAGCACCGCTGCAGCTGCCTCTCTCTACTCACCACCGTCAGCTGCTGCCCCCGCGCTGGGTGCGTCTGCTCACAGCCTGGCCCCCTGACTACGAGCCCCAGGACAGCGGGGGCCTGTGCCCCTGCCGACATGAGCCTTGCAGGCCACAGCTCAGCCAGGAGTGAGAACGTAGCCCGGGCTCAACTGAAGCCATCAAAGGGGAAGGGAGCAGCCTGCCATGCAGAGGCACCAGCTGATGAACAGGAGACACGTCGGGTCTGGCGCCCGTCATGAAATGGCACCCAAGGGCGGGCTCAGCGCACACAGCACCTCTGCCGTGAGGGTGCCTTGGGCCACGGGACGTGACATCAGGCTGCCTGCTAGGTTTGCTGAAAATGAAACATGAAGCAAGTCTCCCCGTGTGCATGAGGCTTAGCAAAACCACAACTGTTGCTGAGGGCTCCAGGGCTGCTGTCAGGCTTGGTGTGAGGCTCGGGGCAATTTCCTGGGGGTGGAAGCAGGCCAAAATGGGGGCACACCTGATGTGAACCAAAGTCACTGACATTCAGCTCCAATTGCCAATAAATTGGAAAAAAAAAAAACTTTTATATAAGAATATAGGCCAGTGAATTCAGATAATCTTCAAAATGATTTAAAAATACAAAACAAAAAAGGCCCAGGAATCGACATGTTTCCCAAACTGAAACAGCACATTATACCACAACTCAACAACCTGTAAGATTCTTCACCTTTATAATGAGCTTGAACTACAGTCATTTCAAACAAAGACTTTGTGCATCTGCCTTCTTCCAGAAAGACGTAAGATTCAGCCCCCAGAACAAAGTCATCCCTGACCACTTCTGGTGAGCAGGGCAGTGGCGTGTTCCCCTTCCTTTTAAAAACCGTCTAGAGCTAACATGCAAAGGGGCACAGGGTTGAGGCACAGCTGCTCACAAGCCTGTGCCCAGCCCCCGCCCCCCGCCCCCCGCCCCCACACCAGTTCTTTTTTTTTTTTTTTTTTAAATTGTTTTCAAACTTGTCCTAGGGCCAAAGTACCCTGTGCTATGTGAAAAATGGGAAGATTAGGAAAATACTAGAAATGATCGTTTCTGTATGGTACATGATAATGTATTGTCTTACAGTAAGCAAATCGTACTCACGGCGCCAGCACCACCAGCACAGCAGAAAAACAAGCCCTGGCCCGGGGCTAACAAGACACAGCCCTTGAAGGGTGCTGGGAATTACTGACAGAGCCAGCAAGGGCTAAGAAAAACTTGGTGTGGTCCTGTTGGGACAAAGGCCACGCACGGAGTTCAGGTAAGTCTGCAGACACCCACGCCTCACGCCGGGCGAGAGCCAGCCGGCACCATCGCCGGGCCCCAGGAGCTGGTCCCCGGCCCTCCCTCCCTGGAAACCAAAGCCGCGGCTCGGGGACACACAGCCAGTTGTCGGACCTCCCTCACCATGCCGGCCAGCTCCATGTGGCCCCGGCACTCCCAGGGCACCAAAGCAACATGCTCTCCCTCATCAGAAGTCAGATTTACTTGAGAACTGTGAACCCACAGCGTCCCACGCACCGGGATGGCTCGCGAGTTCAGATGGACTCAGAATCACTCGAGCAAAGGGCGCACAGAGAGCCCTGTCCAGGACGAGACAGTATCGTGGGCCGAACGAGAGACGTGACACGCGGACAGGAACAAGGGTGGAGGGACTAAGACCTGGCCCCCTCTAAAGAACCCCCCAGGCCGCGCCCACCGAGAATCACACCTATGTCTCTACAAACGTTGATGAACAGAGACATGTCTGGGTCAGAGTCGTCCACCAAGTAACCGCCGCTAATCTTGATCAGCGGGTTTAAGTCGCGCTTCTTGAGGTCCACATCGAACGCGGAGCACGGCACCTGGAAGAGAGGGAGGAAGAGTGAGTCTTCAATGCCTTTTGGGGGCTCTGGCTCAGCCCGGCCCGTGGCCCTTGTCCTGTCAAGCAGGCCTCCTTCTGACGGGTCTACCACGGCCTGGGTGTGCTCCGTCAGCCCGCCGAGACCCTTCCTCGTCTCCCTTCTAACTGAAGAGGAATGCAGGGCGCCCACACCTGACTCTTAGCCCCTGCCCGTCTACATGCCTTCCTGGGTTAAATGCCTCCGAGTGACCCCCAGCTTTTCTTTAAGCCCTGGCCTTCCCCAATCCAGCCCTCGAGAACACCCAAGGCAGGGCTGGTGCATCCTCTGCGGACATAATGCTGGGGTCAAACTCTGGTGTTAACACTGTAACCAAGAGACATGCCAACCACTATGCCTCAGTTTCCCCAGGTGTCAAGTGGGAGCAGTATCTGTGGTTACTTCCTGGGGTTGCCACCCCGACTGAATGAGTTAATGTATGTGAAGCTCTGGCTGCAGGTCCCGGCCAGTCCGACATAAGGGTTATTCACGGCTGTTTTCAGTCACTTAGAAATACAAGAGCAACTCATTCAGCATATTCAAAATGGGCATCTGGTTTGCCCCAAGAAACCTGCTTTTACTCCAAAAATCCCCCATCTTAGCACATTCAGCCAGGTGCTCAGGCCAAAACTTAGGGTCACTCCAGACCCCACATGTGAGCACGTCCTGCCCAAGCCTGAGTTGTCACATCACCCATCCAAATGCCGTCACTCCCTGGCCCAAATGCCCCTGGTTCCAGCTCACATCCCCACCCACCAGCAGGTCTGCAAAAGACCAGCTCAGTCCTTCCATGCTCAGAATCCCCACAGCATCCCAGCCTACCCAGAACCAGACCCCGCCGTGGTCCCCCACCTTCTGGACACCCACCCACCACTGGCTCCAGACACAGGTGGCCCCAGAAGCCCCCTCCCCCAGCACCCAAGGGGCTGTCTCAGAGCGATTAGGTCCTTGTGACATCATCTAAACCGGCTCTCTGCGCCTCACCCTTGCCAGCCAGCTCCCTGCAAGGCACCGACAAGGACTTGGGGGCACTGCTGCCTGCTGGCTTGAGTGCACGCTTCCTGGGGGCCGGGGCTCAGCGGTGCCACACCCTCTGCGAGACTGTGGCAATGCCCAGACCTGAGCACCTGCCCAAGAGCATGTGAGGCAAGTCCCTCCTCAGGGAAGCCAGCACCCCCTCTCCATGGATTTGGGGTACAACCACTCTCATCTCTGTTTTTAGAATCTCAACGAACCCCTTGCAGTTGGTGGAACCTTGTCCTTCAAAAACCCCGCCTATTGGGCCTCCCTGGTGGCACAGGGAGCTAACACCCCGACAGCCTGAGCTCGATCCCTGGCCAGGGAGCTGACCCACATGGCGCAGCAGACCTCTCTTGCCTCACTCGCTGCTCCCCTCAGCAGTGGTGTTTCAGTATATCTGCCTATTCTATTCCCGACTCTGTCTCTGGTGAATCCTCTCACACCCTCACCGCTGACCTACCCCCCAGTTATTATATGCATAAATAAAATAAATCTTATAAAAACTCATCATCCCTGCAATCATCTCCAAGTTTTTCGCTTTATCACTCTCTGTGGATAATTCTCCCAAACTCTGGTCTTTCAGGAAGAAATGATTCACAGGCAGGTCTATTTGCAAAAGCTAACTGCTTAATCTTTAACTTTCAAATTTTTCTGAAAAAGATGGTATCAAACATGTGGGCTCTGACCCACTAACCTTTCTACCCAGTGCTGTTTCCAGAGATTCCAAGGAGTGCCACTGGGTGACATCAGGCAGTTTGTACTTCTCAGAGCCCCGGGGGCACATGAACATATTATCCTAGCAGATCCAGTCTGCCACCGCCTACAGCGCTGATCTCTGTGGAGGGTTGGGGTGCTGGGGTGCTAGAGCACGGGCGCACAGCCCACAGGGTCAGACGCTGGTGCATCCTTCCCTGCCTGCAGAAAGGCGGGGAAAATAGAAGCAAGGGCTTCCTGCCCGCCGTGCTGACTCCAGGGAGAGGGACCCAGGGTCCATCACCGCGTCCATCTGGAATGTCTGTCCACAGCAGAACAAGACAGAACTGCCATCTGGAGCAGTAGGGGCTCGGCTGATAGTCACAAGTGGGGACTAGACGCAACTCAAGCTACACAGCAAAAGCCTCTGAAAGCAAAGGGTGCGGGCCGGCAGGAGGCAGGCAGGGAGGGGGAACAAAAGAATCCAGAGGGCTGGAAGGCACTCAGTTTCACCCAGAGGCTCGAGGGTCCAGTGAGCAGCCCGCAACACCCTGCTGGGCCCGGCGCTCCTGGCCGCCTCTCCCTCCGGGAAGGAACAGGAGACACGCCCAGCAGAGCGCCCCACAGAACTGGAGCGAGCATCGGAAAAACAGTCAAGGCTCCTGGGGAAAATCCTCCCACTTCCTGCTCCATGGAGCAGAGCAAAGGAGACATTCATGAGAGCAGGAATGCAGCAGCCGGGGCGGGAGGTGGCTTGCCAGCTCGCGCACCACACACTAAATCACCCTCGCTGGCGCTGTGTGCACATCAGGCGGATTTATGCACCTCCGGGAAGACTCCAGCAGGCCCGCGCAGAGTGTGTCGGGCCCCAGGAGCGGGAGTGCGGGGCGGAGGTCCACAGTCTCCAAAAAGATCACTACCCAGAACCCCCCGGACCAGCCCGTCACAGCAGCATATAAAAGCACTGCTCTGAGTGGCCAAAATCTTTGCTCTCTGGGTTGTTCTGAATCTGATGATGCAAAACTAACAAATCAAGTCAGAAGATGCCAGCGTGGTGTAGAGATAGAGTGTGCGTGGACACGAATCTGGATAAGTTTCTTGGAGGAATGATGAGTTTTTTAAGCACTTAGTACAACTTCTGAAGTTGTAAGTAGCTTCTAAGGTGTGAGCACGTCTTACTGAAGGCAGAGAAAGGCGAGTAGGCTTTCTCGTGATTGGTAACGGCGACATGAGCACTTTCTAGAACAGCCATCTGCTCCCCAGGCTAACAGCACTCCACCTACCGCCTTCACAGCTTTGGCTACGGGCCCCCTGAGAGGAAGAACCCTTCCACCTTTTTATGAAATTGTGACTGCTGGGCCCAGAACAGGCCCTCGATAAATGAAAACTGAACGAATCAAGCTCCACTGCAGCCCACACCTAAGGGTGCTCCCTGAGGACGGCCGGCCTGCGTGCCACACGCGTCTTTTCATCAGCCTCCGAGAGAAACCAAGTGAGCACAGACTATACCTCTGATTAAAAGCGACAACATAGTGCCATTTGCCAAGACTTAGCACTGCACTTAGCAGCAGTGACGGCACAGCCCCCTCCCAGGAATGGAATCTCAGTCAGGCTGAAGTTTCCCGGCCAACCTGGGCCAGGCAGCCTGCCAGAGAGACCCCTCCCGGGGCCCCCAGGAAGGCGGGCTCCCCTGAAACAAGCCCTTTTTCTTGCTGATCTTGCTCCTCCAGTCTCCATCCCACGCCTGCCTGCCACGTGGGACCCCGCTTCATGAACCCTTGATTAAGGGCCACGGAGTAAATGCGAGACTTTGGCAGTCAGGCAAGGGCTCTGCTGTGTATTCTTTTGTTTCGTATTTGGTTGTTGGGTTTTTTGTTTTTTTTTTTTTTTTGGGGGGGGGGGTTGTTTTTACAATCTATAAAAATGTAAAACCCTTTCTTAGTTCTGGGGCTGGCTCACCCGGGCCTGGAGCTGGGTTTGACCCATGGCTGTAGCCCGTGACGTGCAGCTCACAGCACAGGGAGAACGAGCTGCCTGTTCACCTCCAAAGCGGTGTCTCCTGCGGTGGGGGGAGACACACCTCGGCAAAGCAAGGGAGGAGGAGGCCGGTGCTGCCCCCTGGGATGGGACACCAGGCAGGGCCAGGAGGACGTGCTTCGGGTCTGGACAGTCACTGTCTCCACCATTTGAACAATGAAATCACATGGGACCATCCCTCAAATGACATCCAAAAATTAAAGATTTTACCCCAAAAGGTGTATTTCAAATCTTAACGCTCCCAGATGGTATTTCACAAGCAAGCATATGACCTTGAAATGATCTTGTTACCTCTTTATGGGCTTTGTATATGTCTTTCTTGCAGGCAACAGAAGTCCTCCACTCGAAGTAATGCACACAGCCTGTGGCAGTGACAAATTCGGGAGTTCCCTATTTAAAAGAGAAATAAAAGCAAGGCCCTAGTAACGCTTTCTTTTGTTTTAAAGTTAGAAACAAGCAGAGACTCTCAAGGTAGCAGGGGTGGGAAAGCAGGGGTGGGAAAGCAACTGTTTCAGTTAAACAAACCCAAAAATTCTGAGCCTAAAGCTTCATGAAATCACACTGGAATTTTGGTGTAATCAGTCCAAAACTGTCCCACTGCCCCAACTATGCAAGCACAGTAAGCTCCTGGGAGGGGTCCTCAGAGTGCTTCTGCTCAAACTCCAGCTTCTCCTAGCCAGCGCCAAGGAGTCGGGGCCAGAAAACGTGACCTCATGCTTCCTGTCCGCGGAGGGAGGAGGCCCATCTGGACACGAGCTCCTACACCAGCCCCGCTTCGGACACCCCCGCACATGAGGGCAGCCCCTCCTGACCTTGGGGGGCAGGGCTCCTCCAAACTGGGTCCCCGACATGACAAGTGGGAGCAGGAGCTTCGGTGGGGACTTCTCGCCACCCTCCCTCAAGCAGAGCACCCACAGAATCCTCCTCGATTCTGCTGCTTGATGGTGAACACAGAACTCTTGAAGGAAATTAGCTAAAATGAAAACAGCAGCTGGCTGTTTCTGTAATGGAGACCTCCATATTTCATCCCAGGACAAGAAGATTTTTTTTTCCAGAGGTTTCAACAAGGACGATGGTGCAAGGAGACAGCCTGATCGAAATTAACAAGATAAGTTCTATTTTTAAAGTTCTTCAACTGAGGCATCATGGGCCTGAAAGAGTTCCGGCACCAAGTTCCACGTAAAACATCTATTTTAAATGATAATTCAAAGCAATCTGGTTGCCACATGAGTTTTGTCCATCTTGCTTTTTCGGAAATTTTGAGTTCTTACTCTGCTTAGAGAAGATTCACAAGGTTTCATATGCAGATTGCTTTCCCTAAAGGGTAGCACCTATTTTCTGAAAGTCTATTTCTAAATGCTAGATTAAGACCCAAAAAAATCATGCAATATGCAGAGTATGAACAACATCATGTTTTAAACAATGTGTTCCACACCCCCCCTTCAACACCACGTAATACTCAAAAAGATTGGGAACCCCACAACCCACCGGTCACTCCAACTTAGTAGAAGCAAGGAAGGAAAAAACATTAACACACATCATACAGTCTGCTAAAAACAGAAAATGAAATGCCGGAAAAAGAGGATTTAGGAAGAAAAAAAGCATGCCTGCAACATAAACATAAAACAGCACTTTGAGCTTACAGTCAACTAATCTCTGCGAACAAGTTTTACACAGGACGTGGGTCAAGTTTCACCTGAAAGTTGCAACTCTAGGCTTACAATTTGTTTACTTCTGGGTTCCTCGCAGTAATTTGATGGGGTTTCTGCTTGCTTATTTACTGCCCTGTTCTCCCTGGAACACCACTAGAACAAAATTTAAAGGGGCAAACGTTCTTCACAAAACAAAGGTTGTAGAGGGACTGTGAACTCACCAAGGTTTTCCCACATAGGAAGGTGATGCTGCTCTGGATTTTGTGATTTGAATTTGGCCCATCACAGATGGTGGTTGTGTTGAATTCCATAAGAGATCTGGTTGTACTTTTCAAATCAGAGTTCCCTATTTGAAAAGGAAATATAAACAAGCTAAATAACATTTATAACCATAAAGCTATTTCCAAGCATTAAAAAAAATAAATAAAAAGGGGTAATATAATTCAGCAGCAAACTTAAAACTCTACCCCAGAAGTGTCCATTTCAGGAACAGCACCCCGATCCACTCAGATGTTCAAGCCCCAAACATCTCAGACTGAACCCCATCTATCTCTCATCTACCACATTCTGTGTCTCTGAAAGTTCTAGTAGTGTTACCTCCATCTCAAGCCCATCCACATCTCTTCATTGCTACCATTACTTAAAACCACTCTCTTCCCTGGACTCTTGCAATAGCCACCAAATCGGCCCCCTTACCTCCACTCTCATCTCGCCCCTCACCTTGTCTACCCTCAAGAACATCATCATAATATATAATCCAGCTGCCGAAAGTCTTCAAGAAGTAACCTCCCATGTTCATGCCATAAAATCAAACGTTTTAAAGTAGCCCACAAGTAGGGTGATCATGTCTTAGTTTGTCAGGTAAATTATTATTTTTTAAAGATTTATTTATGTGTAGAAAAGGTACAGGGGGTGAGAATTTCATCAGACACAGAGTAGGGAGCAGAACAGGTGGATCTACTGAAATACACTGTTAAGGGGAGCAGCGGGTGAGTCAGGAGAGGTCTGCGGCGCCGTATGTGGATTAACTCCCTGGCTGGGGATCAAATTCAGGATGCACCAGTGATAGCGCTGAGACTTAACCTCTAGACCCCCCTAGGAAATTATCATAATACTCCAAAATGAAAAGTCTGTAATACCAGTACGATGGTAGTTGACACAGGAACAGATAGACTGAGAAACCAGAATAGAATCCAAGTGACTAGATCAGAGACATAAGTGTGCCTCAAACCTTGATATGTGACAGTCATAACATATCAAATCATTGGGCAAAGAGACCATTCAATACAAGATAGCATCCATTATGGAATTCCAATATGGGGGGCGGCGGGGAAGGATCATTGCCTACCACTGGATACAAAAATCAACTCTAAATCAGTTAAAGAGGTAAACTACCAAAAAAATTAAAACTGTTATGTTTTAAATTTAAATTTTAATGTAGGAAACATTTAAGACTCAAAAGCTCTGGCTAGTAAAAAAAATCAGTAAGTTTGATTACTAAATTTTAAAGTTTCTATTTATCAAAAAGCTTAAAGAAGAACCAAGTTACAAACTGGTAGCTGACAGAGAGCTGTCGCCAAGAACATATCCATTCACATTTTCATTGAGTATGAACCAAAAAATTTGTAATTCTAGGAAATAAACGTCCTGTAAAGAATGGGGGGCGGGGGGGGCGGGAGAAAACACACATCTAGTCACCTTATGGTGAATCTTAATATCAAAGGCAAAGAGAAAAATTCAAAAGCCTTTAGACAGAAAACCATGGATCACAGACCTTAAAAGAGCCAACATAAAAGGGAAAATACATGATCAGACAAACAGGAGAAAAACATGTCCATAAATCTATGGAGACGTCACATCTCCGAGATCAAGGAGCTGCAAACCAAGAGCACGCGGCACCCCAATTACAACCCTTGCACTGACAAGAGGCAAACCCCTGCGGGTGAGCAGACGTGGCCGCCGCGCTCGGCGCTGGTGCAACAACATCCTCTGAGTGGCACCGGGTCTTAAAATAGAACATTCACTGCCCTTGTCCAGGAGTCTGCTCTTCGGGAGGTTCAGGAGAAAACCCGGCACAGACACGTCTACACAACAGGAAACATCTGACAGAACATCTTGTGTTCCTCACATCAGCAAAAGCCTGAAAACAGGCCCACCGTCGGTCAGCAGGTAAGTTAGCTCTGGAGGATCCGCAACATCAAACATTTCACAGGCGTTAAAAGGAAGAAACCAGAGAGAAAGCTCAGCTCGGGCTCCGACACTGTAACACTGGTACCGAGTCTCCAGTGGCGCACAGTGTGACAGACCCTGTCTCTGAAGGTAACAAATCACAGACACAGACTACTGGGAAGGACAGAGGGATTTTTTTAAAAACCGTGTTAGCACAGGAAGTGGGTTAACGATTCCGTCCACGAGGGGGCCAGGAACCGGGGAGCACCCTGACGGTGTTTATGGCAAGTTCCCAGATTTTCTCAGAGATGGGGTTCACCACACTACCCCAAACAATGAAAACACGGGATGCCAGTGCCCGGATTGCAGCTGAGCGTGTATCGTGGGTTGAGGTGACAACTGGTTCGACCCGACGCATCCACCCGGGGTCTTTAAAAAAGGGAAAAGGCCGGGGCGGGACGCCAGCGAGGCGCGCGCGGAGAGGGGCGGGCAGGCCCCTGCGCGGCGCCCCGCGGCCGCCCCGGCCCCGCGCGCACCCCGGGGCGCAGGCCGCAGGGTCTGCCTGCTTCGGCCCGAGACCTCGGGAAGATCCTTTCCTCGCCGAAGGGCGCCGGCGTCCTGCCGAGAATCGAGATTCGGCACCGTGGACAGCGCCGTGGACAGCGCCCGGCGCCCCGCCCCGGGGCGGTCCTGGGCCCCAGCGGCGGGCGGGGCCTCACCCCCGCCCCCCGTCCCCCCCCCCCCCCCAGACCCGGGGAGGCGGGGGGGGGGGGGGGGGGGCCGGCAGGAAGCCAGCGGCCCGCAAGGCGGCCAGGAGGGGGCGCGCACGGGCCACGCCCCCCACTTTAAAGACCCTCCTCCGCGCCTGTCCCCCCAGAAGGCGGCCCTTTCCGGCCCAGTGCGGAGCTCCCGGGGCTGCTGACCGCGGGTCCGGCGCAGGACTGAGCAGGGCTCCGGCTCGGGCCGAGGGACCCGCACCGCCGCCAGCGCCGGGCACGGCACCCTCCGCGCGCCCACGGCACCGCCCGCCCGCGCGCCCGCCCGCGGCACGGACCAGCAGCCGGCGCGGCGCCCGGGAGAGGCCGCAGCGCCCCGCGGCAGACCACCGCGGCAACCGGCCAGCCCGCCGTCCTCCCCGGGCGCGAGCCGGGCGAGGACTGTGGGGCCGCGGCCAGCACGCCAGGCCCACGGCCAGATTCCGAGGACGGCGCCAAATGGGCTGGGCCGCGCTCGCCGGGCCCGCCAGACCGCGCCGGGTCCTCCAGACCGCGCGCCGGGCCCGCCAGACCACGCTCGCCAGGCCGGGCCCGCCAGACCAGACCGCCCTGGCGCGGCCCCAGCAGACCGGACCGCGCCGGGTCCTCCCGGCCGCGCTCTCCAGGCCGGGCCCTCCAGGCCAGGCTGCGCGCGCCGGGCCCGCCAGACCGCGGTCTGCAGCCCGAGCCCGCCGGACCAGGCCGCGCTCGCCCAGGCCCGCCAGGCCGCGCCGGGTCCTCCAGACCGCGCTCTCCAGGCCGGGTTCGCCCGGCCGCGCTGGGTCCGCCAGACCGTGCGCTGGGTCCGCCAGACCGCGCGCTGGGTCCGCCAGACCGCGCGCTGGGCCCGCCGGACCGCGCCAGGCCCGCCAGACCACGCGCCCCAGGTCCTCCCGACCGCGCTCTCCAGGCCGGGTCCGCCAGACCGGGCCGCGCTCGCTGGGCCCGCCAGACCAGGCCGCGCTCGCCGGGCCCGCCAGATCGCGCCGAGTCCGCCGGACCGCGCCGCGCCGCGCGCGCCAGGTCCTCCCGACCGCGCTCTCCAGGCCGGGTCCTGCCGGCCAGGCCACGCACTCCAGGCCCACCAGACGGCGCTCTGCAGGCCGGGTCCGCCCGACCAGGCCGAGCTCTCCCGGCCAGGCCTCGCCGGGTCCTACCGACCCTGCGTTCCAGGCCAGCCCGGCCGCACTCGCCAGGGCCCAGCCGACCCCGCCGTGTCCTCCCGGCCGCGCTCTCCAGGCCTGCTCCGCCAGCCCCGGTGGAGGTCGTCCGGGCTCACCAGACCAGGCCGCATTGGCGGGGCCCCACCAGACTAGACCGCGCCGGGTCCTCCCGGCCGCGCTCGCCAGGCCGGGTCCTGCAGACCAGGCTGCGCGCGCCGGGCCCGCCGGACCGCGTTCTCCAGCCCGGGCCCGCCAGGCCGGGGCGCGCTCGCCTGGGCCCGCCAGACCCAACCGCAGTTGCCGCGCCCGCCAGGCCATGGCGAATCCGCCAGACCGTGGCGTCCAGGCTGGGGCCGCCAGACCACGCAGGGTCCGCCAGGCCACGCGCTGGCCCCGCCAGACAGCGCTCTCCAGGCCGGGCCCTCCAGGCCGCGCTCGCCCGGGCCCGCCAGACCAGGCCGCACTCGCCCGGACCCGCCAGACCCGGCCACGTTCTCCAGGCCAGGACGCGCCAGGTCGTGCCGACCCTGCGCACCCGGGGGCCGGCCCGGCCACGCTCGCCCGTCCCGGCCAGACCCGGCCACGCGCTGCAGCCCCGGCCGCGCCGGGTCCTCCAGACCCTGCGCGCCCGGCCCGCCAGACCTCGCTCGCCCGGCCCGTCAGGTCAGGCCACGCCCTGCCGCCCCGGCCGCGCCGGGTCCTCCAGACCCTGCGCGCCAGGCCGCGCTCGCCCGAGCCCGCCAGGCCAGGCCGCGCTCCGGGGCTGCCCGCGCTCGCCTGCAACCCGCGGCGCGCCCGACCGAGCCCAGCCGAGCTCGCGGCCACTCGACCGCGCTGAGGCCGCAGAGCCCGGCGATCGCAACCTCGCCGGCGGCGTCCGGACCCTCCGCTCGGCCGCCGGCCCCCTCCGACACCTCACTCAGAGCCTGCCAGACGGGCGGGCAGCCCTCTCCGTGCTAGTCACCAATGTGCTGGAGCAAGGCGCCCCTCGCTGTCCACCACTCAGCCCTTCTGTACTGTGTCGTGTTCTTGGAGTGCTGATCCCGTGTTGTTTCACCAAGTTAAAAAAGAATCCTCTGCCCAGTTTCTCCCTCCAGCTACTGCTGCTCATTTTTCTGCTCCTCTTTATATTCATACTCTCTAAAAAGAAATTTCTATTCTTGCTACCACCGATCCCCTCCCCAAATATTCCCCCGGCCCCCTGCGCTGGCTGTACCCACCTGTCCCCTCAGTCACGTGACTCACTCCCTGGGCTCCCAGTCTTTGCTTAAATGTCACTTTCTCAGAGACACTGACCGCAGTGAATATTCCTGAGCACATCCTCCTGAGACCTGCAGCGCTTCTAACTCTGCCCCCTTGTCTTTTCTACAGCCGTGTCCCATCCTGGCATACTGCTGGCCGTTGTTTCCGTCTGCCTCCTGCTCCCCTAGAATGTGAGCTCCATGAGAAAAGGGGTTTTTTGTCTGTTTTGTGATTGACTCGTTCAAATATTTGTTACAAATAAATGGATATTAAATGTTGATTGTTTTAAAATATAATTTTACATATATCTTTAAAAAATTATTTAACCAAGTAAATCAGAATAAAATATGATTTATGCAAATATCCCCATATAGTTAGATTTTCTGTATACAGGACTAAATCCCCTGTGGGGTAGATGTACAAAAGTAGGTTTGGGGAATGTATGTTTTAAATGTTAACATACTGTCTGTCAGACTTTCAGAAGAGACCATAAATGAGATAAAAACAGGAGTTAGAGCCCAAGCTCAAGCAGACAGCATAAATCTCCAATGGTTTTAAGAAACTGAAAGTATATAGGGCTGAAGAGGAAAAAAGATCTTTTCACATTCTTAACAGAGACCAAAATGCGATTCAGCGAGCAACCAGATTAGTTGGGGCAGATTCCTGTGTTAACACAAGAATGTGAAAACGCAAACAGGAGCTGAGGTCAGGGGCGGGCTCCTGAAGTCAAGGATGTCACCTCACCTCCAGATTCCCTGCACCCTCCCCAGGGCACCAGCAAGAAGCCAGGCAGAACCCCAGCGCGGATGGTAACTTCACGAGAGGGCTCGTTACCTCGGTTAGATGGGCGAGGAAGAGGCTCCCTGAAGAGGGTTACAGATTTTAACCCTCAGGAAGACTAAATTAAAACCACAACAAAAATATTGGGCATGACAGGAGGAATGTGAACATACTTGGTATTTTTGGTTATGTTCAGTGTTATAACTCCAAAGGTGATGAGCGATTGATTTGGACTGGTATCTTGTTTGTTTTTTTAAGCTATATTTTCTGTATTAATGACCTCAATGGTATTTCTTTAGATGCAGGAGTTTTGAACTCTAATACTTAGAACAAATGAAGCTTGTGACTCATTACCAATGAAACAGTGCAAAACAAAACGGCATGGACAAGAGGTGGGAAAAGGAAGAAAAGGAATTAAATTGTTTATAAGTTGAAAGTATTGAATATATAAGAATTCTTAACTTGTACTTCAGTTTTAATTGTTAGTAGACACTGGATGTAGGAAATCATATGTGAAAACCATCATCATTTTAAAATGTGAGGATAATTTTAAAATATGTAAATGGGACCAAATGCCTTTCACAAGCCCCATGAAAATGATCGTGATGCGCTGCTAGATTTACGTATGTAACAAGGTCGTTTGTCTGGGGAAGAAGAAATGTATGACTTTCTCATTCAAAATGTGCTATAGTTTAACCAAAGTTGAGGACTTACCATTCATATCTAAGTACAAAAACTGCTCTTGTGGGCATTATAAGACTCACATCAACAAGTATCTTCCCAAAAGGGTTCTAGAAAGCTGGCTTTTATAGCAAAATAGCAATGTGCCCGTTGTGGGCTCTCTGCCAGCACTGTGATTCAACCACTTCAACTTCTGCCAACGTGCATGGAGGAGGAGGAGGCTTTGCGACTGCTCCGATCTCCATCGACAAGGGCTTGCCCACGACGCTGTGCAGCTGGCTGGATTTCCTCTCCTGTAAACTGCCTGTTCTCAGACTTTGCCACTGTTTCCCTGGGTTGTTTGTCTTATCATTTATTAAGAGATGCTCTTACTCCTCCAGACTGTGTTTCTATTTTACTGGGCTTTTCCCACCATTTTTTTGTCTTGTTACTTTTAAATTTTACCCGAGTTGTCTATGGCCACACCACCCTGACGTGCCTGTAATTTGTTAATTACGTTCCAATTTTTTGTTGTGCATGTAAGTCCTCATAGATATTTGGTCTATTTCTAAACAAGCTCTTGTGCTCCTAGCCAATTTTTTGCCTTGGTAGCAAGATCCTAAGAGATTTGTTACTCAGCTGTGTTCTTGGAGTCAGGGGTTCCCATCATAGGTCCCATTCTGGCTCTAAAACTTCTGATGTGGCGCAGGCCCTGAAGCTGGTCTGTCAGCATTCAAGGCCATGGCCGGGCAACCCCTGGGCCAGCTACTATTCTTGTGCTCTGGTGTCTTCATTTATGAGAAGGAGGGACATGAAATCACCAAACTTCAAAAGTTGTTAGATGAATTCAATGAAATTTTATTTAGAAACCTACCGTGTAAGTGCATGACAGATTTAGTTATAAGACTAAATAGAAATAGTTATTTCAATTGTCTAACAAGTTAGCAACAGTAGAGCTGATCACGGGTGGCCTGTGCTAGTGTCGGCGTCTCTCTCCACTCGCACTGGTGCTCTGCGCGCTCAGGTTGAAGGGCCGGGCTGTGACTGCCAGTGCCGCCGGCAACACATCAAGTACCACCCGTCCTGGGGAGTGTGAAACACCGGGGATGCATGTGTCCTCTGTATCTGGGACTAGAAAATGAGACTGGAGACTACAGGTTGAGATCATCATTAACTTAGCCTGTAACTTAGTCCAGAGACCCTCTGCCTCTCCCCTTTAGCCACCTCTCCCATTCCACCCAATTTTAGCACATCACCTCCCCGGTGACCAGTCACAAAAATTCTTTAACAGATCCACTACCCACCATGTATCAACTCTACTGCCTGACTCTCAAAAGTCTTCCCAACAAGGCCATTCTCAAGTTTTCTCCAGCCATGCCCACCTGGCAAACCACCCAGCTCGCCATCTGACTGCACCTGGCATGCAAGTTATGTTGCGCTCTACCGTGCAATACCGCCACGGACTGGACCACACACTTTTATTAGGAGGAAAAAGTCCTCAAGCAAGCATGATAATAAAGTCAGGAGGACAAATACTTTTCTGTACGAAAACCTGAGGCGCACTGGCCAGGCCCACGCGTGGCCTCTCTCTGTGAATCACCAGAAGATCCCAACCAGGAAAAGGGCAACCTCATTTGCAAATTAAGTAGGTTACAAAATAGTAACTGTTGTCTGACCCAAGGGCTCAGAATCTGGTGCTTTCTAGGTCTCCACCCTACGCTGCAAATCCCTCTGGCCAGGTCTGCCAGTATTCACAGCCTCCTCACTGGAAGAGAGGAAACCCACCAGGAGCTCAGCCTCACACGCTACTCTCCTTACTCTCAACATTACTTTCTAAAGAGCCCTTAAACCCCATTTAGCGCTTTCCATTCAAAATGACAAAATGGCGCTGCCACATGGAGGCTGCCCCTCCCAACTCCAAGATCAGCCCTTCATCTGGTGCTCTGAGCCACCCCACTCACACGCAGCTCCCACTTCGCTATGGCCCATCCCCGATGGACCCCGCCGGTCACACGACACGGCCTTGCTCAAAGGTCACGGAGAAATCCACGCAGACAAACCAGGGCCTCTCATCAGCTCCAGAGGAAGAGGTCCAGCTGAGAAGGAAGGCACTTAGGAAGTGGAAGGAGCCCTGGGAAAGACAGTCTGGGAGTGCCAGTTCCCTAGGACACTTTAATTTTAATGGCACTCTAAAGCCAAGGATAAACTTGACCCCTTGGGAATACTGACTGCACTGCCCCGAGACTCAATCCACCACAGAAGCCAGGTTCAGGGGAAGGAGGCTGGGCACCCTGGGAAAGGGGTGAGACTGGGGAGAAAAGTCCAGAAGGCGTTTGAGACTAACATGAGATGGGAGAAGGACACAGGAAACACACTTCTTGCCAGTGAGTACAAAGGTGCCTCTCCTCCTAGTGACTGGCTACACAGTAGCACAAGACTCATCCCAACTCCCCACATTTTGACTGTTGTAAATAAAACACAGAATGCACATGATGGCCACGAGCATAATTGTGTAGCTATTACATACAGGAGTCATTTTTGCCAAACTGAGACCCTCCAGCCACCAGAGGGGCGGCGTACTCACCCACGGAGCGGTAGTTTTTCGCCTGCCAGTCGTACATGCAGATGGCGCTCGAGGGCCCGCAGTGGGGAACGTCCACATTTCCACAGACGCTGATTTTGTAAAGTTTGTTGTTTTTGGTATCAACAGCTTCCCAAGTATAACTAGAAAGGAAGAAAAACAATTTGTCACTGTCATCAATCTGCCAATAATTAAACTTCTCTCTAGTTTCACATTCAAGCCACATTTGCTTAAGATTACCACCACCTAGAAGGCGCCCTTTCGCGAGCCAAGAACGCTGGAGTCAAACTATGTTAAGTTGAATAAAAGCCTGGGCGGAAACCACCAAATACCACCTCGCTCTGCTTCAACCCGCATGGGAGCCGCCTGGGTCTCTAAAATCATCTGAATACTCAAAATTAATTTTAAGCATATCGGCTTAGATGATAAGTAAGTGCTTAAGAACTGTGTTCAACGACTGCAGCCTTTGATGTTGAGTAAGAAAGTGACCTTCCTAGTCACACTGAAAAGTCAAAGGATTGTTTTTGACTTGTTTGACTTAAAAACTATTTATGGCCTGAAAGGCAGTTCCCCCTGGCCCCTCCGAGCACACAGCCAGTTCAAACTTAAACCCACAGAATCAAGTTTTGCGACGAGTCCTTCCTATCTGATTCAAACTCGACAGGATCTCCTGTTGGCTGATCCACCACACCAGACATTTTGCAGGCAAAAATGCTCAAACCTCTGGCGAAGCAGAGTCATTCTTCATAATCCATCTGAATACTGGGGACAAAATAATGGCTTTCAGTTCTATCAAAACAGTCTCAACTCTCTATTCTTTCCAGGAAGAATGTTCTGTCCATTTTATAAAATGGGGGTCATTTCCTCGGCAAGGATAGCGCAGGAAGTAAAGAAAGTGGCTAGAAAGTTCCTTGCAAAATGCAAAGATCCAGTCTTAATTCAATTGTGTTGCTGAAAGGAAGGAAGATAAATTAAATCAGAAATACTTAGCCTGGCCCTCCCCAGGAGTGGTGGAGCCAGGTCTAAATCCCGAGACCACACACAAGTATCAGGAGTTCATCTTCAGAAGCAGCAGCCCCCCCCCCAGCCCCTCTTTTCCCCCTTCCTCTCCAGCGCCCCTTCCTCCCAAGTGATCCCCGGGCGTTAGACACCCGGTAGGACACCCTCCCTGCCTACTTGCAGTCTCCCCACCCGGACACCCCACCCGGCCATGCAGGTCCCCCAACAGTGGGGCTGCAGGAGGCAGCCAAGCTCGACCCAGCACTCAGGTCTGGTATCCATCTGGAAGCCCAGGCTGAGAGCAGAGGTAAATGACCAGGCGGAGGCAGAATGCTCCCCAGAAGTCCCAACACCCGCTGAACTTCAGATAAACCTGAAAAACAGGCTGGTGTGCTCCTGAGAATCTGGGGTGACGCCAGGCGGGAAGCAGTTACCTCTGTATTCAGCTTCTTCCTCAGCAATCTCGCAGAGTGACCGCCGAGTCAGGAGGGGCAAAAGACCCAAGAAAATAACCCAAGTACCACTGGGCTCCGGGAAGCCACCAGGAAAAGTCTGTTTCCTGTCCCCTCCATTAGCCTTTCATTCATTTGCTTCACAAATATTCAACTGCTTTAAGTGGAGAGCAAGGAAGAAAACAACAAAGAACAGAGCAAACCAAAAGGCCCTGCCCTTCTGGAGTGTATACTCCAGGGAGGAGAGAAAATTAGCAGGTAAATAAATACAGATAATCCCACCTAGTGACCGGAAATGACATGTCTTTGGAGATATTAATCCTGGAGCTTGAATGACAAAGAGCAAGGGTGGGGGGGCAGGAGGGTGGGAAGGACCCCCAGCAGGCCGAGCAGCCACTGCAAGCCCCAAGGTCTGAGGTGGGAGAGTTTAGCAGGGAAAGAAAGAAGTCAATGTGGCGGGAGCCGGTGGTGGCCGTGGAGCGCGGAGGGAGGGGTGCAGGGGACGGGGCGGCCTGGGCACGGGGTGCTCCCACGCCTGATGAAGCAGTTACCAGTCTGTCCTTGAAGCAGACATCACCACTGGAAGACACGATTCCTTAAAGTTCTAGGCTAGTGACTTCTTGGGGAGAGCGCTAGTAAACCCTCCTGCTAATTACAGCCAATTACGGACTATGCAAATCGCTTGTTTAGCAGCCAAGGCAGTTTTTCCAGGACCCCAGACGTTGTATTTAAAACTTCGGCAGTTTCTGTGTGTGTGAGCGAGGTGAATAAGGGGATTTTAGAATGAACCAACGGGTAAGCATCGGCTCAAATGAAGTCCACACGCACTGAAACTGCTAGGTTTCCCTAAAACACATAAAGCCGCTGTTGTTTTCGCAGAGCTGATCTTGAAATAGGGAAATGTAAAGAATGTATGTTTGGGGAGCAGAGAGATGAAAACTAACAAAATGGGTGAGGGTACTGAGTGTCTGAAAATCAGAGTGCCTAGAAAGAGAAATGTTGCTCTCTTCAAGAACATTTCTTTATTCACATTTCTTAGGTGCCTGTCAAGATTGATCAAGATGCTAAGTAGGGAGGCTCCTACCCAGTACTTAAGGGCTGCCTTTTTTCACCAGGACTGCTTTAACCCCTCACCCCCAGGCAGCCTCCTCCAGGCTGGCGCCGGCAGGGCCACTCACAAACCCCAGCTGGAGAGGCTGGGGGAGGAGTAGCCCTTCTCATTAAAAAGGCAGGAACGCTCACAGCGTGTCTCTAAACCCCACAACTGGGGCATCTGCAGCCCAGCAGTGCTTCAAACCTTCAAATTCCAAATGACCTAAGTCTGCCTTAGAACAAAGAGACAGGCCTGGCGACTCGTATTATCGGGGGCTCGGGGATCATCACTCGGTTGAAATAATCCATCTGAAAACTCATGACGCATGTTCCAAAAACTGTTACATGTCCTTTTGTGTGACCTGGTTACATTATCATCTAGATGTGCAGGAGTATTTTTTAAGACTATTTCCTCATAAACCTGGAAGCCATACAAATATCTGATAGCGCTTTTTGAAAAAAGGACGTGTTTGAATGACTCCTTCCCAGATTAAAGGCCAGGCCCGCCAGAACAGCCTCAGCTGAAATCCTCCTTTGAATCCATGCTGGCATTTCCAGGCATCCTGCTCATATTATGGAAGCAGAGAATGACTGCAGAAGCCATAAAAGTATTATAAACTCAATAAAACTTAATTATATCTTTGAGGAATAATACATTTTTGTCCAAAACTTTGTCCACTAGAAAATTCTGTACCCACAGTGGACATGCACAGCCAACGGGACAGGAGCCAACGACATGACTCATTTAACAGCCAACCCAGGGCGGCCACGCCGCGGAGACCCAGAGGAAGGCTCCGTCCTGGACGCGCGATTTGCGTTTACACAAGACTTAGGGGAAACAGGGAGGAAAAAAATGAGACCAACTTATTAGGGCAAAGAGAAATCTAAGCTTTAATAAGATTTTAAATTTTAGCAAAAAAACAAGTCTCTGGAAGAAAACGTTTGGAAATTCTCTCTCTCTCTCTCCCTTTCTCTCTCTCACACACACACAGGAATACTGTAAAAATATCTGCCCAAGCATCTCCTATAACAGGACACGCATGAAAGCTCAAGGGTCATTTTTCTTGAAACTCTTCACACTCCCCTCGGGTCTCCACAGTCACTGGACCGTGCTCCCCCACTCCCCGCCCCACCTCACCTGGGGGAGATGAACACAAGGGCTGAGAGGGGGCAAGGAAGCATTACCCAGAAGCCCTGCCCCTCCCTGGCCAAATTCAGCTCAAATCCTCAACAGCGGTGACCGGACTCCCGGTCAGAGGGGCTCTCCTGCCTTTTTCGCAAAAGCATGCCAAATCCGTGCTAGTCTACCTCATTTCCCAGCGTATAAAACGTAGTTCGCCAACGTCCTCCTCCCGCTCTCAAAAAATCCAAATTCACTTTAAAGGAAACCTGAGCACTCTGGACAAACGTGGAGGCCTGTGGATTCCTTGGCCGTAGGGACTGGTCCTGACCACCCGCCCCCAGCAGCCAGCTCTAGAGGTACTTCCCACCACCCAGGCTAGGCCTTCTGGGGTGTCTGGTATCCCCAACTATGCTGTTTTCTGGACAGTAACACCCTCCCTTCCAGAACAAGGCCCAGCAGACACAGAGTCAATATTTACTGACGGGCTGAAGAGGAAACAGAGCCAGTGGACAAGGCAGGCATCATGGCAAACACGCGCTCACGTCCAGTGAGCAAAGCCCAGGCACTGGCGCCATCACTCAACCCCCCAAGTCCCTCAGCTTTGCACTCCGAGCCCCAAGGGCCAGTGTCACCTCTAAGGTAAACTGCCTCATGTATTTTCAGTAATTTAAAGTTTAACTTCTCAGACAATAGCTGTTGCCTAGAATGCTGAAGTGGCAAAACGCTCAGCGCCAGAGCTCTGCTGTGCTCCCAACACACCGCACAGGGCGGCGAGCTCCAGGGCACACCAAGACCTCGGGCACGAGGCCGGAGAACGGTATGGGGCCCAGGTCGCCCTGCATCATGCCGTCAACTCAGCACGGCTTGTCCTGGCTGCGGCTCCTCCCCAGGTGCGGACCGAGCACTGCTCTTGTCCCTGGCAAGCTCCGCTTCCTTTTCTGGACAGTCTGAACTGCCAAACCCCAAAGGCACGCCTTCTGCAACCCCTCATCCCCCACCGGCTGGTTTCCACCCAAGCAATTCCATCCCCTCCACCCCTCCGGCCCACCCACCGACCACCACTCCCCAAGCTGGTTGAGGACTCCAGCGCGGAGGGACACACCCAGGCCCTTTTCCCTCATCTCAGAGCTGCTCCCCTCTGAAAGGACCGCTGAGCTCAGCAGAGGCTGCCCTTCGAAAGCCCCGACCCAGCCAGAGTCAAGAGGGCCTTCGCCAGTGCGGGAGCACCCTAAACACCCAACGCCAGGCCCCGCGGAAGGGGGAGGGCAGAAGTCACACCCGAGGCCCAGGCTCTAGGAGCCTCTGGCCTTGCAGTGAATTCTGTGGCTGCAACGTGCCTCAGACAGCGGTGATTAATGACACCCCGGAGCCGAGCCGAGCACACAGGCGGAGCCCGCGCTGCAGCCCAGAAAGCCCAGGACGGCATTCTGCTCTGCCCTTAGCGCCGCCGCTGCTGCCACGACCCTGAACGCCTGCA